ATTAATGTATTAAAAGAGGTAAACTTTTAATAAATACATTAATAATACAAAAAGCATAAAATCTATCTTCTCTATGAATTATTTTGTGACTGAAAGAAATTCATTCTAAGAAAATATTACAAATTTAGGCTGAAGCTGAATTAGCTGGTCTTCAACGTCGTTTACAATTGGTTGAGGAAGATCTTGAACGTGCTGAAGAACGTCTTACACAAACTACACAAAAACTTGACGAAGCTTCACATGCAGCCGATGAAAGTGAACGGTAAATAAATACTTATATTAAATAATTATTTATTCTTTTTTCAAATTTTTAGTGGTCGCAAAGGTCTTGAACAACGTACATATCAAGATGATGAACGTATTGCTACACTTGAACAACAATTGGCTGAAGCACAACTTATCGCTGAAGATTCCGATAGAAAATATGATGAGGTAAATTTATTTCTTATCTATGAAAATATTTTTCAAGATCAACAATTCAGGTTGCTCGTCGTATTGCTATTATGGAAGTCGATTTAGAACGTGCTGAAGATCGTGCTGAAGCTGCCGAAGCGTAAGATACATTTCTAATCTTTGCATGATAAAGTTGTCTATTTTTGGCATGCGGCATGTTGAGAATAATAATTCTATTTTTAGATATTATCAAATTGAATTAAAAATTATATATATAATGAAATATATGCATGTATGTTTTCCTTTGTTTCATCACATAATTTAATCTTAATTAAAATATTTGAAATAAATAATTTTATTATTATTATTTAGTAAGATCCTTGAACTCGAAGAAGAACTTAAAGTCGTTGGTAACAACATGAAATCACTTGAAGTTTCTGAACAAGAGGTAAACATTTTTTTAAATAATAGAAATTCTAAATATATAATTTTATTTCTAGGCTATGCAACGTGAAGAAAGTTACGAAGAACAAATTCGTGATTTAACTACACGTCTTAAAGATGTAAGCTTGTTTTTTTTGAAATAGAAATATATATTATTGTTATCATTATAGGCTGAACAACGTGCCGATTTGGCTGAACGTACCATGGCTAAATTGCAAAAGGAAGTCGATCGTCTCGAAGGTAAACAATTCATTATCTCTTCTGCATGAGCAATCCATAATAAACTTCTTTTTTTTTGTTTCGTTATTTGTAGACGAATTACTTGCCGAAAAGGAGAAATACAAGGGCGTAAGCGAAGAACTCGACATGACATTAAACGAATTGTCGGGTTATTAAAAATCTATTGTAATTGGGTGTGGCAACAACAACAAACAACAGCAGCAGCAGCAAGCATCTTTTTTTTTTCTTCAAAACATGTTCTTCTCTTCTTTTTGTCTATTAAACCCATATCACCTTTGTGTGAATTTGTATCTGTGCAGCAGTGGCAACAGAATTAAACTTGCTTTTACTTCTATTTCTTCTTTTTACCACTGATATAAAACAATCGTTTTACTTTTTCTTTCTTATTAGAGCATGCACAACTCACACTCTTTTTTTTCTTCTCTTAAAATTTATCATTTTATGTCTCTATAACTAGTTTGTTTCTTTCTTTTTTTCTTATTTCTATTATTTAAAATCACATACAAATAAAAGATAAAGAAAAATATTAAGAAATATCTTATAGAAAATAAGATAATATAAATTATAGATTGATATGCTAGAAAATATTTTGATAATCTGAATAAACACATGTATTTATTGATTCTAAAGAGATAGATGATTAATATACAGAAAACATCAATCGAAATGCTGGATATTTCAATTATGATTTTTTCAGTACATTATGTAGTATTGAATAATATAACAATTCATAGTATTTTTTTGATAAAGACAGAAAAAATCGTAGACTGGATATATCCTATAATTGATCTCGAAGGAGAAATCGGTCGCATAGTTGCAGTACATTACTCGTTTAGCATTAAGATAATAAGAATCGATAAATCCTGACTATAGAAAATGAGTAAACAACAACTACAAAGCAAAATAATAGTGTAGAAATGTTAAGAACAGCATGCATCTCACTGATTTGGAGAAGATACAGGCAAATCTTATTGAATTGACGAATATGTCTCTCACATAATAAATCAATACAGTTATCATTCATATTCCTGATTTTGTTTTATTTTAAAAAATAATCCTAAAATATTCGATTTTTTAATCTAAATTTTTATGTGTTTCACCAAATTCTACACCGGGTTCATCCAATCTCTTTTTTAAATCTACTGCTTTTTTTGAAAAATAACTTTCACGTTCTGCATCTTTTGGTACACCATCACCACGACGACACATAATTGCTGCATTAACACAACCTTGAAACATTTCTAAATCACAAGCTTTTGATGCATAATCTAATGCCATTGGTCCATCTTTGACAACATCTCCATTATGTCCATGAAAATATGCTGACCAAAGATTTAAACATGATTCACCAACAGATGCTGAACAAGCTTTTTTATAATACTCCAATCCACGATTAACATTCTTAACACATCCATCACCTTGCATATAAGCAATAGCAGCATTATGACAACCTTTTGTAAATCCTAATTCACATGCACGTTCGAAATAGCTTGTTGACGCTGGAAGATCTTTGTCCATACCTAATAGAAATAGTCAATCAATCGTTTTATTTACTTCTAATAAACTGTATTTCTTTTTACCTCGACCGAGAAATGCAAATGTACCATAACGATAACATCCATGACCGAACTTCATATCGTCACAAGACATTTTATAGATTTTACCAGCTGTTGCATGATCAGTTTTAATAATTTCATGATAATTAGCTAATCGATAACAACCTTTTAATAATAGAATTTCAAGATAAAGAGAAATATTTAAACATGAAATTATTTATCATACCATCACCAAGCTTTTCACTAAAACAAGCAAATTGATATTCGACAAGTAGATTATCCAAGTATTCTTTATATTCTTCTTCAGATTTCGGAGCAAAATAAGTCATATCAATCTGTGAAATTCGTATATATTAGTTTTTATTTGTGTAGAATCGTTCATGTTTATTATAATATGAAAGTAGTGTATTGAACAAAAGTCAATTAAAAAAAACAGGACATTAAGCATTTGATCACAAAAAGTACGAAATTCAGATTATGAATTATTTAAAAAAAAAACAGATTAAGTTTGATTTCTTGACTTTTGTACATCATTAGGATTCACTGATTTTTTTCTTATCAATCAAAAGAAAAGTAACTATTCGGACACAAAAAAATAATATATCAACTGAATCATAGAAAACATAAAACGAGTGGATAATTAAGGATCATCCATTTATACTATATCTATATAGATGGCGATCCTGACATACATTATTTTAAAAGAAAAATATGGATTTATTTATGAACTATATACGTTTAAAAGATAATTAATTGCCAATTCTTCATTACGATCACAGGCTAGAAACGCTTCAATGACTTGATTTCGATCAAGACCAACTATTTCTTGTATCTAAATAAAAAACAAGATAATCTTCAATACTAATTCATTTTCGATATATGAGATAATAGAAAAGAGAAAATATATAGATAAATGCTACACATGATAGTGAAAATATTTTATCTTTTTCTTTCATTGGCTGTATTTTTTGATGTCTAAAGTAAATTAGTATTTAGTTTTTTTTTGTCATAAAAATATTAAAATCTTTTTAGTATAAAAATGGTCTCAGATGGTAGTGCATGTAAGTTCAATCTTCAGAGAATGTCTGATAAAGGTGAACGAGTCATCATCATCGACCGCTTAAGTTTAGATTCGATCCTATATTAATTTCGCTCTTCTCGATTCAAGTAAAGTAAATACAAACTCGTTCGATTGATTGTTGTTCTGTTGCCGTAAGAGAAATTGTTATCGTTCCAGGATTGTCACGACCAGGCAAAGCTGTACCAGCATTATCAGCACTTGCTTGACGAATTAAATCAAGAAAAGCTTGTGGATTATCATCAATCATCTATATATTAAATAAAATAATTAAAAAATACTATTGAATTTTATTTACTTGAGCAATTTGTGGATGTTCAGCTTGTATTGTCTGTTTAAGGACTTGAAGTTGTTCGGGATTATTTTGAAGTAGTCGTCCCATTTCTTGAAGATTTGCACCCATACCTGTATTAAAAATAAAACTTTTACTTTTTGATAAAGTCCTGAAAACTAACAGAAAATTTATTTTTAGTTTTTTATTCTTTGTAACTCATAAACTACATTTGAAAATATTCGTTAATATCAAGAAAAAAAACATGGAATTTATGGTTTGTATACGCCTTGAGAACATATTAGTTTAGATAAGAAAGAAATTTTCAGATGAAATAACAAAAAATTCAATATATGTGATCTATCTGTTGTTTTGCATTGGCATAAATTTTTATCATCTAAAAAAGATCCTATGATTAACTCAAACAAGATCCTTATAAACATTCGCTTAGAAATATGCGGTTAGGATTTAACCGAGCTTATAGAACATAAACTAATTACCTTCAGCACCTAGACTATGAGTAGCAGATGGATTTGGTTGACTTCCACCAATAATTGATGCCGTTGATTGTTGTCCTAAGCTAGCTGATGGAGGAAGTATTGGATCATCATCTCCGGTAGGTATATTTCCCTAAATAGTTATACTAATGAATTCAAAATAAATATAAAGTTTAATTTATTCAATACCGATGTTAAACGATCTAGAGCTTCATCAAAATTATATTTACAAGCTTTTAATGCCTTTTCAGAGTCTGAAAGATCAAAACCCATTGATACAAGACTACCTAAACTTTCTTGACGAGCTTCAGCTGATGGAAGTGATTCGGGAACCGTATATGTAGATTCAGTAGCTGTTCCATCTGTCGGATCAGGTGGATTGAATGTGGGTGATGTATACGTATTATTTGGATATGGTTGCTGCATGTATGAATTATTTTGAAATGGTTGTTGCATGTAGGAATTATTTTGAAATGGTGATTGCATAAATGAATTCGGCATATGTTGCATACCAAATGGTGAATTAAATCCACTGAAAAAAAAATATTCATTGAAGTGAAATTTTTACATTAAAAAACAAAGAAGAAAACAAACCCCATATTATTATTATTAAAACCCTGATTAGGTTTCTTTTTCGGTGGCTATAAAATTGAGAATAAAAAATTATGAATTATAAAATAAAATGTACATACTGGTTTTGGTTTGCCTGGTGTTTGTTTTACAAGAAGAAGAAATCCATCTTCTTTTATCGTAAAAGTGTTAAGCATATCTTCATCATCCATAACTTTTCCTGTACAAAGTAATTTAAGCAATTCAGCATTATACTTTTCTCTTAAGTCATCTCTTGCAGCAATTTTTTCTTTTAGTGCTTTAACCTTAAATTAAAAAAACAAGTTCTAAAATAATAATATCAATAGAATTTAAAAAAATAATTTACCGTTTCTGTATCCTCAATTTCAACTTGGAAACTGTCATTATATAGATTTTTAATTTCAAGTTTCATTATAATATAAAATACGCAGAAGAAATGTCTAAATGAATCGAGCTCGTACGATAGAAAGTTGGAAAAAAAACAATTTTGATGATGTTTTACAAAAACAAGTTTTTTTTTATCCGTTCTGTTCTTCCTTTTTTATCAAACACTCTCTTAGTGACATCTATAAACAATTTTTTATTATGAATTATTTCGAAAGATATAAATTTTAATTAAATTAGGAAAAGATAGACAACAGAAATAAATTATTCTTTATAAAAATAGTTCTTATTAATTATATGTACATATACATGCATCATTAAGAAGGATGGTTTTTGATAGAGCAAAAGACGAAGCTTAGGTGGACGAAGATATCAATTTACTATATAATATTTCTTTCTATGATTAGAATTTATATGTTTCAACGAATTTTATTTGCAGCAAAGCAATTGAGTCTTTGGCAGTTATAGAATTCTAGAAGTTTCTTCATTAAAGTCCGTTTGAGTGAGACTTTTCTATAGAGACATAAATTTAAAATAACATAAATCGATCTCTATTCAGCTAATGCACTGCAGCGTATTTTGATTTCTATAAAAACAGATCCGATACAAGTACCTTAAACTTACTCAAATTGGTATACGATCATATCCTAAGATCTAACTGTAAAAAAATGAAATTCATTTGATTTTCCTTATATTGAAGAAATGAATATGGGTTTAAAAAAAGAGCTAATGACAGCACTGATGAATGACGTTGATTTATTCGATTATCGTGTGTAGTTTTCATTCAAATATTTAAATATAGCCCTTTGATCTATTCGAAGGATTATAAATAAAGACTGTTTAGTTTATTAAGTTGTGGAACTAATTGAAACTTATTAAATTTTATTTATCTGTAATACTAACATATTTGATCAACGATTACTGAAAGAACTACAACATCAAGACGTACTTCAAATATTAATTGCGTATGTTCTACTGAGTATCATAGTAAGTGAATAGGAGATACTTTTTTGTTATATTTTCATTTTCAATATATGAGTGTAAAAACGTTGTCATTGATCGTAAGTTTTTGTCTATTTTTCTATTCAATAATTTCACGAACAATGGATGTAATCTTTGTATCATAACCATGAGATTTCAATTCAAAGGCAGACTTAGAGATCTTACCGGTCAAATGTAATATCTTAGATAACAGCTACGTTCTGAAGTTCATGCGGACTAGTATGATAGTATTTTTTTTGTAAAGATCAAGAGGAAGTAATCACTGGTAATATCATAAATCCGCCACTTTTCATTCTAAAATTATGGTCAGTATTACAGGTCATTCTATTTTCGAAAATTATTTTTATTGAAATATATATGAATCAAATTGATTTTGTACATTTTTCAACTATAGTAAAGTAAATTTAGTAATTAAGTGCATTAGTAACTACTTAAGATACTAATACTAATTGATATATCAATGGTCATTTTATAGAATGGCATCTTACTATTATAAAACTATCTTTCTATACTTCTTTTTCTTTCTTAAAACATAATATTAATTTTGATTAATGAATAAAAACAAAATAAAATAGTATGATTGAAATTTATAACAAGTAATTAATCCAGATGGTGCCACATATTGTCCTATTAATGAAACAAAGACATAATGGTCAAACCAATGAACGCTTGACCATTTGAGCAATTGACCATAGAATAGGATAAAGTTTATTCAAGCCAAAAAAGTCACATCATGAGTGAAGATAGTGACGATTCAATGTGTATAGATCCGGAAATTCTAAAAAAAGAATTAGTTATTTCATTACCAATTTTAAGTGAAGCTGATATTCAAAAGATTTTAAATGGCGAAGAATCATCATCAACAGAAGACTCAGCATCATCATCAGATGAAGTTGAAAAAGATAAAATATGTCCTAAACGTGATCAACGACGTTTAAGTTTATTAAATGATCCAAATTATGGCGTTATTCTTTATTTAATGGATAAATTTCGTTTACCTTTAAAATTAAAAAAATATCCATTACGTATATTTGAAGATAATCTTATAAGTGATCAAGAAAAACGTAAAAAAAGCTCGATAGTTTTTTCCTAAAAAATAAACAAACGATTTCTTGTATTTCTTTTATAGTTAGTGGACGTTATGTTGATCTTCATTTGACATTACTTAAAAAAATTTCAGCAGGAAAAAATATTGGACCAGCTCAGTTTGGATCATGCATGACAAAGGTAAAAAAATTTTAATGTACAATTTAGTTTTTAAATAGATTCATTCTTGTATTTAGTTTGCTTATCGATTTAATCGTGATGATGGTGATCATTTAGATGAATTTGGTTATCCAAAAGCAAGAATTGAAACTAAACTTCGAGTTTTAAAAGTAAATTGATTTTATTTTTCGTCACAAAAGAAATTTTTTACATATATTTGTGTTATAGGATTTATTAGAAAAACAATTTGATCGTAATCAAGCTATGAAAAATGCCGTAGCTAATAAAACTTCATCGGAATTATGTTCAAAACCATTTGGTCGAGATCGATTGGGTGCATCGTATTGGTTAATTCTGGTAAAAATTTTATTAGATAAAATAGTTATTTTAGAATAGTACATTGATAATAATTAATGTTACTGGAATCTATAGGAAAACAACGTAAATTAACGGAACATAAAACAAGTATTATGAATGAGATCAACATTGTTCCTATGTTCTAATATATATTTTTATTGATTCGATATTGTATAGAAAAGTGTATCTTCTGTATAATTTTTCATCATATATTTGTTCCGCTTTTTATTGAATTTTGTGCGATCTTTATTAGACGATTTATTAACGATTTTTGACAATAATTAATGATCTCTTTTCTTACAAAACTAAAAAAATATACACATATGATTTATACTCTTATACTTGATTTATGAAAGTATATAAGATAAGATATAGAGTATATTGTAAATAAAAGGCGGTAGATAAATTGCAACTTATCTATTAGCCTTAGCGAGGCATACTATTGATTGAATTGTATAGCCGCTTTTTTTTCTTGTAGGGTGTCGATGGTTTCATACGTTTATTTCGTGAAGATATCGATGCTGATCGTACATGGATAACTTTAGCCAAGTAAATAAAATAAATATCTTATATTTTAATTTATATTATTTACATATAGAAATTCACAAGAATTAGAAAGTTTAATTAAACTTCTTATAAGTGATTATCGTGTACGAAAAAAATTTCCTGGTAAAATAATTTTTTATTTAATAAAGATATATTTCTTTTTTTCGTTTGTTTTCTAGAATGGAAATTTTCTTATGAATCTTTTAAATGTGTAACACCATCAAGTGCATTTGAAGAACATTATTTATCTAATTTAGCTGATATTGAAAAGAAAGATGAAATATTAGATGAACTTAATTCTCCATCAATACGTATTGGTTCAGGTAAAAAATATTTAGAAAAAAAGAGAAAATAAATTCTTATTTTTATTTTTTTCTTAAAGATTTCATTAAAACAGAACATATTGATTTACATCCTATTGTTAATCTTGATCGAGATTTACCACCTGCATCTCCATATTCATCTTTTATGATAAAAAATACAAGAATCTCGAATTTCTTTGGTTTGTTCAATTTTTTTGTTAGTTATTCATTTCTAATTTTTATTCTTTAAAGATTTAACATCGGATCAAGAATCGATCAATTCGAGTGAAATTCATGGCAATCGTTCAAATGCTTCATCACCATCAAATAATACAAGAGATTCTACATATTCTGCTGGATGTGTACAAGAATTAAATAATAAATCTGAGAAAAATGCCGAAATGGACACAACAATGAAGAAAATTCAAGGTAATCATTCTAATGCTTCATCACCATCAAATGATACAAGAGATTCCGCATATTCTACTGGATGTGTACAAGAAAGAAATAATAAATCTAAGAGAAATGACGAAATTGATGAAATAATAAAGGAAATTCAAGGCTATCGCTCAAATGCTTCATCTCCATCAAATGATACAAGAGATTCCATATATTCTGCTGGATGTGTACAAGAATTAAATAATAACTCTAACAAAAACGTCGAAATGGATACAACAATGAAGAAAATTCAAGGAAATCGTTCAAATGCTTCATCACCATCAAATGATTCTATATATTCTGCTGGATGTGCACATGAACTAAATAATAACTCTAACAAAAACGTCGAAATGGACACAACAATAAAGAAAATTCAAGAAAATCGCTCAAATGCTTCATCACCATCAGGTGGTTCCATATATTCTACTGGATGTGCACAAGAATTAAATAATAAATCTAAGAAAGATAAAGAAATTGGCACAACAATGAAGAAAATTCAAGGAAATCGTTCAAATGCTTCATCACCATCAAATGATTCCATATATTCTTCTGGATGTACACAAGAATTAAATAATAAATCTAAGAAAGATAACGAAATTGACACAACAACAAAGCAAATTCAAGAACGACATAATCATATTAACGATACACAAGCAATCATAATACAACCATCGTTAGAACAAGGAATAAAACGTAAATTAGTCGATTATGATTCTAGTGGAAGTGATATTGAAGATACTGAAAAGAAAGATGAAACTAATCAAGGTTCTCATGAAACTCCATCTAAGGAAGAAACAAAGAATACTGCAGATTTACCGATTGCATTACGACGATCAAGACGAAGACGTAGAACATGCTTTATTCAACTTTCTCCAGATTCATCAAGTCCAAATCAATCTCTTTCACAAGTAAGCATATACAATTACACCTCATATACAATTGTAAAATATCTTCTAAATTATAAGGACAAAATCTAGATATGAGTATCTATGTATATCAATCTATTCTTTATTAATATAGTTCAAAACCGTCATGTCATCTTCGCCTGAATAACTAATCATTAAACTTAATGAGTTGATTTCAATCTATAATTATCTCAAACCTCGTATTTTACAATAAATATAAGTTTGATACAGATACCATTTTTTAATTCAGTGAGATTATAAAAGTTCCCTTATGTTCTTGTTAAGGCTATCTTAGAATATTCACTTAAAAATATATTTGACACTTTTACATATTTCATAGAGTTCAACAGAGAAGGAATACTTGACTGAAAAATGGAAACGTTCTTATCAGTCATTTAAAACAAATGGTCATCGTAAACGTTCAGCTGGCCGAGGTCGTCCTCGTGGTAGAGCATCAAAGCATGGATCTTCATCAACAACATCCGATGATCGTCAGCCAACTGACGATGATGATGATTTTGAGTTGTCTAGAGATTATTTACCTGATAATGCAGATTTAGATTTACTACTTAATGGAGATCTAGTAGAAGATGATGATGATGATGATTATCTTCCATGTCATACAGCTAAAACTGTAGCTAAATGTTATGAACAATCTCAATATCTTCGAAAACCATGTTTAATATGTTCACAAGCTGATAATCCAGAATTATTATTATTATGTGAAGATTGTGATGATGCATATCATTTAGAATGTCTTAAATCAAATTTAATGTCAGTACCAAATGATGATTGGTATTGTCCATTATGTGAACATAAACGTTTATGTGATGGTTTAATTGAAAAATTAATTGTACTTATAAAAGATGAAGAAAAATTTGAATTGAAACGTACATTAACTCAATCAAAACGAAGAAAACGTTTAACTAATGTTATGGTTAATGTTGACCGATATGTTAAACAACCAGTTATTGGTGAACGATATGTTAAACCGCCAGTTAACGGCGAACGATATGTTAAACCACCAATTAATGGCGAACGATATGTTAAACCAGCAGTTAATAGACGACAAGTCAATGTTATTAGTTCAAGTGATAATGATAATGATAATGATATAGACAAACCTAAGACGACAACAAATTCAATAAATAAGAATGATAAAACTACTACTGCCACTACTACTACTACTAATACTAATAATAATAATAAAAAGGATGATGAAGATGACGACGATGATGATGATGATAGTGTTTATGGACGTAAAAATGACGAGAATCGCAAGCCTCCCGATGAAAAAGAAGAACAAACAGGAAAACGTCAAGTACGATCATGTCGACGAAAAGCAAAAAGTTATTGTCTTGATGACTTTGATAAAAAATTTAAAGATGCTATGGTTGATGCTGGAATCAATAAAGAATTAGTTGAAGATGATGATGATGATGATTCAGGTATGTCAATTTCTTATCTTGTATTTATCTCTAATATAATATTTTAATTGAGCAAAGTTAACATCAACATTGAGTATCGTTCGCACAAGAATATCTATAAATTATACTTTTCTAATGTTGTTTTTAAAGTAATAAAATTTATTTATGTACTTAGATGATTCGGATGATATGAGTTTTAAACGTAAATCAGCAAAAAAACGTGCTCGTTATGAACGAGATGAAGACTTTGATGCATCCAATAGCAAGAATGATACGGATTTAGTACGAAATCGATCTCGGTATGTATTTATATATTGATTCTCATTCGAATATAAAAAAACTTTTCTTAACATAGTACTATAAATGGTGGTAGTCGAAGTGATGTAAGAGATCATGATGATCATGAAGATTATAATGATTTTAATGATTCTGGTGTGAGTGATGATGATATTGCTTGGATAAATAGACGACAATCATCAACATCATCAATAGCAAAAAGAAAATCAGTCTCAAAGTAAAAATATTATTTTGTCGTTTTTTCTTTTAATTTTTTTTTTATATGAAAGACCTAATCGTAGCAATATTCAAAAGTCGCCAAGTGTATCCAACGATGATACTATTCGTATGTATAAATTTTAACAAATCTTTTTCGCAAACTATTAGATTTAAAGAAAGAGAACATTACATAAAAGTGAATGATATCGAGTATATAACGAATGTCCTCTTTTTATGACAGTAATTACTAAAAGACATGTTAGTGTTGTCGTTATAATTTCCTTAGCCAAAATGCAATTTGCACAGTCGCCTCTTTTTTAAATCAAACTAATGATAGAAAAGAACAAGTTGTATTCGAACAACATTTCTTCTCGGATATATGTTGTACATGAATACATTTTTATGACAACTCATGGAAGTATTGAGAAGTTATCATTACAATTCTGTTTCTCTAAGTTGAACAACTAAATAATTCAACACAATCTTTTTTTCTCAGAACATTTTTAACTACTTAAAACGAAGACATTTTCTTAGATCTTACTATCGAATTATTTATATTTACTCTTTATTAAGCTTATACAATAACACCAAGCAATTCACCACCACCACCAATAACCACAATTAAAACTGAACCAACTATTCCATATCCTAAAAATTCATTTGATACAACTGGATTTGGTCAAAATTTACTCAGTACTAATGAAGTTGGTCCAAATTTATTCGATAAAAATAAATTTGGAAGAAATGTATTTGGTATAAGTGAAATAGGTCAGAATATAACTGAGAAAGCTGACACTAATGGTAAGAAAAAAGGTGCTAGTGAGAAAAAACCACGAACACGAAGACGAACAACAACTAAAAAAAAGAAATCTCTTATTCAACAAGAAAATATTAGTGATGAAGAAAAAGAGGATGGTCCTTTACCACCTAAACATAGACCTGCTAAAAAACCACATGATAGTAATGAATCATCAGTGGAAGATGACGATGATTATGATAAATTAGCACAAAAACGTCGATTAGTTAATCAGGGAAGAGCTATAACACGTACAAGTATAACAACTCGTATTAAAAAATTAGTTGGAGATGAAGATGATGAAGAGGAAGAGGAAGAGGAAGACGAAGAAGAAGATGAGGAAGATGAAGAAAACAATGAAAAGAATGAAACTTCAGGTATAGAAAATTTTATTTTCTTCTAAATATGATTTTATTACTATGATGAAATTAGATAAACCAAAAAAGAATGCTAAGAAAGATTCTAAAAAAAAAGTAACAACAGATATAGAAAATAATGAAATACGTTTATCTGATGATGATGATTTTCCGGATGATCAAGAAATATTGAAAACAACTGGTTTAATCAATTTAAAACGACCATTAAGTGCATCCGTAAGATAAAAAATCTTATTCATTTATAGAATCTTTCTATTTTCTTTTGTTTTTTATTTAGCAAGCAGCTGCTTTTCGAGTACCATATATGCCTACTGTACAATCATATCAATTTACAATGATTGATCCAACAGCACATTTTGATTTTACATGTCCAACTGATGAACCGAGTGATCCGAATCAAGCGAATGGTGATGCCACTCTCCCAACACCAACTTAAAACAAATTGATATTCTATGTATTTACGGTGCACATTTTTTTTTATAGTATTATAGTAGTTTATAATCTGTGTTTTTTGTATCTGCAATATGTTGCAAACAAATATTAGCAAGTAGTTGATTTTTTTCTTTTTATTATGAACATATGTAGTTCAATGATAGTTATCTAAGCTTTCAAAATCTTTCCATGAATTAGTGATATATGATAAAATAATGTTTTTTTTCTGTTTTATGTTTGATAATATTTCTAGTTGATAATAAAATGTAATTTAAATAGTTCTTCAATTAAGTCTTAAACAATGAAATGTTTAATTTTCAAATGATATTTTCATGAATTGGAAAAAAGCACGTAACGTCTTTATAGAAATCAAAATGACTTTTCGAATCAATAGAATTAATATCATTTGGTCTATTGTATTTTGAAAACTTAAATCTACTTTGATATGTGTTTTAACTTTTCTTCTGTGAAGCATTCAAACATTTTGAATAATTTTTGGCATTATTTCATTTCTCAGCTAATAATTTTGGGGTGTGCCAAAGGATAATATAATCATTTTCGATCCACCCATGCCTACATCCATCTTCAGAAAAACATTTGCATAATATTCAATTTACGTTTAGATTTTACAGAATTTTCTTGGATTACTATTTGATAAAATTTTGTTTTAGAAAAATAAATATCGAAATATTTATTTGAATTTCATAGAATAAATCAGCTCTTCAATAGTTTAATTCTTTATCAGAATAAAACGTTTTAACTTTATCGATTAAAGTCTTATCGAACGATAAAAAATGTCGTCGTTTTTAAGAAAGTATTCAATATTTCACAATATCAGTCTCAATATGATGTTTTCTTCTTTGTTCTCTTCTGCATGCCAATATACAACAAAAGAAATGATTGATTTACTATTTTCACTTACAACTATATTAATTTGATCATAATTATTCGGCATGAAGAACAATTTCAAAGAATAATAAAATGATGAGTTCGGTAGATTTTTTTGAATGTGAATGTGATATTATTCTATGCAGTTTGAATTATTTTGTTTATGTATTTATTTATTTCTCATAGATTTGATGTGTTTCAATAATATTCATATTGTTAAATAGTATTTGACGAAGATTCATTCTGAAGATGAACAACTGCACTTTTCTTATCATTTATCTAATATGTAGAATAAGAATAAAATCAACTGTGCAATACATTTCTGATAACACATAATATCGATTTATTTTCTCTTTGAACTGAATACAAAATAACAAAAACATTTTGTTGTCAAAAAAGTTCTATTTGATTGTTCAAGAAGCATTGTATTTGCTGTGTTAAGGCATGATTTTCAATGTATTCTTAAGAAAAATAACGTTATGTTTTGTCTGAAACACTTTGTTTTGACATCCTTCCTACAAAACTTCAATATCATAAACATTTTTTTATATTCACAGCAAATAATGTCTGACATTTCATATCAGTTTTGAAAAAGGAAACGGATTCATTGTTTTTATTTATTGATAAATTCAAATGTTGTATTTGTTGCAAATATTTAAAAAAAAAGAAAGTTCCCATTGACATTATTATGTAGGCGAATACGGAAGAGAAAATAAACTTCATGTTTTTAGTAGTATATAGAAGAGTTTTTTTATCATGCAAGTTAATTATTGGAGAATGCAACTAAAAAGAAACAATTTGTTTTTATTTCATTTAATAGAAGACAAATATCAATAACAGATAATGATTTATGAATAATTACAAATGAGAAGATAATTTTCTCAATAATATTAATCATTAGAAATGAAATAAGATTCTTCTCATTTTATTTACTTCATAGTTTTGTAATTAAATTTTATAGAATCATCAACTATGTTGGACATTATTTTAATTAATAAGTATCAAGAAATGGATTATCAAATGATATCTTTCACTTTATTTTTATGTATGTGCTTCATTCAAAACAAAGGTAATACTGAGTGAATGATTCTGATACTCACTGTATATAATCATTTTTATATAAAGTATTCGTGATAAAACATCATATGTCGCTGACAACAACAAGATCAGTTTTGATTAAAATGTTATCTATTGTAAATGTCGAAATCTATGAGGTAGCCTGTGAAAATAAACTAGTTCAAACAAGAGTTAATTTCTATTGAAAGAAAAACATTGAAAATCAGCACTTTTGAAGGAAATGCAAAGTTTCCTGAGAGAAAAGAATGTATTTGACTAAAATATTTTATTATTTTTCATTCATTTGAATGTCTGTAGACTTAAGCTGTAATTATGTTGTTAGATATTAAATTATTATTGAAAAGATACTGCGTCGATAAAATAATTCAGTAATAGATTGTGATGAGTATATAATATTTTGATGGGGTATGAGAAGGAATGATAATGACGATGAATTAACATCAGGATAAGACAAAATAGTGAACTTGAAGGATTCATGATATTGTACAAGGCTTGACGATTGATATTACTACTATTTCCTTTATGTTCACTTTCTCTACATAAATGTCCAATCAGCACAAATTAAGAAACAAATCTGAAGTTTTGTTTCTCTAGTGAGAAAAACGATTCAAAGAATCTACATATTTTATATGGCTATGATTGTAATTAAAATCATGATTATAGTTCTCTCTATCGACTAGTCATATCTAGCAGATTATAACTAAGTGAAGATCAAGTATTAATCGTTTTTATTTTCTTGAATTTTCTATTTCGACCTCCAATTAAATCAATGAATATCATCATCATTTATCTATTCTACGAAATAATTATTGCATACGATAAAATCAAATTAAAAACATTTCTAACCATAAATATTGTTTAGTTCTCAATTAATTTAAAACAATCTTTGTGTATAGTAGAACATTTTAACGTCAGTTTTTTTCTCTGTTGGGAAATGATGCACATCCTTTGAACAGCGCTGATTTTCAATGTTTTATTAACTAATAATTACAGTAAATGTTGTCTCAGACAGTTTCATATTTATAGGAAATAACAACTCTATCTAAAAAGTGTTTTTATTGATATATGATGTTTTACATCAACACGATGATATACGTCATAAAATAACTGATTATTTAAGAAAGAGAAAGAGAGAGCATGATAAATGTTTTTTCTATTATTTTAATAATTTTCTAGTTGAAATCGGAATAATAGATATTACTTGAAATATACATCTCAATAATTAACGAGCAGCACAAATGATTTTTTGTGAAAAGATATTCAGATAAATAGTTTAGCTTCTTTGTAATTATATTATTAATGACTGAAAATCTATAAATGAAAAAAGTCTTTTTGTCGATTTTAGATTGTAAAAGTATTCTACTTTCAGCAAAATATCAACAATGAACAACAACAACAGAATAGGTGTTGATGATGATGTAATTTATCCAGAAAAAGAAAAACCATAAAATATAATATTTATCTTTTTTGATTATTTTAGTCTGAAACAGTTACTTCGAATGTAGCTCAACCAAAAAAATTGTATGTACCATATGAATTGTAGACAATGATAAAAAAGGTTTATCATTCTAGATGTGAATATTTGAAAAGAAGAAAAGTGACGTGGATTATAGTTATTATTATTATACTTGCTGTAATCATAACAATTTCAATTGTTATCGTCATAACAAAAAACACAAACACTGAAAAAAAATCAACAACAGAAGAAATAGAAATAACAACAGGTAGTTAAAATGAGATAATCATTTATTTTGAAGTTAATATAAGAGAAATTATTTCAAATGACAGAAGTAGAAGTTTATTGTTTATCATAAGAACTAATGTATGATACTTCTAAGCAAAAATATCAAAAGTTGTTCTGAAATCCATAATGAAGTTTTTAGCATGTAGAAGAATATTTAGTAAGAGTTAATCTCTCACAAAATCAGTTATCAGTGATAGTTAGGGTTGTAAAGAGCTCGAGCCCTGACCGAGCTCAAGCTCGAGAGACTTGGTCGGGACTCGGACTTGATACATCCCTACCCACACCCTCAAGATGTAAATTCAGTTGTCAAAATTATTATAGTAAAGATTCAATTAAAGTAAACATCATACAATTATAATCTAAATCATTTAAACATTTCCTGTTTTATTATAATCAACTCATATATGACGTTAATATAATGTTAGAGAAAAAGAAACAAGTTAACAGACAAATATTATCCAATTGTTTATTCTCAATCTCAAATCATTTTTCTAACATAGAACTAACTACGACATCAACGTCGACATCATCAACAACATCATCAACAACATCATCAACAACATCATCAACAACAACAACATCATCAACTTCAACAATAGCAATACCTAGTGAGTACTAGGCTAAATTATTTGTAGTGACTCAAAGGATGATTAATAGAAGTGATGATATTTAAAAGTTTTGATTTTAACTATTGTATGATCTCCATCTCGATAGACAACATTAGAGAACATTTCCTATCAGAAGTTGAAATAGGGCTAGTGTTTGATGATTTGATTCGATCTACATTCATTTAAGTATTAAATATTCTTGTCCTATTCAACAGTATCAGAGGGAAACATTGTTGATCAAAAGATTTGCATGCGACAGAAGTTATTGATTATTTTAGTGATCACTTACACCCACTTACTCGCAAGATGATCGGACAATCATTTTACACGTTGAAGTACTAGTTGACATAATATTGACACGACACATGTCTATCAACACCTAATCTCATATTTTATGTCGTATATGTATAGAGTAGAGTAATTCAAAAAAACATCGTAGTAGTATAAAATACACACTTCAAAATTGAGAAAAACGGCTTTCATCATCATCTATTAAGCCTTAATGCATACTGATTTTCTCATGAGAACGATGCGAAAGTTATATTCTCTTACTCACAGTCATATCCTCATTCATATTCATTCTTATCTACATTCTGACACATACATAAACTACACATTCAACATGGTGAAAGTACATCTTGTTGTCACTATGTTGAACAATGTAGAATGACTTTCACACAAATTCTGAAATTCGATCATTATTCATCATATCCGAATTGTAGAACGGAGGTTGAGTTTCATCAGTTCGCGATATCCGTAGAACTCAAAAAGTGTCAATGAAATCATTTATAACATACCTTTCATTAATTTAGTTTAATATTTCATAATGAATCTTATCTTAATCATGAAAACAAAGAGAAGTTTATTGAAGGTTTGAAATCATTTAACCTGTCATCATTAAATAGACAACTTATACATATATAAGAGATTCGAAGTCGTTTTAAGAAAAACATTTTTTTCTCACTTTTCTACCTTGTTTAGGATGGACTGTCACAGGCAATATGAATCTTGCACGACGAGAACATGTAGCAATCACATTAGCAAATGGATCAGTATTAGTTGCTGGTGGATCCAAATATCTTGGTGATAATCTCAATAGTGCTGAATTATACAATCCATCAACAGGCATTTGGACAACCACAGGAAGCATGACTGATGCACGAAGATTACATACAGCATCCACCTTAACAAATGGATTAATATTAGTTACTGGCGGACATTATGCTTGGGGTGGTACCGAAGCTGCTGAATTGTACAATCCATCAGCAGGCACTTGGAGACTCACGGGAGATATGAATTTTGGACGATATTGGCACACAGCATCTACATTAGAAAATGGATTAGTATTAGTTGCTGGTGGATACAACCAACGCTATCTCAATAGTGTTGAATTATACAATGCATCATCAGACACTTGGACAATCACAGGAAGCATGAGTATCGTACGTGGACATCACACAGCATCCACATTAGCAAATGGATCATTATTAGTTGCTGGTGGATCCAAATATCTTGGTGATTATCTCAATAGTGCTGAATTGTACAATCCATCAACAGGCACTTGGACACTTACAGGAAGCATAAATGTCGCAAGAAATCATCACACAGCATCCATATTATCAAATGGAATAGTATTAGTTGCTGGTGGATACAACGGTACTTATCTCAATAATGCTGAATTGTATAATCCATCAACAGGTACTTGCACAATCACGGGAAGTATGAATTTTGCACGGCGTATTCATACAGCATCGACTTTAGCAGATGGATCAGTATTAGTTGTTGGTGGAGAGAATTCTTTAGGTATTATCAATAGTGCTGAATTGTACAATCCATCAACAGGCACTTGGACAATCACAAGAAGTATGAATACCGAACGATATTGTCACACAATATCTACATTAGCAAATGGATTAGTATTAGTCGTCGGTGGTGTAACCTACAGTGCTTTCTTAAGTAGTGCTGAACTGTATAATCCATTAACCGATACTTGGACACTTACACCAAACATGGATATCGTGCGACGATTTCATACAGTATCCACATCAGCAAATAGAAAAGTATTAGTTACTGATGGAACTGGTAATGGTGGTTAATCCAATAGTGTTGAGCTTCATTGATCGATATAGACAGAATGACATTTTCTTTCGAAATAATATATGAATTGGACTAATATTTCGAAGTAATATTGTATGACGGTTATTGAAAAAGAGCAATAATTGATAAAAGACAGATCATTCATTGTACAATTGAGTGGATATAAATATAGATGTGAAGAACATCAGTCATTGCTTGTTACTAACCACGTGTATTTGAATGAGAGCGAGTTCGCATATGATGATATCGTATCAATAATCGTTCTGAAGTAAATATCAGAAAACCCTGAGTTTTTGCTAAATAGCTTGATCAGCTTAGTTGTTGTATTTTAGAAAGTGAATATATTTTATGTTCTTATTATATGCATAATTTTACAAAAAAGGAATGATGATCTCGACAAAGAATAAATCAAATGTCCATGTCAAAGAAATAAGGCATGTTGCGGAAAAATTACTACTTACTTCTGAATAATTAAATGAAAAAGAAAATAGAATTTATATTATCGAAAGTAAAACGAGGCGAGTGAGAGTGTAAATCAATATTCTATTCACTCTGATCGTACAGTTATAGCTACGCTTACGCAGTGAAATTTATTTCAATCATAAAATATATCTCTCAAATAAATTAATATTATAAGTTACAAAGTAAAAAGACAACAAACACAAAAATAATCTACAAGAAGAAGAATGAAAAAAGTGTCTGATTAAATTGACGAAATCTTTTGATTATTTGATAGTTTGTAGAATGACATACCATCTTGAGAATGTGGATATAGGTCTTTTATCTGTCACCTACACCCAGTTATTTATTCGGACGATGTTAAATGATCTTTTTCAGCAGAGACCCATTTGTATTTGTTTAACGATACTTTTTTTTCGCACAGATATGAAAGAGGAGATGAAATATGAACTCAATAACAACTTAGAAATCTAATGGATTGCAATGAAGAGAACAATAATATGCATAGAATACGTACACTCGTTGTCCATTAAACGTGGAATAACTTGCATACTGATTTTACTCTTTAGATTAATTTATATTTGTGCCATACCTATGTTGATATTAATACTGAATGGATGTGTTAGATCTATTCTTCTTGATTAAAATAGTTTATTTTGTAAGTAATAAGATTAACCAATAACTTTAATCACACACCTACACTCACACCCTCAAGATTATAGAAAAATACCTGTGTTACATATAAGAAATCTTACACTAGGAAAAGATCAAAAGAACATATCGAGATTATATGACAGAACGAAAGAAAGAGTATATATATGTATAGAAAAGAAAAGAAAATATACTGGATAGTTTCTTAAAGAATGTTGTAAGGAATATTCTATAACAGATAAGAAAAATGTATTGCTAATGCACAAAGGGTATGAAAAGCCATTGTAAATAGTAATATGGTTTTTTCAGATGTGCGATAATGAGATAAGATTTACAATATAGAATTGAATATTTAATGACGAAAATAAAAGTAGAGATTTATTCATACATGTACAATATAAAAAAAATATTAATGTGTAGTATATATTTACATCCATGTTTTATATATATATATGAAGTAAATTATCTACTACCAAATTAGAGATGCTGAATAATACTAAGTAGTTATCTTAAATGATTAGGTTTATTCATCATTCTTAATAAATAATAATTTTTTATTTATGATAGAATACTTTTATTGAAACCAAGATAAAGAAAAAAAAATACACTAGTTCTGTCTTTAAAATATGCTGACTCTTTTTCTTCCCAATATTCTTCTCATTATCACAAACGACAAGAAAAAAACATTTTTAAAAAAAACGAACAACAATAAATATATATTTGTATTACAATAGAGCACACGTGCATATAACGCATTTGGTTGATAACAAATAATTTCTTTAGTTAACACTATTCCATTCATGAAAATTTGTCTATGAGAAATGTTGGCTAATGGAACACACAGGAAAAAAGAAATGACTTCGCAGGAATATATATGTATATAAAGAATATGAAATAAACCAGGACATTATGAAAGGACTGTGAAGAGAGAAATTTTTTTATCCATCATTTCTTTCAACTCGTTTGACGTTTAAGATTTTGAACAAAAAAAAAAGAAACAAACAAATAAAAGAGATTAAAGACATCATTCATGACAAGAACGAAAAAAAGGTCATGTAATGTTAAAGAATTTAATTCTTAGAAGGATTATCACTTTGAGTTGATTCAGGCTTTTGATTTACTGAAGAATCTGGCTTTGCTGGTTTTTGTTCTTGTTCTTGAGCAGTAGTTTTTACTTCATCAGTTGAAGGTGATTCAGTCGTTTCTTCGGGTTTCGATTCAGGCTCAGATTGTTGTAAATTCTCGCCTTGCCAAACAAGAATTTTTGCTTCACGTTCAGCTATATCAAGGTGTACTTCATTGTTATCAACTTTAACATTATAATTAAATGTCCATTCATGCCACCAACCATTTGCTGGTATATTTGGTACACGATAATTAGCTATACAAAAAAACAAAATCGAAAATATTTTATATCACATTAAAATATATATATTTATACCAAGAAAAGTTCCAGATAAATTAACAATAACAACAACACGTTCGCCTGAATCGGCCCTAAAATAAACGAAACAATGAATAATAAATTAATATATAGCTATAGAAGAAAATTTTTCTTGCCATCGTTGATAAGCTAATATTTTTGCATCATGATCTTCATGAATAAATTCAAGATTTGTTGAGAAAAATGCTTTATTGCCTTTACGTAAACGAACTAAACCACGATAAAATCCTAATAATGTTTTATTTAATTGATTAGAATTATCTTCATGATCATCAAGTAATGACCAATCAATTTTTGCGACACCACATGTTTTTTCTTTGTATCTAAATAAAATATTTTTTATTTATTTTTGTTTTTAGAAATAGAAAATTTTTAACATACTCGCCAATTTCTTCTCCCATCCAAATCATTGGAATGCCAATACTTGTCATTTGTAGTACAACACCAAGACGTACACGTTTAAATGCTTCTTCACCAAAAATCGAACGTTCTTTACCCATTTCAACAATCATTCGATCATGATCATGATTACCAATATAATTAACAACATTTGTTACACCTAAAAATCCTTGTTGTCGACAATCAATACCAGCTTTCATTCGACCAATATCAACATTATCATAAAGTAAACATTCACGTAATGTCCAGTAGAAACTATCGTGCCAACCTAAAAATAATTATTTATTGTTTAATAAATAGAAAAAGAAAATCATTTCATATTAAATTACATCCATCCATAGGACCATCGATATTTGTTATACATGGTTCATCTGGTAAAAATTCTGCTACAGTATAAAATGGTTTAGCTCCAGCTGCTCGTTTAGCTTCTTTTACAACCCAATGAAGAAAATCAAAATTTTGAATTTGACGGGCGGCATCAAAACGTATACCATCAATATGAAATTCTTCTACCATATAACGAATAGAATCACCAACAAATTTACGAGCAGGCCATACGTTATATTTAGGATCATAAAAATCTAATCAACAACAAAAAAAATAAGTTAGATAATCATTATACTAACAGAACAAAACTTTTTACATACTATAATTCCATTCAGGTCCCCATGACACTAAGAGAAAAGAAAAACATTCGTATTACTATTGACATCATAAGGTTATTTATGTTTCTTACTGGTTACATCTTTTGGATTGTGATGATACCAATAATCATGATCAATTTGTGTTAACGGTGAAGAAGAATCAGAATGATTATATACCTAATTGTAGAAATAAGATATAATTTTCAAAAGTAACTATTTACTTACACCATCTAAAATAACACGAATACCATTTTTATGTAATTCATCAATCATTTCTTTTAAATCAGCTGTTGTACCATAACTTGTTTCAATAGCAAAATAATAACGTGGATTGTATCTAAAACATATTTCAAATATAAAAATTGATTAATTATCAAGATAATATACATACCCCCTAGAATATTAATAATTGTTATTAATATATTTTTAAAAAATTAATTGAATCATATAATATAAACGAGAAATATCCTTACCAAGAATGATTTCCTATTAGGAAAAGAAAACGAGAAATAAATATTTAGATTATATTAAATATGTCTTATTTTTTACCTGGATATTCTTTGATGGGCATAAGTTCAACTAAAAAATACAAAATAGATTTCGTTATTTTTTTTTATAAATAAATAAATGCAATATGACATACTAGCATTCACACCAAGTTCTTTTAAATATTCAATTTTTTTAGTTACATTCTTGAATGTACCACGAGTATCTTTTTCACCATCTTCTCCACCAGAAAAATCACCAACATGTATTTCATAGATAACAAGTTCTTCATCAGGTGGTAAAAAGCAATTATCATGTTTCCATTCATATTCATCTATGCAGAAAAATATATATATAATTTAATTAACACAAAATTTATATATATATATATACCGATAATACGTTTGCCATTTTTGACCGTCAATATACCAACAGCTTTATGTGCATCATCTAAATAGAATTAATATTTGTAATTTACATAAATCGTAGATAATTAAAACTAAAATCATTTCGTCATAAATGATGGAAGGAATGTACGAAAAATCTGAATTACAACAACTAGAATCGATCACTATGAGCAGATAGACTTTCACGCCAATGTGATACGGTGTAAAATAGCATATAAACAATAATTCTATTCTTGTTTCTAATTCTCTAGTATAACAATTACAGTGAGCTTTCAATTAAGTTAAATCTCAAAACTTCTAGTTGTCGATTGATCTTCTTAGAAGCAAACAGAAAATTTCATTCTCCGATATCAATCTAACTGTCATTTAAGAATGATCGATAGCAGTTACCGGAACTAATATAATTAACTGTTTATGAAATATTCAAGCATTTCCTCACATGTTTGAATAAATAATTATATAGTAAACGATTCTGTTAGATTAGTATGATATAAAAAGATTCCGCTTATTTTTAATTTCAGTTAACTAGAAATATTCATTACCAGTGCCACGTTCATCAACGTCAGTTGCATATGGATCTACAAAAGTATACCAAATTTGAGTATATGTTGCTTCGTGTTCACGTTGTCGATTTCGTTCTCGAATTTCATCAACAAGTTTGGAATATGCTTGAGCTTTTTCTTGTTTTTCTTCCTGTGCTAAAAAAAGAAGTAAACGTTAATTCGTTACAAAATGATTATTATTCAAATACAATCTTATAACTTACTCATTTCTTTATATTCTTCATCGTCATAATTAGGTAATGCAGGTTCAGGTTCTTGTTCAAACCAAGATTTTGTTTCAACTATTTAATATAATAATAAATAATTTTTATGATACAAAATAAACAATCTATTTTGTTTACTTTTAAATTGATAATGAAAAATTCCATCAGCTAAATCTACAGTTGCTCGAAAATAACCATCTGATTCATCTTTTTCCATAACTAAAATATTGATGAATGATTTTGTTTATATAATATATATATTATGAGAAATCAATTTTCTTACTAATATCAACACCGAACATTCGTGAATGTGCATTTTTCAACTATAAAATAAAATTAAAATATTCGTTTAAACGAAATAAAATCAACGAACTCGTAATGCTGCTTGTTTATTGTAAGGAGCAAAGAGTGTAAAAGTAAATGGAGCCATATGATCAATTTAATATGAAAGAACAAAAACTGAATCTAGAATAAGATAAGAATCTATCTAATATCTACTTTATATGAAAATCAAAGAAATGAAAGTACTCAATCGTCGATTTTTTGTTACCCTTGTGGTATCCATGGAATCGTATGTTTAAAAAAAGAATGTCAATTTCAGTACATTTACGTGTGCGTTTGTTACCAAAAAAAAGAAGAAGTGAAGTTGTATCGCTAAAGGAGAAATAAAACAGGTGATAAGAGTACGTCTCATATCTAACGCGAAAATAATTATATCAATACTATAGGTGTGTAAGTATACTCTATATACACGTATAAAAAACAAAATCCAAAAACCATTATTTATTTTGATTGTTTGTTTGCACGAATATATTTATTTTGTCAATAGTCCAAATTCCAGTTGTATATATACTATCGAATAATATGAATATATCACTAGTAAAGAAAATATTTTTTACTCTTTGCACCATTCAATTGATGCAATAAAAGTATTATCGGTCTGTATGCGTGTACTCTTTGCACTCGTGACGTACGTAAAAAGGAAAGAGAAAAAAATCTGCACGCATCGATTGTGTTAATGTCTTCGTAGATATTAACAGTAATCAAGGAACGAAGTGATAATCGACTGAGACCATATGTAAAGTTTCGGATCTCTCAAAACAGTAGTCTTATGAAGTAAATATGAAAGCAAGAAAAAAACACGCTATTCATTCTCACTGGATGAATAAATAGTCGTACGAAAAATGAGAAGAAAAGAAGAAAATATATTCTCGGTGAAACCAAACAGACGACTATACACAAATACATATTGCACGAACAAATAAAGGAATGGAAAATATGTGGTATTTTATACCAAGTACTTTGAGTACCAATAAAAGAAAATCATTCCCAAACAGATGTCACTGAGAACCAATATTAAAAAAATGTTAATTTATTAAAATTATTATATTAAAACTACATTCAAATTCATATAAATATATTTAAAATAATATAAAATTGAGAATATCGCAGATGAACTTTATTACTCAGGTACATAAGGTATTTGTTCAATAATCTTTTTCACCATTTCTACTTCTTCACCAGTTATTTCTTGAGGTAACTGTTGCATTGCAGATGATTCTAAAATATCCTGATATCTTTGTGGTCGTTCTGTGTGATTTACTTTCATTCTAAAAGAATTAATCAAAAATATAATTAGTTTCTACATACAAACAAAAAATAGAAAAGGTTTCATCTTTATTATTACCATTTAGGATCTATTCCCTAAAGTCCTAATGTCATTATCTTCTGGCCAAGAAATTGAAATAATAAGGAAATAGTTTTCTGATATAGTTTCTTTTTACAAAATCACATTAAGTTAACTAATATTATTCGATTAAGGTCCGACTCATTTCGTATGTATAAATCTCAGCATATCGTATTCAAATAATAAATATAAAACATGGCACTTCTTTTGTTCTATTAATATACAAAAGTCATAACTATCTGTTTTATGGAAGTGATCTGTTATATTCGATACAATATCTATACGAATCTTTTTTACTCAATAGTTTGATTACAAATCTTGTAGTTTCTAGCTTCTACAACTATATTGGTTGCATCGACTTTTTGAATAATTTGTGTTAAAAAACACGGATGATCGTTTATGAAAATTACTTAAAAAGTAAAGTTTTTTGTCCGAACATTTAGCGATTACTCTACGGCGGATAAAGTATTTGTTGAACAAAAATAACACTTTTATCGATATATTTAAATCCAATTACTTACAACCACGTGACTAAGTCTTGTAATTCTGATGATAGAGACGATGGTAATTGAGGTACCCATGTTTCGGCTTTAGCTAGAATAGGAATTGCATCCAATCCACGAAATGGATGTTCGTTTGTAGCTATTTCGTACTAGAAAAAAATGAATGAATTAAAAAAAATAAAAAATTCTGTTCTTTATTACAGTTGAAAGACCTAATGCCCACATATCTGATTGAATGCCATATCCTTCAGGTGATCTTTCTTTGTCGATTCGTTCGGGCTAGAAAAATATCAATTCTTTTTTCAAAGGAGGATACCTAAATACCATCATACCGCTAAATAAATTCCTGTTCCTTTCATCATTGTTGCTGTAACAGAATTAACCAATCGACCACATATACCAAAATCACATAGTTTAAATATAACAGGATTTTGATTAATCAAAATATTAGATGGTTTAACGTCACGATGAAGAATATTTTTTGTTTTAAGAAATGAAAGTGCATCAACCATCTGAAAAATTAAAGAAAATTATTGATTAAACCAAATTTTTTTTATTTTTCTTACATGATTTATCATTCTCTTAAGTAATAAATCAAGATGTTGTATTTCATTTATTTGATGCATTTTAGTACTAAATTTTTCCATTGAAGTTTCACACGCTTCCATACATATTAATAATTCATTGTCTCGCTTTAAAATAATAACTTTCATACATATATTATTGAAATATTTATTTTACAAACCTTACGGACTAGTGCAGTATAAAATGTAGTTACATGTGGATTTTCACCTGAACCAACGGTACGAAGTGTTCGAAGATCAGTATCAGCTGTAAAATCACTTGGATTATGCGTACTTTGATAGAGATTCAAGTGCTATGTGTAAAGAAAAAGCTTATTTAAAAAAGGAGCATATATGTACACTTTGTTCAATGTTATAATCAGAAATAATAAACATATAAAAGTATAGCATCGATTTTCTATAAAAATCTGCCATTTTAGATTTCGTGATTTACAACAATATTTTGATTGTACTAAGAAAAGTATCTAACCTACTTTCACAGCCATCTGAAGTCCTGGACAATCTTGAACTTCGGTTAACATAACATATCCAAAATTTCCAAAACCTAACCTTCGTATTTCAACTAACATACTAGTATTAATAGTTATTGATTGTTCCTGATATTTAAGTTTTGCATCTTCGCCAACCTCTAATGATCTAAGAACAACGAACTGAGAATAAATTAATCTAAGATAGCTTTTATTAATTTACGTGTAAAATGAGGCTTGTTCAGATAAAGATTCATCAGGATTACATATTATAAATTCGATGGGAACTAAATCAAATTACTCATATATAAGTAGTTATAACAAACAGATCGTAGTTACTTGGCTTTTTTCGTTTTACAGGTTGTTTATTTGTCGTCATTTTAAACACCGGTCGATATCAACTAAACCGATTTCTATGCTTCTTTTCATAACCGCGATGGATATTGAGTCATCAGACAGAAATGAATCAACCAATCATATTATAACATTTGATCCTCTATTCTTTTTTCTGATTGGTGTATAAAACATTGCTAAGGTTTATTTGTTCAGTAGGACAAACAACGATTCAATTCAATGTAACTACATTTGCTATTTTTATGTAAGAAGTCATTTATAATACTTATTCGAGTGTCGTATCATGAATTAAGTTTAAAAATAATGAAAAATTGTTTCATCTTTTAGATATTCTTGTTCTTTAATGGCTTCTTCAACGACAACAACAACAACATCAACAAATAATCAATCGAATACATTAAATAATGAAACAGCAGTTTATGAATATATGCGACAATTTGTTGATTATCAAGAAAATGGAGTTGATTTAAATGAATTATCAGAAATTCGACAGCTGGATATTTATTTACAAAGTATTTGAATAGTTCTTTTTTTCATATGTATATGAATTCTCTAACAAAGATCTATCGAGCAGTTAGAATAATTTTTCCTCGCTTGACTATAGTACAATGACTTGTTGTTTAAAGTCAAGAAGTATTTCCTATACAAACTTTTATCCTTTATTTACTAAGTAATGAACAATAATAATTATCGAAATTCAGTTAGAAATCAACAAACTTAACTGTAATTTTAATATATTAAATTGTTCTACTAAAAGTAATTGTACGATCATCAAATAAGCTCTATGTACTTGTTTAGCTATTAACTCGTTTCAACTATCGCTCAGACTAAAAAGCTAGGTTATACTTTTACTTATGAAGGAACTATTCGAAATGATTAACCAGTTTCATGATCATCATTTGAGCATATTGAGACAACAATAGACTAGTATAATCTTAAACAACCTTTAACAATTTGTGGAAAAACAAAATTCAAAATTTTCGTACATCGTCTCTGAAGCTTTTCTTACAAATTAATTTATGAAAAATCTTTATACGTTTCTATAGAACCAATCTACTAAGGCTTCAATATTCCATTATAAATTCGAATCGCCGTATGCTTGACTTAGCTTACAAATGATGTCTCTATGGAGTAAAATACAGTTTTAAAAACGATTAGTAGTTTTGGATACTTTTGACGTCAATAAAAATCATGTAATTCTTTTTCTCATCTAGATTGTTATACTCGTGTACGCGAACTTGTTACTAATCTACGTGATAAACAACAAGAACCGGTAAATATGAATGTATATCTAAAAATTTATTTTATTCTTTTGTCTTTTGTTTTTATTAATTAGCAATCTCAATCGGATATTCAAACAATGTTAATTAATACTTTAATTCAAGCTAAATCTATAGGTGATAAAAAAATGCAATTAAGTCAACAAATGCTTGATACTACTGAGCGACAATCAAAAAAACTTAAAATAGCTTATCAAAAATATAGTAAAAAATTATTCTCTATTTATTCTATAATCTATCAATTATGTTTTTTTCTTCTATCTAGTCGAATCAATAAATCAACAATCAACAACATCAGAGAATAATTCCAATGAAATTGATTCCGAAAATGAATATGATTCTGAAATGAATAATCCTCGTTCATTATCAACTAAAGCATCAACAACATCATTATGGAAACGAAAAACAACAACAAATAATCCATCAACATCAACCATAAATCTTAAAAGAAAATGTGTTACAAATACTGAACATACTAATGATCAACGTGATAGAAAAAAAACCACACAAAGAAGTACAAATGCTAATACACAAAATACGAATAGTGGAAATAATAAAAAATTTAAATTAAATAATGATTCATCATCAGCACCATCTGATGAACCAACATATTGTTTATGTTCTCAAGTAAATTATTTAGAAAATAAAATAATTCATTTATAATATTTGAATTTTTCTTCTTTTGTTTAGCTTTCTTATGGTTCAATGATTCTATGCGATAGTAAAGCTTGTGACATAAAATGGTTTCATTTTAATTGTGTTAATCTAACAACAAAACCGAAAGGAAAATGGTTTTGTCCAAAATGTCGAGATAATCGATCGTAACATATATATATCTATATATATAAAATAAAAATAGAAAAAAAAACAACAACAACAACAACGTTTTCTTTTTTGTATATGTTTGTATGTACATATTTATTATTTTATTGTTCGTTTTTTGTGTTCTTTTTTTAAAGTCACAAATAAGATATATAAAAAAAATTTATTTCTTAGAGTTTAAAAACAAATCTTCATTTATTTTTATTACAAGATCATATTTTGATTCTGTTAGACTTTGAAAAGTCAATGAAAATAGTTTAATTAAATCCAAATTGTTGTTAACAAATACAGATGAAGTTAAATAACGTCGCTCGATTGGTTGCACTAATTCTGTATTGCCTATCATTGATTAGAATGAATAATTTCGAATGTCTACTAATTAAATTTAAGCAACTATGAATGATTTTTAGCTGCAGTTTCAGATGAAGCTCAGTTTTTTTTAAATCTAGAGCTTTCTAAAGAATGGTATTTTCGAATCTTACACATGTTAGTGCTTTAATAAGAATACCGTTCACAATAAATTTCAGAAATATTATATAGTGTCTTCAAGATATAAATTTACGTCTGTCGAGTGTATATACAACATGTAGTTGTTAATAGCAGCATATCCTGCGGATATATTATTAAAAACTTGTCAATTCTTTCTATAGAAGTTTGTCTAGTTACGATCTGTATATTTCCTATGTTTCGTCAAAAGTGAATAGCTCGATAAAATTGAACTTCTTTTAAGATTTTCACTAGAATCGTACATTGTATTCGATATGGAAATCTTTTTTTCTAGTAGTAACTGCAGCAAAAAAGGAGCGTGTCTCCTATGAAACCAAACTGTTTGTTTTCGATGAAAGAAAATTTCACTTTTACACAATATAAACATTCATATAGAAATACGTGTACTATTTCAGAACAATTTCTTAATCGAAAACAGGTCAATTTTAAACAAAAAGAAAATTATATCATGTCTCGTTTTTTCACTACGCAGCAAGTAAACAACTAAAGAAAAAAGAAAACATGCAAAAAACTTAAATCAATCATAAGTGGAAAGAAAGAATTCACTTAGGTATATATATGTGTCTAGAGTGTAGGATAATACACCTACAAAAGGAAGAGTAAGAAACATATATATATATATATATAGAATATACATTGGTAGAATGATCTTTAACAATATCTATATATAGAATAAATATCAAAATCATAAGGTGACATTTAAAAGAATCTATCGAATTGAAAAGCAAAATCTAAAGGTAGACAATCCATAGATTATTTTCATTACTATCGAAACTCTACTCAAATCTCTTTTTTATTAAGTAATCATATCAAATTCACATTCCGCAGAAAAGTATTATATATTGTTTTCGCTAAATCCAGACACTAATATCTGAATGGTTAATTATATTGCTGAAGACTTATGGAAATGAAATGTCAATAACTTTAAAAGTATGCTTTGCTATGACAATTAAATATGTAAATGTCTCATACTTATTTACCAATGCAATTCTAACATTTTCTATATATAATTCAGCATTAATTATTTAATCTAAAAAGAAAAAGAAAACTATAGATAATAATTTATTATAACAAACGAAACTATGTATATCAATGTCAATTCGCATCTTTGCATTTAGGAAGAAAAATGAAGCCATATAATATTTGTTTGAAGTTTTTATTTAATAGCTGAATATAATATAATATTAAATTTTTTTTCTTCGGAAATATTCATTTAATAAAAACATTTTTCTTAAACACTGTAAAATTATTCAGTAGTTACACAACACATAAAAACTTATTGAATATATTCGTATATTTAAAAAAAAATGTTTTTTTTTAATTCATTAATGTTATTTATTTGTTTTTAGTAATAGCAGCTTTTAAACTATCACTACTAGCACCAACAACTCGATCGACTTCTTTGCCACCTTTAAACAAAACAAATGTTGGCATAGCTTCAATTTCATATTCTTTTGCAACATCTTCAGCTTCATCAACATCACATTTAAGAAAAACTACATTATCTTTGAAATCATCTTCACCGCTCCAACCTTCAATGACTGGTGCTATACGAAGACAAGGTCCACACCATCTAAGAAAAAAATAAATATAAAATTTTGTTTAATAAACAAAATTAATTAATATACGTTGCGAAGAAGTCCAATACGACTAATTTATCTTTACTTTCGCTAAATTTTCCCTTAAGTTCGTCAAGTGTTGAAATTGTGTGTACCATGGTTTTTGAAATTTATGTGTTAAGAATATAGACAAAAAAATACTAAAAATAAATTGAGAATAGTTGCAACACTATACTGATATATATATATAATCGCAAAAAAAAGAAAGAGAAAAGAAAAAGTTGTTTTACTAGCGAACTGATTCACGTTTAATGTTTTTTTTGCCAGGCACATATAAGCAAACGTAAACTTAATTGCTTTTATTCGGTTTTTTTTCTTTTCTTTTTTTTTTTGAAAAAAAGAAAGAAAAAAAATACTTCATGACTCGTCAAGTTTGTCCGGAGGTGAAAGTGACGTGGCAACGATGTATAATGCTGACAACGCAAATTTGTATATATGAAATTTTTAAAATAAAAAAGCACGAGTAATATTAACATTATTATTATTCATACTATTACAAACATTGTTTTTTAATCTGACTAAGCATTTTTCATCGAGTTAATAAAATTTTTGAAAAATATTATTAATAAATCAATCCATTAAAATACCAGATGGAATTTACAGAGTATTTTGAAATATCAACTGGTATCTAGCGATATCTTCCGAATATATGAAAGATTTCTTTTAATGTTAGAATCTTTTCAAAAAGCAAAAAAGATATTTATAAAGAGTCATTGAGTTTATAAAAAGTCTAAAAGCATTTTATGGTGAATGATGAATAATTCAATACAACAGTGTATTAGTTTTTGAAGTATTTAATTCAAAAAAGAATGTATGGCATTCAAATATAGAACATCTTTTAGAAATCGATGATATAAATAATTGAGCAACTCATTTGTAAAGTACTGATTTGTGTCTGAATTATTCAAAAATATTCTAGAAATTAGTTCAGATCTAGTTTTTTTCTTAGGAATAACCAACACATGATCGAACTTCAAACAGCACATATATAATAGCGTTCTGATATAATGTTATGCATTGTAATCATAAATTGGTATATCTTAATATTGATGTTTTATTCATGAAATCATGCAAAAATATAGTGACATTAATCTGATTTATGTAACCTTCAAAGATGAAGAATAATTTCTCTATGATTAAAATTGCCAATATGGATACCCATTATATCTGCGAATACCTTGATGTCGTCATTTTGGACTTTATCAGCACGATGAATATCATTTGTTTAATGAATCTCAAGATTCTTCATGAACTTTATCAGTAAAGATAGCGGCTGATATATTCCATTTATTATCATTTCCATTACGAATATATTTAACTTCTTCTATCCAATTCATATTAGGTAAAGATTTATTCTGTTGGAGAAATTCTGCTCTTATTTGTAATTCAGTTTGATTGAAAATATTTGCTTCTTTATTAAGTCCAATAAGAATATAATTACCTGGAGTTATTCCACGATAAATATGTTTAAAATGCGCACGTGAATATGTTTCTCTATATCGACTTTCTTGTTCATAAAGAAAATTTGCTACAACAAGACCTGTTGATTTTAAAATACGTAAATATTCTTTTAGACATTCGATTGTACGTAGTGCATGCGGAATACGACCATTAGCTGTAAATGCATCAATTATAATTACATCATATTGATTAGATGGTTGTCGTTCAATGAAATATCTGCCATCTTCAGCAAATATTCGAATCATATTATTTTCTTTGAAATCAAAATATTTTCTCGCTAAATTAATGACTTCGAAATCAATTTCTACTATATGAATTAATGTACGTGGTGAAAGATAATGAAAGATTTTAGGTAATATCCCAGCACCAAGACCGATAATAAGAATACGTTCTGGTGTAGAATTCCATAAGAGACAAAGTAATTGTAGATGCATATAATCAAATAGAACAATAGATGAATTTTTAAGATGAATTACACCTTCAAAACCTAACATATCAAATCGTATCATTCGTAATGAACCTGACTGAGCAATTGTAATATTGTAAAAACGTGATGAACGTCTTTCAAGTATTGTTTCTATACCGAATCTATAATCATACTGTCCAAAATTCATTCTCTTTCCTAATTAAAATTAAACCAGCTGGTTTTTTTTCGACATAAAAGAAGACTCACCCCCAATTCCCACTATTAAAATTAAAATTAATAGACATAAAATACTAAGAATAATTAGTAGATTGAAATATTGTAATGGTAAATGATATTTCTTACAATAGATATTTTTTGGCATATTTTTTGATTAAATAAATATTGAAACATTCGTATTACTATTCAACTAATCCTTTATTTTTCGATTTATGTATTTTTAAGCATATTTGAAATAGACAAGCGTTGCCTGCCATTTTCCTCTTACAAGATGTATACCACAAGTAGATTTGTCGCTGTGCTTCGTATTTTTTTTCTTTTCTATCCTATACATTATGTAAGCCTTCGAAGGAGTATTTATTTTCGTGATGTCAAACAGGCTTATGTAACCCACCGATAGCAGTTGTTGATAAAAAAGAATGCGTACTCGAAGTTCTTTTATTCTTTAACCTTGACGGCGTAAGTTATATAAGACATCCAAGAGTATATATATATATATACGTGCTTATACAAGTAAAATCAAGGAGTATAGATTAAATACAACGATTCATTATCAAATTCTTTTTTTTATAAAATAACGGTAAATTTTTGATCAGTAATGAAAGGCAATTTTGTTATGGAGGGAGCGGATGTACATGTTCATTTTAAACACTGCTGGTGGCGTATATTACTTATTCTATGTGCAATAGGTGCTTTTATCACTACTTGTGTTTTCAATGGTTTAGCAAGTAGCGGTCCTAATGGTATGAGTAAATTTAAAATTTAAATTCGATAGAATCTGTTTTTTTAAAGGTATATTTAAGCAACGAACTGGTAGTGTGAGTGATCAAAATCTAACTGAATTTACACCAGCTGGTAAGTTTAGATATATATTAAAGAGAAAATAAAAGTCTAACTTGTTCTTTTATTCAAGGTTGGACATTTGCAATATGGGGTGTAATTTATTTCTGGCAAGCAGCATGGTTACTCTATGCTTTAAGTCGAATACCTCGAAAATCAAATACTGGTTATTTATATATTTCACCAAATACACTTCATTTCATTATATTTATATTATATATATTAAATATGGGTTTAAATATAGGATGGCTTATTATTTGGGATCGTGGCTCTTTTGGTGTAAAGTCTAAAAAACATTTAATTCCTTTTCGTTCACTGATTTCTTTATTTTAGTGGTCATTATTAGTCATTTTCCTGATGTTTCTTACGATTATTATTCCAATGATTATAACACACATACTGCTACAACGCAATCGACCACTTTACATAAATTCTAATCGGTAAATTTAATTTTCTTTTCTCTTAATATTAATTGTATTGCTTTTCTTTTAAAGTAATGCGGATATATGGCTTGTACGTGCATTTGTACATAATGGTTTTGCTATTTATGGCACATGGTTATATCTGGCAATGTTACTTAATTTAACCATTTGGATATCACAAATATATAAAGATACTCAATCAATAACTAATGCATCTACAGCTGCACTTAGTCTTGTTCTTGTTGGTATAATAATTTATTTCATTAGTGAAAATTTTATTTTCTATTCATCAATGGCTTATACATACACACCATGGTTTGTTCTTATATTTGCTCTTTGTGGTATTCTATCGAAAAATTCTAATCGAACAGATATTCCCGATAGAAACAAATCATTTACACTTGCATTATTAATTATTTGTGGTGTATTATTTGTTATCCGTGTTATATTGTTTGTAATACGGTATATGAAAAGAAAAATTCCAACAATTCGTGATCCTTAAAATAGAATATAAATATTATTTTTATTCTTTGTAAAAAAAAACTATGGATTTGTCATTGTGAATTTGTTTGAATGAAAAAAATAAAATAGAATACAAAACAGCAAACAAAAAGATGATTATTTTATAATACAAGTCGTTTAGCTGTTTCTGATTGTTCAATTTTATCACGTCGTTGTTTTAATTTAAATTTTAATGAACGATTTAAAGTATCATCGGGTCGTAAAGAAAAACTGTCTAGAAAAGAAAAAAAAATTGTTTTTAAAAGTCATAAAAAAAAGAGATTATATTATTTTACCATCAGCATCGTTAATTGTACTTGCTTTCCGAGAATTGATTGTACTTGCTTGAAGTGAATTAAAACTACTATTATGTTGTTCTGTTGGTTTTTCTCGCTTATTAGCAGATTTAAACTAGAAAATAAATAAGAAAAATATAAGAGTCATTAATAAGAAAGAAAATACTTACACCAGATAACTGTTTGTGTTGTGCAAGTAATGCATACATTCGAGCTGATTCAGTTTCATTTGTAAATCCATCAAGTGTACTTTTAGATAATTCAAATAATTGTTGACCATTCATACCATATAAATTTTGAGCAAGTCTTGAAAACAAAAAATTATGTTTTATCTCTAGAGATGAAAATAATTTACTTGGTGGAGATATGTTTTGATGTTAACCATCGTTGAACATCTTCTTTGGATGATTTTTGACTTATAAAACCAACTCGATCTGTTATACGTTCGGCCAATTCTTTCTGCAATTCATCTACTTGTGTAGGAGCTAATAAATAAAACTCATAATCAAAATCTATCGAGGATTTTTGACACTTACAAAGATCTATGTCTAAACGAGGTCGTCCTTTGTTATTACTCTTTGATGTTTGTAATGTTGACCATGGATTCGATCGAATCGTTAGAAAATCTGCTGGCATTGGTGGTGGTGCTGGAATTAGTGACGATGGTGATGGAAGTGTAGCAGAATCTGGTGATAAAATTGTTTCTTGAAAAAATTGATCTCTCATCACAGTTGGATTTGTAGTTGTACTGTTATTTGATTGCATAATAAAATTATTTCCATGAGATGGTGAACGAACAATATATTGTGTATAATCATTTCCATTACGTTGATGTACATCCGTATGTTCTCCATTGAATACATTTGATACACGTGGAATATTAACTAAAGTATATATAAGCAGATATTGTATATTTTCCTTGTTTATTTATATATAAAGTACAATCAACGTGTTTTTTTGTGTTTATAGTGTAGAAGAAGCATGTAAATGTGTTATATAGATAGCAATAAGTCAAAAGCTGATATAGGTGCATGTGTGTATGTGTGTGGGTGTTTTATTCTCTTTTACTCACTCACTTTTGGTTTATTTATGTTTTTAACATTATGATGAATGAACGAAGATTAATGAATTTCGAAAAAAAACAAACGAGGAAAATATAATTAAACATAACAATAAAAAGAGATCAAGATGAACATAATGATAAATAAAATTTTCGTTCAAGTAACACAATTATATTTTCCTGTTATTTTTTTTTGTACATTAAAGATCTATGACACACATTAAATAGTAATCAATATTTGTCGATAATCATATACTTATGCTAATTTTTAAGTATATGAAATCGACAGAACAATAGATGATCACTATCCGCACAACAACAACAACAATAAAAAAAGCTTTTCTTTGATTTTTTTTGTTATATCTCCTACAGGCAAAAACAAAACAAAAAAATCGATATCCATAAAATAATAAAGAAAGACAAAAACTATTTACATAGAAAATGATTGCAACATAAAATAAATTTAAGATTTTTAAAAATGCAATCAATCGGTATTAAATGAAAGATACTCATGTATAAACTATCAATAAAAAGAAGCAAAATTTCACTGTTATGATTTATTCTTACTGCCAGTATTAATTAATTGTAAGAAAAACATAATGATACATTTACTTTATATTTCTAATCTAAATATCAAAAGATTAAGCTAGACTATAAGCAAAAACACATACACACACACACACACATCATATGTGTACGCATGAACACAACGGAAATAAAAGAAGTGAGTGTATAGTACACATGCAATGACAATAAGAAAAAAGCGAAGAGAAAAGGTAAGGAAGTGTCAAGAGATAGTATAAGCTTGATTTTTAAATATTATTTTGATCGGTTATGACGCGAACGACTATTCGTGTTTGTTAGTGGACGGTTCGGATTTATACCTGACGTATTCGATGATGCCGTTTTCTAAAATACAAAAAGCAAATCATATATTTTTATTTTCTGAATAAGAAATAAAACTAATTTTTAAAAATTAAGAAAATATTTCTATACATACAATTGGTCGTTGTTCTATTTCAATTTCTTCAACAATATTATGAGGAATATGACCAGTATCACCATGAAAATTTCTTGCAAGCCACCATTTCTTTGAATTATTCTCAATTTCAACTAATTCACCACGTCGTACAGTTAATTCTTTATGATTTTGTCCTTTACGATCAGCTCGAACTGCATAAATTCTTAATAAAAAATTCTATATAATACAAATCCTAATAAATTTAATAATTTACTTTGCACCAGCACGTTTTCTTTCAATAGCCCAAGCATGTTCATTTTGCATATGTGTATTATAATTCTCTAATGTACCACCATTTTTAACTGAACGATCAATAGTTGATGTATCAATACGTGCTGTTGGAGAAGGTTGTCGTGTATTATGATTTATTAATGAACCATTATTATTACTATTTGGATTAGTTTGCTAAACAAAAAAAAACAAAAACAACTTATTAATTAAAAATAATAAAATTTACTCGAGCTGAAGACCAAACAGATGATTGACGTTCATCATTACTACGTGCTGATTGTAATGGTTGATCATTCAAGGGTTCCTGAATCCATAATGAACGACCTTCAAAAAATACAGGTCGATAATCAATAAATTTTTGTGGTGTTTCTTCACTAAAATATCGAATGAATATTTAAATTTTTTTTTTCGCGTTATTTTCTTACGTTGTTCGAATCCATGCTGGACCAAGATTTCGTAGAATATCATGTTCTTTTGATGTTAAACAATTAAATAGCAATTCTTTTGTTTCTTTTGTTAATGTAGGTGTCCATATATCTTGTGCTAATTGTAATTGATTAGGATGTTTTGTTTGTAATGTGTATACAATAAATTGTAATGGTGATAATAAATAATGAATTAATTCAGGTGCATTTGGATTATGTATTATATGTTTTAATTCACCTAAGAGATTAAATGAATATTTAAATTTTTGTAAAATATCAATAAAAAATTTATCATCAGGAAGTTTTTCAACCATTTGTTTTAAACCGACTAAAATGAGCAAAATAATAATAATAATAAAAGAATTAAATAGATTAAAACAACAAACCAATTGGTTTTTTATCTTTTCGTCGATAATCACGATCTAATTCTCTTGTATATTCCATTAATGCTTCAAGATAACGAACAAATAATTCAATATCATCAAAACATTTATTTAATTCATCGGTTAAACGTGTATAATAATCAGTTGAAACTATTGATGAATTTTGTTGAGCCATCGCACGTGATGTATGTTGAGGACCAACAACATATGTTGGATCTTTACGGAAAAAAAATTGATTTAAATAAAGAAAATTAAATATGAATTTAATTTACTCATGGAAGAATGATCATAGGGTAATTGTAATGGATCATAGAATGCCATACTTCCTGCATCAGTTATTCGACGATCAATTGTACTTCGTGTTTCCGATCGAGCACTAAAGATTACTATGAAGAAAAATAAAGAACATATTTCAAATACCTTCTAGGAGTTTTTAATAATTTTCCACTAGCATTTCGAATGCTATCAACAAGTAATTTTGATTCTTTATTTGTACATTTAAATACAATAACAGATGATAAATCATTTTTATGTGAACTAGTAGATTGATTTGTTGCTGTTGATGAATGTCGATCATATAAACGATACATAAATATATCATTAAGTGTATCTGGTACATCCGAATAGACACATGTCGGATCAACATTCTCAAGTGGAATAGTTTCTGCAATAACCTTTAATATACATAAAATTTATTTTAGAAAAACCACGAAAGAAATCTAAAATATTTTACTTGAGTTCCTCGATCATATATAATAAGAGAACGATCAGTAACAAGAAGAGAACATGGTTTATTAATGAAACTTTGTGTTTGTTCCTTTTGTCGTAACTTACTAACAACATCAGTTGAATAAAAACTATCTAAAGATAAATAAAAATTGCACTTGAAATATCTAACATATGCATTTATAAGGATGTCTTAAGTGAAAAGAAAAACATACAATTTTCTTTTCGATGTTTATATTATACATATAAATCAAACAAAAAGTTTTTTTTTTTTTTTAAAACTTACTTCGTTTATATTCAATTCGGATAATAGCTAATAGATAAGCATCAACACGAAATGCTCGTGATAAATCAGGAGTAATTGTAGAAGTATTTAATCGTGGTGAATAAGCATTTGGTAATATATTATTATTTAGAATAGATGAATTTGCTCGATCTATATCAAAACAAAAATATACAATAAGAATTTTTAATTTTATTTTATAACGAATATGTTTTTCTCAAAGCAAATAATGCGTATGTTATTTGCAGTTCTTTTTTTCTTCTATAGATCAATAAGTAAGCGAATAATAACAACATCAAACATACAATAACAAAAACATACCGGTCTCATGATTGTAAAAGTAATATCGTGAATCGTAATGATTGGCAGGTAGACAACCATGCGATGATGGTCGACTTTGATTAGAAGTCATGTAGGATTTATGTCTTCAATTCCAGTGGGTTTATTTTTTTCTCTGTGTAAATATATATATACGTTTTTGTATATTCTACTGTCTCAATTTACAGATCAGATTAATGATGGATAAGCAAATAACGATTTTGCAATACGTATTTGTTTTTATATGAGTTAAGTGAAAAAAGAAGGTGTTAGAGATTGACGTGTCTTTTTTTTTGAAATTCTCTTTTTTTCTTCTCCTCCTCTTTCACTCTTTTTTTCTCGACTGAGTGTATGTGGAAATACGATTGTGCATGTAAGTTCGACGGATAAGAAAATGAAAAATAATAATTGTACTGTTTACAACTAGTAGAACTCGCTTTCCTCTAGCAGACACAGACGACGATGACGATGACGACAACCAATTTGTAGACGCAGAAGAAGAAGAAGAAGAAGAAAACGAAAAAAGAAAATGAAAGAAAAAAACTTGACGAATTTTGTTCAAATAAAAGAACGAAGTAAGGTATGAGGAACTATTCATTCATTCATCATGGACAAATAATAAAAGCTGATGAAAAACGAAAAAAAAAATTCGGAAGAGAAAAGAAAGAAGGATATCTCATTGCCACTAGATTTGTCATGCTTTATTCGTAGCTCATACGTGTCAAATCTGACGTAAGACTATGAACAATCAGTTAACAATTACTATCAAAGGACAATATCTAAATAGGTGTATACATATGACTAAATCAATAAACAAAAAGCTAAACAGAAAGCAACCATCAATCGATCATTCAATAGCAAAAAAACAATACAATAATAATTAAACTAACTGCTGCAAATTTAAATAAAAACGCGATGCAAATAAACTCACCGAATAAATAACTATATAAGAATTGATTAATTATAAAAATGAAAATATTTCTAAACAAATAAATCAAGTCTTTTTTTACCTGAAGATTTCCAATGTTCTCCATGATTCTTCGTCGTACGTGCAGACATTGGACTATGAAATAAAAAAATCAATCAAAATAAATAAATAAATCCGATAATTTACTCATTAAATTCGTGATGATGTCCTCGTCGAAGTTGACTAAGCATAATGATCTAAAGACAAATAAAGCGTGCGTATGTATATATTTATATATGTTTTGTTCTTATTTCTTTTTGTTACCAAAATGTTCGGAGTAACTATTACGTGAACATCTTGTCTTTAGAATGAAAGAAGAAGAAGAAGAAAAGAGAGAGAGAGAGGGAGAAAAAAAAGCGAATAATTCAAAGATTCTATCGAAATGAACATAGAGTAGAAGAATGTTGTATCGCCTACATTAGACACTGACTACAAAGAACAAAAAAGTTAATCTTCGTTTAAACAAAACTCAGTACCAATGTAATCGAGTCAAACCAATTAGCCTACACGATAAACGATAACCTTTTACTTTCGTATATGTAACAAATCCTCTCCTAACCTTGATTTTCAATACAATTTATCGACATATTCATTTAAAGAAGAAAAAAAACGAATGAGACATTGACAATGTACATCTATGACTCAAAGAAAAGATCTTGATATATCTAATTAAATGAAAAATTCGAACATTCGAAAGAAAAGGTAAACGAAAAGAAAAAAAAGTATAAAGAAACCATTGAGATGTTAACTAGACGTACACATACACATATTTCCTACATATTCAAGTATCGAACATGAATAAAGCAAGTTAATGTTTTTTTGTAGTTTCAAATAAATATTTTTACATACTCAAAAAAAACACATAATTTATAACAATATGGTAATATATATATTCCATTTTATTCTATGTAAACATAAGAAAAATACATATGATATAAATAACCTCTTATGAATTTAAAATATGTGATGTGTTGTCGATAAAAATGAGCGTTTATGCGGCATAAAAAAAGAACTGAATTATATTGCGACAAGATCATATAGCTTACAAATAAGCAAAGAGAAATGATATATGATATTGATTATACTTACCTGACAATGATCAGTAATACCGCAAAAGTATATTTTGAAAATGTAAGAGAGAGAGAGAGAAAGAAAAAATACACTTTTAGTCTACGGTTTTATTGGTTATCTTGTTATTTTTATGTACAACAATAACATTGATATAGCTATATATTACAATAAGAAAAAAACGTACTTCACTCGTCTTTTTTGCTCGATTTTATGTATATAAAACAGATTATGTCAAGGGTATACAATAAGTTGTTTTGATTTCTAGAGCATCTCTCTAACACACAAAAACTGTCTCAATATAATTTTGCTTTAAGACTATTGACACAATGAACAGAAATAATTTGTACGGATTTATAAAAAGAAAACAGAAAAGAAAACGAGTACTTTAGTTCACAAAGATGCTTGATATGTACATCTATACTCACAGTACAAATAAACAAAAAGAAATACTCATCTAAAGTGAACTCAGCATTATATAGATTTATCAATTCAAATTAGATATGTATTATAAAAATGATTCAAAAGACATAGATTTACATTAAAGATCTTCTGATTTTACAACATCTATTTATAATAAAGTTTTATTCTGTAATATTTAATATTTTTAATAAATAAATTTTTATATTATTCATAATATAAATTAATTTTCTCATTGGTTAATATTCATAACCAATTAAATTCTTATTGAATATGTGTTAAGGTGAAAAAGATAGATAATTTCGATTTTTCGATTTAATTATTGATATGTCGGACGAATATTGGATTATATCTGTACCAGGAAAATCAACACCAAAACAAAGTTTTGATGAAATATGTCAAGCGACTACACGAGATAATTTATCAGCTAATTTTCTCTTTACTATTCCTGATTTAAAAGTGAAATCAATTCGTAAATAAAATATTTTCTATTTTTTTGTATTCAAGGTGGGCACACTTGATTCACTTGTTGCACTCTCAGATGATCTGGCTAAACTTGATACTTATGTTGAAGGGTATTAATCAAAAAGAATATTTGTATCTAATATTAAATTTTGCATGAGAAAATTTATTTAGAATTACAAAAAAATTAACACAATTTTTCTTCCATGATATTCTCAATGATGATCGTAATCGTCTTACTGAAAATCTTGTTATTGGACCAAATATGCGTTTGTATTTTATTCAATTTTTATATACCTTACTAATCGAATTACAATTTAGTTGATCCAACACGATATGTTACAGAATTTCATTGGGATTATGCAAAATATCCAATTAAACAATCATTAAAAAATCTTTCGGAAATCATCTCAAGAGTATGTTCTAGAAAAAAATCTAATTCTAAGATCTTCTGTTCTATTTTTAGGCGATAATACATATCGAAAATGAACTTAAACTTCGTAGTCAATCATATAATACTGTTAAACAAAATTTAGATTCATTAGAAAAAAAACAAACGTATATTATCTCTCTTTTATATTTTTAAAAGATTTCTTTTTATTGTTGTTGTTCTAGTGGTAGTTTATTAACACGTAATTTAAATGATGTTTTAAAAAAAGAACATTTTGTTTTGGGTAGTGAATATTTAAAAACTTTATTAGTATGCGTACCAAAAGGATTAATTAATGAATGGTATGCAAAATATGAGACATTGTGCGCAATGATTGTACCACGTACAACGGAATTAATAGTTGAAGATCAAGATTATGCATTATTTACTGTAACTTTATTTCAAAAAACAGAAGATACATTTCGACATAAATGTCGAGAAAATAAGTATGTAAATTCTTGAAAAACGAATAAAAGAATTTTTGTTTTCATATGAAAAGATTTACGGTACGAGATTTTACATATGATGAAAAAGCATTTGCAAATGAACGTGAAAAACTTCGAGAACTTGAAGCGGAACGACAAAAACTTCATGCTAATCTTGTTCGATGGCTTAAAATTCATTTTGGTGAAAGTTTTTCAGCATTAATACATATCAAAGCATTACGTATCTTTGTTGAATCTGTTCTAAGGTAAAATATTTTTCTATATTATTATCAAATGAGAAGAAAAAGTTTAATTTGTTTTTAAATAGATATGGTTTACCAGTAAATTTTGATGCTATTGTTATTCATCCAAATCGTAAAACAACGAAACGTTTACGTGAAGTACTTGAACGATTATTTGGTTATCTTGATCAATCTGATAGATTAAACAAAGATGAAGTAAAATAAAAGAATAAATTATATTTTATTAAATTTTTTTACCTTTGTTTCTAGCAATTTGACATTCCCGGTGTGTTTTCATCATCTCAAGAATATTATCCATATGTTTATTTAAAATTAGATCTGGATTATATTGATATGAATAAAAAATAAATGACAATTTTTTTCTAACATTTTTTTATGCTATACAATTTATAACTTTTTATTCATGTTGATATTCTTAACACGATATTTAAATAAAAAAAAAGGTGAAGAAACTTTTTTTTTGTCTTACTATTATTATCTTAACCTAAATTTAAATGTGACGTGTATCTTCTATCTAATAGACAACAAAAATAGTATCTAATGCACACAATTTGGACTTTACTTTTTGATAATACATACATTGAAAATAAAAGTAATTTTAGATTAATCGATTTACACAAAACAAAATGGCAACAAATGAAACACCACGTTTTGTTTCTGGGATAGAATTAGCTGGTGCAGGTGGATATGATCAACTTCGAGTGAAACAATATCCATATCGAACACCAGATGCAAATGAAATAGTAATGCGTATTAAATTTTCTGGTCTAAATTTCGCTGATTTAATGAGACGGTAAATAATTATATATTACTTTTTCACGCAATTTTTCTTCTATAATAATAGACAAGGACTCTATTCACCGGTACCTAAATTTCCTTATGTTCCTGGTTTTGAAGCATCAGGTATTATCGAAGCAGTTGGTTCAAATGTTTCACATTTATCTGTTGGTGATCGAGCTATTGCATTTGCTAGTGATGGTATGTGGGCTGATATTGTAACACTTTCAAGTCATCAATGTTTTAAAATGCCTGATACAATGTCATTCGAAGAAGGAGCTGCTTTACTTGTTAATTATATAACTGCTTATCAAATTTTATTTGAATTTGGAAATTTACGACCAAATAAAAGTGTACTTGTACACATGGCAGCAGGTAAAGAAGAAATAAAAGATTTTTCTTATAAATTTCAATATAATTTATAGGTGGTGTTGGTATTGCAGCTATTCAATTATGTAAAACAGTTAATAATGTAACTGTTTTCGGAACAGCTTCAGCAGCAAAACATAGTATTATTGAAGATATGGGTTGTACACATCCTATTGACTATCGTACACAAGATTATGTCAGTGAAATTCGCAAGATTTCACCGCAAGGTAAAATAAAAGAAAATATATTTGTTTTTTCTCTCTTTACGAATATTTTCTTTTTAAGGTGTTGATATTATTATGGATCCATTGAATGGAGAAGATAGTGTTCGTGGTTTTGATTTACTTAAACCATTAGGTAGAATTATTTATTTTGGTATGTATCTCAAGTCTACTATTTTTCTCTTGATCAAGTGATACATTCTTTGATATATTTATAGGTGCAGCAAACGTTGCTGCTAGCGGTGAAAATCGTTCATATTTTACAGCATTTAAAACATGGTTAAAATGTTTCGCAACAAACTCTATGTCAATTTTATCAACTAATAAGAGTATAGCCGGTTATCATTTAGGATATTTATTAAAAGATCTTGATAGTACAAAAGGCTCAGCATTTGAAACTGTCAATGAATTATTTCGATTATATGATGAAGGTGCTATTAAACCACAAATAGATAATATTTATCCATATTCAAAAGTTGGTGAAGCTATGCAACGTATGCATAATCGACAAAATATTGGAAAAGTCTTATTACGACCTGATGATGATATTAAGAAAACCAGTGAAAAAGAATAAGACAAAACTCAATGAGCTTTTTTTATTATTGCATGCATTTTTTATCAGAAATAAACTATACATCTACTTTTTTTCTTTTTAATAAAAATCAATAGGAATATTGTTTTTCTTTTCTATCAAAATGCATGAGAGATACTTATCTTACCGGCACACCCATGCGGTTTCAATCAAGCATAACAAAATTAATTATCGAAAACCACATTTGTACTGATTTACTCGCATAATTTTTTTTGTAATTACAGTGCATATTTTATCGTTCTATGACGTCAATCAATTTTTTGAAATACGTAAATCAATATCTATCAAAGAAAATTGTTTTTTCTATTTTATTTGTTCATCTTTTTTTTGATTAAACTACATAAAACTATCATGAACATTAAATAACAACTATCATAATTGTACTTTTAAGTATATTCTGTACATAGTTTTTTCCTCTAATCAAACAATAGATATCAAAATATTATTATTTTTATACACAATTGTGTATTAACAAGTATAAAACAATTATTTTGTTGTTGTACATTAAAGTAAAAGACTCGTTAAAAAAGTAATTTACTCAATGAAATAGATTCATTAAAAAATAAATGCGTCAGACGCTAATGGGTAAAAAGAACGAATAGATTGTTTAAGATATACGAAATAATTTCTAAAAATAGTTGCTTAATATATTCTACAATATTCTATGACGTTCGATACCTATATTTTTGAGTACACACAAGTGATTTCTGTGCATAACATATCTAATGTTTACACGTGAATAATATCATTCATGCGTAACAATATCGACATATAAATACAGGCAATATTTACGTATTAAATTATTCTCATATTCAACTTATACTTTTTACTTCGATCAATTCAACAAATCTTTTAAAACATGGGTAACCAACAAGCTAATGTTGCAGCATACAATACATGGGATCTCAATGCTTATTCACAAATGACTGGTCTCTCACCAGCTCAAATTCAACAACTTGAAATTGCTTTTAATCAACGAACAGCTGCAACTGGTGGTCGAATGACCATTAATGAATTCAAAACTGTCTATGCAAGTATCGCCGGTTTAACATGGAATTTTAATGCTGATGCTGAACGAATCTTTCTCATGTTTGATACTGATGGTAATGGTGTTCTCACATTCAATGAATTCCTTATGGCTTATCTTATGTTACAACGTGGTGCCAATCCAGTTCAACGATGGGAATATCTTGTTAATTATTATCCAGTTAGTCGACCAGGTTATCTTTCAGCTGTTGAAGCTGAAATGTTATATAACAACATGCAACGATTCTACGGCTTTCCAGCTCAACAAACTTATTACACTACAGCTTGGTCTCAATTAGGTGGTGCTACAAGTGGTTATGTTCCAGCACAACAATTTGTTCAAGCTCTTGTACCATTAATTCCACAAAATTACATTTGGTAAAACAGACAAGGAAAAAAACGACATCGAACTCATAACGCATAAAAAAATATTTTTAAATCGTAAATATTTGTAATATAAGGATGTAGGACGATTTATTATAAATAAAAGACAGAGAAAAGAATAATAAGAAAAGAGTACAATCACTAGGCTTGACAAACAACATAACATACAATATACGCATGTATATATATATCTCTATTGATTATAATTGAATTTAAAGAAATATTTATATTTAGTTTATTGCTTTGTTTTTTTCTCTCTATATACGTATGGATGCATATAATGGTAGTGAATCATAGGTATTATTTGTAAATGAAAATGAATCAAATAATTTTTGATCAATATTCATAAGAAGTTGTTTATCGCAAGGTGTAAATTTAAAAGGTTCAGCAGTAAATTCTCCATCAAAATTTGATGTATCTTGATTAGATCCCTAGAAACAAAAACGAGAATATTTTCTATTTTGAAATGCTCGCTGCAAAATATAATCCATCTTCATGGTAAACTAATAAATCCATATTTGTTTTATTTATCCTCTTTTTAGAATTTGATTGATTATATCAATAATTCAAGATACTTATCTTTTTCTTTTTCTTTTTATCAAATTTGATAAATTTTTGTTAAAATAAAATGTATGTCACAGATTGGTTTTTGAAATACAAATAATCAACATTAGCTAATAGAACAAAACATAAAAAGACAGACAAAAAGCAACATAAATATCTATCAACGGAAATATAAACGAATAATGACAAATTTTACTATAAACAGAATAAATAACCATCGACATGCAAATGTTTCATCTCTATTCGAAGACGAGAAGAAGAAAAAAAAGAAAATTAATGACTATTGTCATTCATTATGAAGAACAAAGATTATACAATAAACCGGATAATATTGTAGAAAAAAACAAAGAACCAAATGTGCGTACATATACATACGACTAGCAGACTAAAGGAACAAAAAACAAAAAGAAGAATATGTTCACTGAAGTTTGTTGGTTGATTTCTTTTCTAAAGAAAATTAGTTTTTTTTTGTTTTCATAAATGTTTGTCTTCATTTATGAAACGTGGATTGTAACAAGAAAAATTATGAAATGTTTCTTCATTAATTGATGCAAGTACAAGTGGATCACATGCTGTCATTTTCAATGGATTGTTTGTAAAACATTTATCGAAATTTTCCGCTAGACGAGCATTTTTCTAAAACGAGACAATAACACAAAACAACTAAAATCTACACATTAACAAAACAATATTCTAAATTTTTAGTTAAATCTAATTTTAACATGCGTTTAAAAAAAAAATATTAATTGAATACATACAATTTTAGGTTTAAAGGGTGGTTGTAATTCACGAGCTTCGATTCTTAACCAATCAATACGTCGAAAAAAGGAATGATCTTTGATTTCACGTTCACCGTCTATCGGATGACAACCAAGACGTTTTTGAGGATTTTTTGTCATTAACTAGAAATAGATAATTATTTCTTATTAGTCTTTTATTCCCAAAAGAGATTAAAAATCCATTTATTATCGAATAATTTCTGTTTTTCTAGTAATTTCTAATCTGGACATATCAATCGATCAAAGACAACATCATTTGTCATTGATTATTTGTATAAACAATCTTTGCAAGTCTAAAAATAGTTCTCAACAAATTCATCATTTTAGATTAACTATTGATTAAACAAATATTTTCAACTAGAAAATTGCTTAGATATTAAGGAAATCACATACTCCTTTGCAAATAGATACAGCTTCAAAAGACATTGATTTTGGAAAGGAAACATTATGATCTGTAATAGCTGTAAAAAGTTCTTCTTCATCTTCACCATCAAATGGTGGTTGACCAGCTAACATCTCAAAAAGTAATACACCATATGCCCACCAATCAACACTTTTACCATATTTTTGATATAATATTATCTAAATTAAATAATATAAGAAAAATCAAATTGGTTTTTTATTATTTACCTCGGGAGCAATATAATCTAAAATAAATGAAGAATTTTAATTATATACAAATAAATAATCATATATTTTATTTACCTGGTGTTCCACAAAAAGTTGACGTTTTTCTATCATTAAATATTCCTTCTTTACACATACCAAAACTAAAATAATAATAAAATATTGTAAAAAAAAAAAATTGCTTTTTTTTGTCATACTCGGCTATTTTAATATGTCCTTCACTATCTAATAGAATATTATCCAATTTCAAATCTCTAAAATAAATATATGATGATAAAAATTTTATTCATTTAGGTTTTTACCTGTAAATGATACCCTTGTTATGCAGATAGAAAAGACCAACAGCAATTTCAGCTGAATAAAAACTAAAAGAGAAATACAATAAATATTTCTTACATAAGAAACACTGTATTTCTCATTACAAAACTCTACATAAAGAATAATCATTGACCCAAACCTTGATTTTGATTAGAGGAGCAGAAGGAAAATCAATCAAACGTACATATTGGATGTAGATTATACTCGACAGGATTTGTTACATCGATATTTTTACTAAGTTCTATTTATAAATCCTCTCAGAAGAAAATCCTTATTTTAATATAATACGATTAAATGTCAACATGTTTTGAAGCTACATAGGTGCACCATTTAGATTTACGTGGGCACATATATATGTATATTTCTTCTCGAAAAGTTCGGAACAAAAGACCTTAGTGATTAATTAAAAATGCGATTGTTTTCTTTTGAATAAACACATTGTTCTCTTTATATTGCCTCTAGTAATATTAGTTTTAGCGTGAATATAATAAAAGATTATTTTTACCATGCAACTGGTTCTTTAAATTTTCCTTCATGTTGAATACGATACATAAGATCACCACCGTTAACAAATTCCATAACAAAATATAATCGATCCTGATTAAAAAAACAACAAAATAAGGAGCTATTAATAAGTTTATTCTACTTACAACTGTTTGAAAACATGAATGAAGTTGTACAAGAAATTTTGGTTTATCATTTAACATTAAAACTCGTTTTTCAATCATAACACATTCAACATCATCATCTTGTACAATAATATCTTTTTTTAAAATTTTTATTGCATATAATTCATCAGGTACGCCTTTACGTTCACCAAGAACAACCTTTAAAATAAACAAAATAATTAATCGATAGTATTCTTTGAAAAAAAAATGATTTTTGTTTTTATTTACTTTGCCAAAAGAACCTTTACCAAGTATTTTAATAAAATTAAAATCTGTAACTTTAATTGCTTGTACTTGAGAACTCGAACGCATCATCATTTGATCATTTAAATTAGTACCTGGTGAATCAGAACGATTAGCTCCTTCTCTTCCAGAGACAGATTTCTGAAATAAATTAGTTTTTATATTTATCGATAATTATCTAGTTCTACATACAGCTCCAGGTGTTGGTTTCATAGGTAGTTTTGATCCATCTTCACTTGATACAGGTACTGAATAAAATTCTCCTTCTTCTTGTGCTAATAATTTAAACCAACTATCAACTGGACCTTTCATTAATTCCGAAACACCTAAATAAAATCAATTAAAATAAAATATAAAATTAAAATAAAATACCAAATGAAAGTGAACCCATAAAATCATTTCTCGATGTTCTATCCCAATCCCAGACAGCAATTAATAATCGTTTATCTTTATCATCTTCTGTTATTTCACTAGAAAAATAAATTATTTTTTTCTTCTTCTTGCTATTCTATTCATCATAATATAAAAAACTTACATTGTAAATTTTTCAAACCATTGAGGATTTAATGTTGCACGCACTGTTTTTGTTTTATATTTTCCTAAATGTTGTTTTTTATTTCCATCTAATGTTGTAATTAATTTTATTTTAACATATGGATCACTTAAACCATTTGGATCCATTGGAATTAAATTTCTTGCTTCAATAACTTCGACAATTAATTTATTATCACGTTCACATGTTATACGTAAATGTACTCGGCCACGACGTTCAGTATGATCAAGACCACATAAATCTGGTACAAATGTTTGACATCTCTTATGAACATTCATATCACAGGATTGACATTTAAGTCCTTGATGTATAAGTCCATATAGAAGAGATCCACAATGATCACAGAATGTCGGTGAAGTATATGTATGAACAAGAAATTTATGATTATTTCGTGGTGCCTAAATTTTTTGAAGATAAACTTGAAAATGAATATAAAAATATAAATCTTACATCAGAATCTGCTCCTTTGTCAGCACCAGGACACGCAAAACTAATAAATTCATGACAACGTTTATGAACAACGAGTGAACAAACTAGAAAAAAAGATTAAAATTATTTAACATATTCTTAAGTAATAATAGATTCAAGTGACAAATATATATAATAGATTTCATGGAAAAAAAAATTTAGTTAGTTGACGACATTGTTATAGTCAAAGTCCCTTGAGATTTATATAAATAAATTATATAAAGTCAAGAATAAATCAAACAACAAGTGGTATTTTTCTGATTGATTTTGTACTATACTAAATCTCGAGACAATAAACTCACTTTGACATTGAAAACCTTGTTTACCAAAACCCCTATTGAAGAAACAAAAAATATTGATTAATTTATAGTTTTAGGAAAAAAAAGAACAATTAATTATTACCAAAGAAAATCTCTACAATGAGAACAGAATGTTGGTGTTTTAAAAAATCTTGGAATAAATTGATGATTTTTAACAGTGTAAACATTTTTTTGTCTTAATGCGCCTCGTCGTGCAATACCCTGTTTTTTTTCAACGAATGGCGATGGACTCGATGATCGTATTGAATAATTATGACTAGTTGAATGTGACGATGTAGAATCAACCGGAAATAGACTTGATGCTGTACCACGTCGATTGGATAATGATGATTCTTGAGAATTTGGTAATGATTCATTCGAATGATTTCCACTTGTAGTTGTTGCCATATCTTGATGTGATGTTGAAAATAGTTTTGTTGGTAATTCACTTGTCGGATTTGTCTCACGAAAGAGACCAATTGCTTGAATAAAAGCGGCACATGCTGGTGCTGTAGGCGAAATAAAGAAAGAGAGTAAAATAAGTCCAAAAGAGAATTAATATCAATTGTAAAAGTAGATTACTAGCAAGGAAAAAATTTATGTGATATAAAGTAACAGCTAACAACGACTTTTGACTCAAATATGTTACATACAGATATTCTGTTATTGATGTTTCATATGACATCATCAGAAATCTTACAATAACGACGAAGGTTCTTGTCATGTAAACATATACACATCAACTTATCTCTTTTTTCCCTTTCCATCAAACTAATACATTTTGTATTCTAAGTCTTCTTTGTTCCATACAAGAAAGTATTAAATAGAAAATAAAGAGGATTTCTTGAAATAAAAAAAAAAGAAAAAACCTATACTATTTATTGAAACGTATTTATGCTAATATTACTGAATGAAAGAAAGAGAAGAAGAAAAAAAGGAATCAAACATTCTTTTTTTCTGTTTCTATTACTAATTACAAAAAAAAATATGATAGGTTATAATAGAAATATAAACTATACTTTTTCTCATTTTTTTTACGTCTTTTGACAGATGTGAAACAGATATCAGCAGAGAGAAACCTTTTTCTTTCATTATGAACATCAACGATCACATACGTTTACTGGAAAAGAAAAAAAAACGACTTGTAAAATGAGAAGATAAGGTAAATAGAAGGAAATAATAAGTGCTTAGATACTTCCTATTGTTGTTAATTAATTTTTCTCGTCTTCTTTTCCATCAATGCACATATTAATAGAAGGATTCAGTTTCATTTTATATAATAAAAACACAATGTGCTCACTTTTCTTTCTATAATAACTATTTTGATAGAGGAACAGCTGCTATGCATTGATATAACGTATTTTACAATAGTACAACAATATATATCATTTTTTTTAATCTTTTCGTCTAATTGAACATAAGTTATACCTGTACGAGCCATGCCTTCTGCAATCGAACGTCTCTGTTGTGGTTGACCTGATTTTTGTTCATTATTATCATTTGAGTTACTAGAATCCATTCTTGAAGAGGATTGAATACGACAATGGTTCACAATATGTATTAACTGAAACAATTTAGTTACCCATTAATCCATATATTTATATAGAGAGAGATTGTGGTAAAGTTCTTTTTTTTTCTCGTTGTCGTTTTATTCGTCCCTCGTGCGTTTTAACTATGACATCAATAAATAATGCGACGAGTCGTCGACACGCACAACGTACATAGGAGCCAAATATGAAACAACAACAGAAGCAGCAGACTTCTTCCGCCGTTTGCCGCTCGATGAATATAGATAAATAAACTCAACGACAAAAGACGCCAGTAGTGATGATGATGTTGATGATGATGATGGAGTGAAAGACGGCGAATTAGAGGCGCCAGTCGATAATCATTGTAAGATGTTTTGTTTTTTTTACAATTTCATCATCGACAAATAGAGTATATTGAGCGCAAAAGAAATGTTACAAAAGAACAGTCGTGTCAATCATTTTTATTCGATGGACGATCCTCCTACCATACTGTGTATCATCAGCAAGAAATAATAATTTTCTTTTCGTACTTTTTCTCTCTCTCTCTCTCTTCTTGCCTTGACTGCTATTTTCTTTCTCTCTCTATCTCTCTGTCTTCCTTCTATATTGTTACACACTTTCTCGACCTTGTATAATTATTCGGTAATAGAGTACTATTAGCTGCCACGTGTTGTGAATAGAAAAAGACGATAAGTTATAAACTAAAGCTCATCTAAAGATTATATTGTTTTCTAATCTCAAAATTCTCATCTAAAATGAATATTTTCTAATTGATTAGAAATAAATAATATGATGTGATTACTTTTACTATATATATTTTCTTTTCCCCACTGTTACACATTTAAAGATAATAACCAGACAATATTTTATATATCATTTAACTATGTGAACGACAAGTGTATATCTCTAGAGTCTTTTGTCATATGCTAATTTGATTTTTTTCTGTTTATTGAAAAGCTCCTATTTATATTGAGTTCATATATCAATTAGAAAAATTGTCTAATATTAAAAAGACGAAAAAAAGACTTTTTATCTCATTTATTAATCACCTGCAGGTGACAGTTGACAAAGCTCGATATTATTTTCTTTATATATATGTATATAAATGGATATTTATCATTGGACTATATTATTAGTTGACTGCTAGTTCCGTTAAAGTTTTCTCGGTGAGTTTTGACAGTAATGATTAGGGCGGGTAGTTCACTACGAGACTTACGCACACAATCGCTATTCTAATTGTGGAGAACAAGAGTGTCTTGATGTTGTTCAAATAAAGGATATTTGCGAGTATATACACGTTTGAAATACAATAGAAAGAGAAGATACGAACGAATGACGTATAATGAAATCTACTACATGTACAATCTATTTCGCATTACTCATTCTCATATTGGACTTGTTGTCATTATTATTATTATTATTATTATTATAAATGAAAATACGCATTATATATAATAAAGATAGACGAGGAACAAAGAAAAAAAAAGCGAACATATAATAAAAAAAACCCTGTATACATTGCGCGAAAGCGCATGCGGCAATTAGATTACGTAAAACAGATGACTTTATTATCGTTAGCTTTCTAATAAAGTAAATAAGTTATGCGAGAGTTCCTTTTTCGTTTTTTTTTCTCTAAATTTAATTTTCAATGACGCCGAAAAAATTTGTGCATCAATTAGACCTAATATTATAGCAAAAATAAAAAGAATATGTTTTTGCTTCATTTAACATATATACATATGGATATATTTATGATCATGAGTTCTTACAGATGATTGAATGCATATTTAGATCGTTTCATTAAATTTATAATTTTCTTAATAGACGTTCTTTTCATGTCACTTAAAAGGGTGTTAAATGAGCAAGAAGAAGCAAAAAGAAAAAAAAAGAAACAGGAAAGCTAATAGAACTGTGCATGTAACATGTAATTATCCAACAAAAAAATTCTATTAGAAATTTCAATTTAGATTTTAATTAAAATATGTTGATACTTGAATTAGAGTGATCAACTTCATAATTATTGAAATAATAAAAGATAAAGAAAGTACATTCATTGTAGTAGTATGACATGCGTTGCATGCATGTACATCGATTTATGCTCTCTCTCTCCTTCTTTCTGGTATTCATCTAATCCAGTTATTACCGAACTGTCTCTTTCTCCAGAGACAACAGCCAAAAAGTAAAGCAAAGTTGTCTACCACTGTTGTTGCTATTGGTATTGGTATTGCTATTCTTATCTTTTTAGTATGTAGAGAGTCCTTACTCGTTCTCTTTCATCGTTCGCACAGCTTCAAACGCATGATAGCAACGACGTCAACAAAGAAGAACAGCATACACGCACACATACGATGTATTTAGAGTATACTACATTGGTATATAATAGCACTTCAATTCGGAAGAAAATGCATAAGCATATATATATATAGATGTATTTTCTGCCCGAATGGTCAAAATAATGAGAGAGAAAGAGAGTATGTATTATTGATCGAGACTAGTATAGTTAACCTTGATCATGATCATAATCACTTGGAGAATATACATAGATATATATGATGAATCATCATAGAAAATAAATAAAATCCTTGTCTCTTTTTAATATCATGTAAGTAAAAGTTAACAACACTCATCTATGTGATCTATCAATGACTTACTTGAGAGAAAGAAGATAAAAGCGAATATGACAGCTTAATAATCCAAAGCAATCATAGCATGTTTGTTTTAACATGAATTGATGGGTAAATATGATGAACAAAAAAAAGAAAAAGAAATCTAAAATGCATATAAAATAATTATTCATACAAATAAATAATATTGTATTATTCTTTTCTTTAACTTGTTTGTTATTTAACTTGTCCGAGGAAGATGATCATTAGAAGCATCAAAAAAAAAAATATGTTAGAAGTAAATGTCAACAAATAAAAAAACTAGAAAGACGAGTAACATTAAGAAAAAGGATAAAAGCATCACCGAGAAAGAATAAAAGCGCTACTAAGATTTTGGCTCATCGTCTTCATCGTTGTCGGCATTTTCATCCTATCATCTAAATTCATTATATAGATAGAATGAATGAATCAAAAGAAAGACAGAAGAAGACAGTAAAAAGAGAAAATGCGGACAAGATCAAGAATTATTACATTCTATTAGGTTATTAGTTTCTTATTTTTTGCTTTTTTTCGTTATTAGCTTATCAAAAATGAACATGACTCTTGTGACCCATATTAATAATCATCGATAAATTGTTAATCTATAAAAATAAAAGAAGTACTTGTAACTTATTACCTGGAAATTCTAATATTAAATAGAATAGTATATATAGAAATATACATATATTGGCCATGAGATTTAGCTTATCTCAACTAAATTTTATTGCCTCTTCACTTATTTTACCCCATTCATAGATAATCAGGTTGTTTTTACTGTTCGAATACGACAAGTGGAATAGAGAGTAATGATTATCATTATCGAACGATGGTCGTCGTGGGATATGAGCGAAGATCACGCGATCATTGATCATCAATAAGTATTACTTTTTTCTTTTTCTCTCTCTCTATCCTCTTCTGTTTTTCTTCTTCTAATCTTTGTTTTTGGTATCGATATCACTATTAAATTCTGTGCCTACTAATATTTTGTCTCTCAATCGATTCAAAGTCATGTCTTAATTTTCTTCTTTCTTGTTTTTTCTTTTATAAAAAAGAATCGATCATTAAGAATCTTATTACGGAAATGATTATTTTATGCTTACCGACGCAATCTTGTATCATTAAAAAAGTTATTTGTCTTTTTTGTAACATGCATTATCATGATTTGCTACAGTTACATACAACGACGACGACGACGACGGTGATGAAAAACAGAAAGCCTAGCGCATTTTGCTTGTCTTGTGTGTCTCTACTATATTTATCGATGGTGCTCTCTTTTTTACCAAATACACATTCGCTATGTCAATATATACACAAATGAGAGAGGGGGAGCGAAGAGAGAAACCGGTAAAGTAGTGACGATGAGAAGCGATAGGATGCCAACATGCTATACTCTGTCATATGCTTCTCTAAGATATGTATTCTCTCAAGGCAAAATAAAGCTTTCTCTTGCTCTTTCTACATGAAACAAAAATAAAACCGAGCAATACAGTTTATTAATATATTTGGGACGATATATATGCATGCGTGCTATTTATTTGTGTAGAAATTCAGTAGAGAGAAAAAAAAGATCTATGATATGCCTTAATTTGAAGAAAAGCCGGATGTAAACTATCGTTCATCGATCGCTTTTGATCTGCACTGCATGCATTTAGACAATACGATTAGATTAGCCGCTGCAACAATGATATTTAGTCGGCAATCGGCTAGAATATTTACTACTGCGATTATCATCATATATATATATATATGCGTATATTTTATACAACAAAATCATATTACTTGTATTTGCTTCGTTTTTTCTTTGAAACTAATTTATCTAAAACCATGCAGAATAATATGGTATTTTTTTTGTTGAAAACTAATTATAATAAAAGCTTTTCTTTATATAAATGCGTCAAATAATTTCCATGATATATGCAATGTCAAGTAAAATAAACGAAGACAACATTATATAATTTATTTTCATTATGGAGAAATATGTGACTTGTGAACTGAACAAGGGGAATTCATCTACTATGAATAGTAAAAATATTTCATGTGTGTTAGTAATACTAAAAAGTAGATTTGTTAATATATATATATATATTGATAATTTTGCAAATTTACTTAATGGAAGTCTCAATTGAATATAAAAAGAATCAATAATCGTTCTATCATTGACCTTAAATGAGTATATAATTGACGAATGAATGACATTTATATTTGTAATAAATAATCGTACAAATAGTATTACGGAAAAACAAGAAAATCTTGATCCATTTTTTGTATCGATGTTATAGTAATCATAAAAAAGTTGAACTGTCAAGTTTGTCAACAGATACTTATCTAAATAAATAAATAAATAAATTGAAATAAGATATTATACTCTGATGTAAATTATCAAATACAGTTGTTTAGAAATATGACAAGTTTTTATTATTGTTCTATAAAAACAATCACGCTATCGAAATCCCATAGGATAGACAATCAAAATAATATAACTAATCTTATTTTGAAATTGTAGATTTAGAAAAGGACAATTTCATTTTAGATAATAATATTATTTCTTTCTTTTTTTTTTAAATATTTATCTAACGTGTCTAGAGATATCTTAAAATATAAAATATATAGGTTAACAAACGTTATCAAAATAAAATCAACAACATAATAAGAAAAGTCTTTATCAAGAACGCGAAGCCTCGAGAACATATAGTAGATTTGTCTTTAGTATCTGTTTCATCTTATTTCTGTTTTGTTTGAGGATGCAGTATATTAGATGCATAGTTGGTTTTTTGCTTCTTGTTGTTATTAATGTGTTGTTTATTGGTAAATGTCAATCGACTCCTTTGGATGATTATGTTAAAGCAGCTGATCCACACTTTAATTGGACTGTAATTCAAGTATATCAACAACCCGACTATGTATTATATATTCTTAATTTTACATCACAAAAATGGTTCGATGGTAAATTAGAATAATTAATTATTCTAAATATTAATATTTATTTATTTATTTATTAGAAAAATTTTCGAGTCGTCCAATATGGTGGCATTATTTATGTATAAGTGTTCCACATAAACTTACACGACCAAATAATGCTTTTATGCTTATTGATGGTGGTAGTAATAATAATGGGTATAAAAGAAAATATCTAATAAATAAAGAACTGAATTAATTATTTTTTTATTAAATAATAGATTACCAAAGCCACAAGATAATTTTGTTAGTTTAACATCAATGTTTGCTGTAAGTAGTGGAAGTATTGGTGTTGATCTTCAAGATATTCCAAACGAACCAATTCGTTTTGTAGTAAGAATCATTGAATGTTGTATATATTTTTGTTAATTCAGATTTATTGATTAGGCTGATCCAACCAATAGAAGTCGTGGTGAAGATGCTATTATTGCATGGACATGGAAAACATTTATTGAAAATCCTGATAACCCATATGTACTTCTTCGTATGCCTATGACCAAAGTACAAAAACAATCATTATTTTTTTGATTTTGTCTAATAATTAAAATTTTTTTTTTCATTTAGGCTTGTGTTCGTGCTATGGATGCTGTACAACAATTTGCAAAAGAATTAGGAGTTACTGTACCTCAAAAATTCGTTATAGGAGGTGCTTCTAAAGTAAATATGTCAATTGATTTGTTTTTCATTCGTTTATTAATTATCTTCTTTGATTGAAATTTTTAGCGTGGATGGGCAAGTAAGTTATTTTAAATGTTTATTTTATGAAATGAATTAATTATTCATTTAGCTTGGACAACTGCTGCTGTTGATTATGAACGTGTTGTTGGTGCTGTACCTATTGTTATGGATATTCTAAATATTCGACAAGTAAAGAATAAGATTTATTCATTGAATCAAATACATATTTGTTAATTCTAGAATTTTCATCATCATTTTCGCGTATGTATAATGAATAAATAACGATTTAATATCTATGCTTCTATAATTTTTTAAAGTCTTTAAATGGTTGGACATTTGCATTTAAAGATTATTATGCTTTAAATGTTACTCGATATGTTGATCATCCAAATTTACTTAAATTGGCTCAAATTGTTGATCCTTATAGTAAAATAAACTTCTTTTTATTCACATTTAAAATATCAATTTTTATATTTAGGTTATTTTGATCGATATAGAAATATGAAAATCTTACAAATTCAATCAAGTGGTGATGAATTTTTCTTACCTGATAACGAAGTAAAATAAAATTAGAAAAAAAATGAATTGAATTAGTTTCATTTTATTTAGGATGCATTTTGGAATGATTTACAAGTTGCTACTGGTGGTTCATATTTAAGGTATTTACAATGTAAATTTTTATTTATAAAAATAATTATTTTACGTCTTCAGACGATTACCAAATGCTGAACATTCCTGTGCTGGTCATGAAATTAGTCTGTTTTTTACAATGCGAAGTTTCTATTTAAGTATTTATGATGTAAGTTAATCAAGTAGTGTATACATACATTATTGATTATTATTTTCTTTTATGTTCTAAGAATCGAACATTACCTTCATTGAAGTGGATTAAAAACTCAAATAATACTCATGGTTACATTCGTGCAACAGTTGATTTTAGTGTCGGTCCAAAACCAATTAGTGCATTTGCTTATCATGCTCGTACACTTAATGATAAAAGGTATGTATAAATATTTCATATATTCTATTAACTATTTATGTATTCATTCAATAGACGTGATTTTCGTCTTCTTATTGCGGATCCAAACAGACCAGGCCACGGAATTGCTAATCCAGTTATTTGGCTTAATACTCCTGTTGTTACAGAAGTAATATTCTAATGTTTTTACAATTTTTCTTTAATTTGTGTGTTAATGAAAAATGACTAGGAGAATCTGAATGAATCAAAGAGAGTATTGATTATTCTATACATCGTTCTAATAACAAATAGCAGTTGTTTGCTATTCTATATCATAATTCTAGAGAGAGAGAGTGTACTAACAAATCTTTTTTAATATTATATAGGCACAGACTGCTACAACTATTGTATATTCGTTAACTATTGCTAATCCTATGGATGGTTGGGAAGGATTTTATATTCAAGTTAATTTTCCTGGTGCAGATGGTACAGTTCTTGAACTAACAACCGAGACACAAATTGTTCCTGATACATATCCAACAAGTGATTGCTCCGGTGATAGTTGTTATGGTACTCTTGTTTGATTTGATCCTTTTTTTGTTATTTCAAATAAAAAGAAAAATTAAGAAAGTCTTTCAGGTCGTGTTTTAGTTTCTTTTTGTATTGGTCCATTCATTTTCTTTAATAAACGTCTTAATTCACGATAATTTTGTTGTGCTTGATATAGACTAGGTGCAAATGTATGACGTTTTTGATGATCTTCTATTTCAGCCATCTTCAAATTATCAATTGAAACAGATTTTTGAATATTATTTATTAATGGCTTTATTTTCGATGAATAAATTTCATTCGTCGTATTTGATAGAGATGGTTCATCATGTGTTTTCGAATATACAGGTTCTGGTGGAATATTTGATATTTGAGGAGTTTTTTTAATCGTTTGTTGTTGATGAATAGGTAAAGAAATAATTTTAGCTTCTTTAGATTTAAGATCACCGACTAATTGCCATAATGAATTATATTCACCATTTTTTATAAACATTATTCTAAATAATATGATATTTTTTGTATCGATATAATACAAATAGATTACCGTTCACATTTCGCACCACTGAAAAGACTTGGCAATAGACCTAAATAGATAAATTCCTTTCCGAATATCTCAATATGAGTAACAGTATATGAAAATAACAAGACTATAATTGATAATTCTCTTCAAGACTTACCTTTTGGTTCTAATGTAATCGATACAGATAACGGATCACCAATATCTACATCTTCAATATGAAATAAATCAACACATTCTTTTTCAAATGGATCATTATCATTTGTCAATGATTCTTTTAATTCAATGGGTCCTAAAAATAATTATTTCTTTTTTCAATAATATTCTTCAAATCTTCTTACCAAATATTCCATTTGTTCCTTTTACTACAATTTGAAAACTTGCATTTGTTCCCGATAACATTTTATCTGCTGTATGAGTAGCAATATAATAAGAAGCTTTACCATCTGATAATATTGGATGTGATCGTGGAATAAATTCTTTATTCGATTGTTCTTTATTTAATATAATATATTTTAAATCGAATTCATAAACGATAGAATTATGTATAATATACAATAAATCAAGTGTTAAACTATGTTCTTTAACAGTTTCATCAAGACGTATTGATATAGAATGAATATGACCAATTTCTAATGCTTTTATATGAAATAAATCCTTTAATAAAACATGAGATTGCCAACAAGAAAGCAAAAGGGTAGGTCTATTTTCTTTACTGTATGTTTACTAGTAAATGGATGATCAGGATAATTTTCAGATTTTGATAGATGTTGTTCACCGGATGAAGTTAAATCATCACTATGAAAATTAATATAAACATCACCAGTTGTTCCATCGATATTTCGAATTATAACATAATATCGACCGATATCATCTGAAGTTCTAAAGAAAAACACCGAAATTTTATATCTTTTTTTTTCTAATAATTTACGCATTTGATTGTTTATTTAAAATATTTAATGAAGTTATATTATCATTATATTTTTTCTGAATATCAAATGAATCCCCATGTTCACCAGTAATTGATAATGGTTTCTGTTCAAAATCAATACTAATAAATCGATTAATTTTAATAATTCGATTCAACATTATACGTCCTTAACCATATTTAATCAATTTATTTCGTCAAAATTTCTATTTTTACCTGTAAATGAATATTTATGATGAATAACAAACATCCAATCAATAGGCCATTGACATTTCGATTGTTTATTTTCTGAATATAATTGTAAATGCATTCGTTCTATAGTACCTATATTATGATCTTGCCATTGAAATATATCGAATTGATGTTTTTCAAGAGCATTATTATTATTAATCGATAATGAATGCATACGATAAGAAGATTTCATATCTATTTCAGTATGTTGTTGATTATTACCAAATAAAGATAATTTCGGATAACATCCTTTTGAACATGAATCATTACCAGTTTTTATAAATGCATAATAGATACTTTCTATAATTAAAACGAAAAGAATATTTTCATTTTCGATATATAATCAAAGAAAAACAACCTTGAGATTCAATGTACGGTTCAGAAACATTTACTATAGACGGACTATTTGTTGATAGTACAAGAGAATAGATTGAAATAAGATCACGATATACATGTATACCTAAAATGAAAAAAACTGATATTTTAACGTTTGTTTGTTCTTTATAAAACACGAACCGTCTATGATAAAGATATTATTGTATTTCCATTCTTTAAATTTAATATCTGGATAAAATTCGATTTGAAAAATTTTGCCGATATTATTAATATTAGATGCCAATAAGAAAAGATCAGTTTGATTATCTTTAAAAGTTTTTTGATGTGACTAGAATTATTTCCAAAAAATAAAATCAATTAATTTTATTCAGCAAAAATTATTGATTTTCTACTTGTGATTTTCCTAATGCTAATTTTTCTGTTTGTCCATCAGTACCTTTAATAACAACAGTAACATTATCTCCTGGATCACCATGTAATGTTTTTACAATAAGTATATAAGTTTTTACTATCGATTGAAATTCGTTCATGTCAAAAAAAATTTCCAAAAAATAAAATAAACGCGCCAATCTATACTATTGTATATAATCCGATATAAATTTAAGTGTAACTTTCAATAAAAATCAAAATCTGTCAAATATAATTGAATTATTACTTGTCACGAATAGTCTATAATTAGATTAATACAATAAGTTACTATTTACATAGTTTATTCATGGCATATGCTGATAATCTGAAGTGTGTATTACATCATAGTAGCACTATGATGAATTGTCCGAAAGCAAAGTATACCGGATATCCTTTTTTTCTTTGTAAATTAATAGAATTTGCATATAAATTGAATAGAATTCACTTCTTCAATTATTAGTCATACTTTTCCTTCTATTCATAAATTTATTCGAAAATGTCCATTACACCTCTGTCTATTGATATTATTGTCTTTGTTTCACTTTTTTTTGAACATAATTGTGCAAAAAAAAGCACATAACTGAAGAGAACAAAAGAAAACAAAAAAGCATAAGACAAAAAAGAAGAAGAGAAAACTATATATGCGCTATTTACGACAATGAATAAAGAGCCAAAAAATAGATCATAAGAGAACTTAAGGATTTAAAAAGAAGAAGAAAAAAAAGAAAAGAAAAAAATGCATGTGTACTCCTTAACATATCAATATACATACATTTGAAATCAAAAGAACAAATCAAGAATGTGCTGCCGATGTTATCATCACAGACAAGAAGAAGAAGAACAAAAGAAAGAAAACATCCACATACATATACACAAATATTGATGAGTACTTACGCGTTCGTATATACACAAGAATAAAGATATAAACAACAAAAGAATAGAAACCCTACTGCGTGACGATAGAAATAAGAGGGAAAGAGAAACAAACAAAAATAAATAAATAACGTTCATTAACACGTTAAACGTGTTGAAAACTGAAACGAATTCGTAGAGAGAGAAAAAAACGTAAGAATGAAATCGAACTCATAGAGACGATAAAGAAATAATATTGTGGGTCTAGTCTAGAAGACATTAAGATTTTTTCCACAAAAAGAAAAACAGAAAACATGTCACGCGGGCAGCAAAAATGGAGTTATATAAACAAAGAAATTTTTATCCTTTAACTTTTTGTCCACCAGGTGAATTAAATGAACCATTAGGTGTTCCATTAGATTGTCGACAACCCGTTTGTATAGGCAATGGTGTAGCAGTTCTTGTTGTTGATTCCATAGCTGTATTATTATTATTATCATCAATTAGAAGAAAACAATCACGACAAACACGTACAGGATGTGTTAAATTTAATGATGGAATTAATTTACAATAATTGGTACAACTATTACAAAAAACATTGCCACATTCTAAAAACAAAAATATAATCAATATTAATATTTTAAGAACAAAAAAAGAAAATTCTATTTTTAAACGACTATTAAAATTTCTAAATGATTGTTTTTCTTAAATATGTCAATGACGCGATGAATTTCGGCGAAAAAAAAAGTTTATTTTAGTATAAAAATAAACTTCTTCAACGCAATTTCAATATGGAACGTGACTAAACTTCTTATCAGAAAGGATCAGATTAGCAATGTCTCATGAGTTAAGAAGATAACAGAAAAAAAAGGGATTTTTTATCACGTTTCCTATAATCTAATAACATTCTTATTATAAATAGATATGTTGAAGTAGTCAAACTATTAAAAGACTTAATCTGATAAATAGAACAAAAGCTTTATAATTATAGTTGAATATTAAAATATTCTTATCTACATACTTCGACAATGATGTTTACGCGAAAAAGGCCATTGTTGAAATTTCATATGACATAAATGACATGTTTGTACATTAAAATCTGGTATCCAACGTGTAACACCTGTATCATTATCAATTTTTTGCCATGAAGAACATGATGCTGTTTCGACACTATTAATATTACTTTGTGATATTGCTTCGATACGTGGTGATATATTCTAAATAAAAAAATACAAAAATTTGTTTTTTATGAAAATTTCTTTTTACTTGATTTTGATTAATATTGATTAATGCATAGACAAATCTTTGCATTCTTCGTATATGTTCATGAAGACTTTCAATTTGTTGCTGATAGGCTCGTTCTTTTTGTACCATTCTAGATGTAATTTGATCAGGAATTTTTGTTAAACCATCTACATCAATACGTTTTCGAACTAATTTAATCATTTTATTTGTTGTTATTGGTTGCATCTAGTAGAACAAGAAAAAAATATACAGTAAAGAATTAAATTCTTTTTTTTTGAACAAACCATTCGTTGTGTTTGATTGGTATCATAAGAATTTATTCTTGTTAATGACCATGCTTCAGACAAACTTGATGCTGTACTTGATGTAGAATTTGTATGTCTTCGTGGACGAGACATTGTTCGTAGTATATTATCAACACTATTAACATTTAATGGAAATCGTTGAAATGATAATGCCAGTTGTGTTATATCAGGTGATGAATCATCTGCAATAAGACTTTGTCGTTTCATTCGATTATCAGGACTATTTGATATTGGTAGAGATATTTGATTTGTATTTGAAGAATTTGTTACATTATGATGACTACCATCATTTAATGTTCCAAGATGATGTGGTGGTCCGAATAAACTATTCGTTGATGTTGAATTTTGTAGCCGATTTGATTGTGATTGTTGTTGATTTAATGGTGAATTATTATTTAAACGAGTTAATAATGCTGATGATTCAATATGTAATGAATTACTTAAATTTGGATCTGATGTTGAACGATGAAGATTATTTGTTATTGATGTTGATAAATCTTCATAGGAACGAATACGAGCTGGAATTAATGTTGAAGAATGTTCATATGAACCTGTTGGTGTACAGCGAATATCACGTAAATATAAATTTGACCAAATTGTTAAATCACGAACAGAAGATGAGGGATAAAGTATCTATATATATAAAGTTAAAATTCTTATATATTATATTACAAATGTTTTTTTTACATCTTTTTTTGTTTTATCAAATAAATGATTAATAAATTGTTTCGAATTTACATTTAATAAATTCCATATACTTAATGTTCTTGTTTCTAATTTAGCTGTTGTACGTTCAAAATCTGTATTACATAAAAATGTTCCATATAAACATGTATATGTGTGATTAGCTAATTTCAACTAGAATAATAAATATATAAATATTTAATCGAATTATTTGAAAATTAATGTTTCTTACAAGAAACATTTCGTTAAATTCAAATGCAGTTCGATTTTGTGTAAATAATTGATAAATACAATCAAGCCATTGAAGAAAAACAGGACAACGTTCATTAGGATCACTCGCTCCATTTCCATGACCACAACGATCAGCAAATTTATGACCAAATGCAATCCATTCAAGTTCAACTAACGTTTGAAAACCTTCAAACGTACGATAATATGAATCAAGCATTATTTTAGCTAATGTTGTTATTTGTGGAGTACGATCCCAACCATCTGAACAATGAACAAGTACAGGTCGTGCATGTTTATCAACAGTAGCAACAACAAATGACGCAGCATTTATTAATGCTGATAAATTATGTAACCATCTTGAAGATTCTAATTGTGAAAGCCAACTAAAAGAAATATTGAAAAAATTGTTATTTCTTATATCGGATCTATTGAATCTTTTTTTTTCTTCATTATTATATATACAAAAGTTATGATATTAATACAAGAAATATATTACTGCATGCGAAGGAACCCTGTTACTGATGATAGTTTAATTATCTGTCACCTGTCGAGTTCACAGTTAGAATTTAAAACATCAATGAATCAAAAAAAGTCATAACTAATTCTTTTTTTATTCTATTTACATTTAAATTCATATATGCTGTTTATACTGTATTCGAAAAGAAACGCCTTTAGAAAAAGGTCCAAAATATTTCTCGAAGTTTTTTAAATTATAGTGTGACAAAATAGGCGTTAGATTGTGTTGTCAACGGATGTTTCATACTGTGTTAATAATCAGACAAAATTTATAGGGAGAAAAAAAAAGGTACAGAAGGTCATAGTTATTTATATCAGTCAAGTTCATAAAAATGATAAGATAAGAATCTAAATAGAACAGAAATAGAAAGACGCAAAAACAGTTTACGAAAATTTAAAATTAGAATTCAATCTATTTTTAAACAGATTTAATATAAAACTTCTATCTTACTTTTCTCCTTGTGCTGCATTTGCAATAGCAACTCTTAACATTTGTGCACTTTTTCTTATGACATGAATATTAGGTAAATTCATAAATTGTACATCACAATCAGTATAATAGGGTGGATGTTCAAAACCGCCACCTTTAGCACGATTAGCAAGTGCTGCTGTATAACTTCTTGCATCAAGAATTAATAAACGATTTGAATTTAATTCACATGTACTAGAATCTTTTGTAATAGGCATTTTACAAGCATGAATTATTGCTTGAATCATTTTCTCATCTTCTTTCGAACGCCAAAATAACCATCCTATTTCTGGCTGACTTGTTCGTGCAATAATTGCACCATTGCAATGTCTAAAAATAGAAATATTATTGCTAAAAAAAAAGAAGTACAAATTTATTACCTCCAAACAACTGTTGGAAAACGTCTATTTGATCGAAATTTTGCAACTTCATAAACTTCATCATCAGTTATACTTGCTGGTACAACACAAATATTTGGATAAGTTGGTGATAATTTATAATCTCGATTTATCTCTGCTGTACGCCATGGATCAACATCTAATTGTAGACGTTGAAATTCTTGTCGAAAATAATCACGTTTTATATAATTATCTTCATTTGGTATTGCTGATGCATATTTTATAGCAAATAAATCATCTAAACCTATTAATGTTGATATTGATTCATTTAATTTTCTTAACCAATAACAACATTTATCTGTTGTAAAAAATATTAAACGAAATGATCGAATATCTTTACATTGGATATATAAATAAATATTATCTTTAATTTCAATAAATTCAATTAAATGTATTGGACAATTAATAAATGAACAATGTGTTGGTGTTTGATTTGAAAATATAAATAAACGAAATGTTGTTAAATAAATATAACCATCAGTTAAATCCATTCCATGATCAATTAATACTTCACCAGATAAAAATTCAAATGGATATTCAATAATATTCGTCGTTTGATCAATTGATAATTCTGTTGTATGAGGTAAAGTCGGAAGTGATTCAGGTATTGAATTAGGTAATTCACATACATGAATATCTTCCTCTTCAACAATTGTTACCGATGAAGGAATTCCGATAACCATTGGTATAGATTTTTTTGTTTTGTTTTGCTCGTGAAAAATCAATTCAAATAATCATCTTAAATAGTCGAAGAAGAAAAAAATGAAAATGCATTTTATAGGAAAAAGTGGTTGGAAGATAAACAATGCAAAGATAGCAATGTTTTAAGAATGATTCATAAGTTTCTTTTTTTTTTCTTCTTCCTATGTTCTGTTTTTTTTCTATTGATTTACTTCATGTGTCGATGAAAATAAATTTGACACATTTCGTCGTTTTTTTTCTCTCAATCATTAGTTGTTAGTGGAAAAGAAAATACTGGGATGAAATCAAGTGAAGAAAATCATTGGGTAAAATGAGTCATTGAAACATTGTGTGTGTGTGTCTATGTATGTATGTATATGTTAGCTGGTCCAATTAATGACAGATAACAAAGAAAAAACAACAAATAATTTAAAAATTGTTTTTTTAGATTAAATTTTATTTTTCATTTCTTTTGTATAGTTAATTTCGTTTTAAGATTATCAGAACAAACGACATCTATCAAGATCTAGTCAGCTGATAACCAATCAGCAGATTTGACATTCGATAATTGCTGCTGCTGTTCGTTCGTCTACAGATTAGACAGACGATATCTAGATTGATTTAATTAAATTTGAATAACTAGATTGAAAAACCATACAAATAGTATCGGAATAATATTTAAAGAGAATGACGAATAGAATAACATTAAAAACTGTCTAATGTAGACAGATATTAAACATGATAAAATCTATCAATGTTATTTGATACTATAGAACAGCAATTATAACAAGAGTTAATTTGTTGCTGTTATTATTTGACATATATTAAATCATATTCTTTTCAAAATGATTATTCAAATAGGTTCACTAAAATAATAATTAAAAATATCAAATAGTTAACTAAATAATTTTTAATATGAAGGATTTTATATTCGTGAATCATCTACTAAAAGACTTGTATTATATTGTAGAAACAGATGAGTATTTAAAGCAACTCGTATTAATCCGATAGTATATAGAAATTTATCCCGAGTCAATATATTGACATATTACTAAATTCATCTTATTAATCATAAACTAGATCAATAATATGTTCTTCCAGAAATCAACAGGAATGTTTATTGTAAACAGTATAACAATAAATATTCTATTTACTCAATAAAATAATCAAAAACAAAAAAGATCTAGGATACTATCAAAGTCATTCTTTTACTATTCTACAGTATCACTTCGTTATTGTAGCTTTTTACAAATAAACATATGTTATGTAGTGTAATCAAGTAGCTACAAACATTTATCAGTACATCATACATTTCAAATGATTAGAATCTACATTTATGTAGTCATTACTTTATTTTCATGTTAACCAATAATACAAATAGATTCAACTACTTTTTTTCAATAGTAATAATAATCAATAATAAAAGCATCTATATAATAGATTACACAGTTTCTCTATACGCTAAATAATCAAATCTTACGTCGCTTTCTTATGATAGAAACCACTGAGATATCTTTGTATTTAATGAAAATAATTAACAGATGTGAGATTATTTTTACAGCATATGAGATAGATCAATTAGTCTTTAAATCAGAAAGATAATAATGAACAAATAGATATTCATAATACCAAACTAATCACTTATATCATATATCCTATTTTCATTGCACATGCTATTCGATGTTACAGATATTCTTACTTCCAAAATTAAACATGCTATTAACTATATAACCCGAGCAAATAATCGTTACATATGTGAAAAAAACAGTTAACAGTTGGTAATAATTATTATATCATTAACATCTGTAGTTAATTTGATAAATTATTTCTAATACTACTGTTATACATTTTTCTTCGTATGGTTATTTTGAGTCATTGTAATCACAAATTTTATTTCACTCAAAAACGTAATATAAATTGATTTTCTTTATTGTTAATTTCTACTAAGTACCAAAAAGAATATGCGCCAGCTGTCTTTTTCGTAATAATTTCTGTTATTAATACTTTTCGAAGAAAAGAGAAATACGCAGCGCCTCCAGAACTTCGTTTGATGATATAATATATAACATGTCCATTATATGGATTCTTACTGATACGTTTGAATCTTGTGCTTGTATTCGGTTGCGCAGAAAAAAAAAATATACAATACAAACTCGTTATTTCGAATGATATTTAGCGGAGAAAAGAAAGAGAAACGCGAATCATACTTTACGCGTGCAATAAATCTATCTATTTGAAAATATTTTTATGTGATTCAACATATGCATGTGGGCTGTTAGTATTTAAGTATTAAAACAGACATCGAAAGATATATATTTGATCGTATTTTTTTTGTTTTTACAATAAAAAGTTGATTTGTTATATAACCGTCTACGAGAATTTGATTTAATAAAAATGGAATTAAAAGAAGCAAAATATGTGGCAATGTTTGTTTTATTTGCATCGAATCTAATTATGACATTGATTGGTATATGTCTACAACGATTTGTACTTCAACGTAATGGAACTGTTTTTTCTGTTGGTCAACGTGTTATTTCTTGTTTAACAAGTGGTGTTCTTTTGGGTATATTGATTACTATTTTGTTTGTTTTTGTCTATATCTAATTTAATTACAGGTATTCTTTTAATGTTAATTCTTCCAAATTCTATTGAAGTTGCTCCTCTTTATGGACATCATATTAATATGGGTTATTTCTTAATTGGTCTTGGTTTTTTTCTCATATGTATTATAGAAGAATCAATAAAACTTTATGAAACATATTCATCAAAGAATAAATCGAAAACTGAACAAGCACAATTAATTAATTCATCAACAACAACATCAAATCAAGATAATCAAGTTACACGACTTATTACATTAGTATTTGCACTTGGTGTTCATTATTTTTTTAGTATGTAATATCAATCTTTTCTCTTACATAATATATATGTATATTGATTTATTTTAGGTGGTGTTCTCATCGGTGGACAAACAAAAGATACGACAGCATTATGGGTTTTATTAGGTGCCATATGTTTTCATATGGCTTTAGTTGCATTTTCAGTAACTCTTCGTCTTTTAGTTGATAATCAAAATTATCTTCAAGTATTTTGTGCGATGTGTGCATGGAGTTTAATGGGATCATTAGGTGTATATGTTAGTTTATTAATCAGTTCAAATTCAACCGAATTAGATTTAATCAATGGAATTTTACAATGTTTAAGTGCAGGAACATTTGTTTATATAACATTTATTGATATGATACATAGTGATCTTAAGAAAAACACGTTTTATCCTTTTATGAATATTATTTTAATTTTTACTGGATTTTTAATTATTGTTTTAACAACTCTATGGCATAAACATTCATCTACACTTTTGTGAACATCGTACATTTTTATTAGTAAAAACACATAAAGCAGAAATTTTTTCTTTTCTTTCTTTACTTTTCAAGTTGTTTGAAGAAGAGAAGCTCATCATATAGAATAAGAAGAAAAAAAAAAGAAAAATGTGTATGCTTATATTATTAGGAGACACATAGAGACTGTGTGTGTGTGTGTGTAGTTATGGCCAATTTACTTCGAAAAGGGTAGATGAAAAACTTTCTTGTTTGTTTTTTGTAACATCTAATATTTATTTTTTATGAACTAAATCTAGAGATCGAACTGAAAAAGCTCCACCACCAGCTCCAACACGTGCGGCACCCACAGCTACCAGTAGTGGCGGAAAAAAGGTAGACGAAGCAGCTGTTAATCCATGGGATACAGCACAAATTTGGATTGAAAGTGTTACAAAAGAAGAAGCAACTAAAAAACAATGGAAAGAAACGTATGGATGGATGGCTGAGTATGATCCTAAAGTAATTTCTTATTTAATTTCAAATTCAAATAAAATATTCAAATTTTTTAGGGTAATCTTAAACCAAAAAAACAACCAATAGAAAATTCAACACGCTTTTCAGACACGGTTAGAAACCAAACATTATCAATTCTGATGTTCTTATTCACAGATTTGTTTTTAGATTCCTAATTCTCGTGGTCATGATTATGGTTGGCGTTTACAAAGTAATTTAGGACAAGAAATACAAAATTTACAAATCCGATTTCATGATGAACATAAAAAACGTGTTCCAAAAGAAATACTTGGTTATGATTAAAAACAAACACTTTTTTTATTTTTCAAGATTTTATTTTTGAAAAAAAATCTTCAACTCTATACTTTCTTATAAATAAAGTTTATTAACAACAATTTCTTTTTAATATATATATACGAGACAGACAGTGATGTATTGCATCAATTATAAGAACTTTTTTTTTTTATTATTAACCTTTTAAATGTTTCCGGCACATTTGAGAAAAAAAGCAATTTATTTAAATGTAAAAAATATTGAAATTAAGTTCAAACATTTGTTTGATTAACAGATAAATGTGGGATAAAGTTTATTATTTACAAAACAGAAAACTTTGTAACCATAGCAAATAAAGTATTTCGTTCATTTAAATTTCATTCCGTTTTCGAGCTCAATTTTAAACAATAATATAGACAAAATCAGCATACAATTTTGCTAATATTTATTTAAGAAACAAAAATCGAAAGTATTTTACTTATTATTATCTTTAGGTGATATGCACAATGTATATATTTATATATATTTCTTTTTCTTTTATTTATAAGTGTGACTATAAGACACATTTAGAAAACGTAAAAGTACACACAAAATATACATAAAATTCTTTTTTTATTTTAATTGACGAAAACGAAAATGCAAATAAAACAAAATTTTTATATTCTTTTTCTTCTGTACAATAGACACATGTGCATTAACTGGTAAAACATGTAAGCAATAAAAATTTAAGTTTAAACATAATATCTTTTTCTTTTGTCTCAAGAATGACGGAAGTTATAGATCAAACATTTCTTACAGAATTATTATCTGATGATAAACAATTAAAATCATTTATTTTAAGTGATACTGATGAAAATGATTTAGACCTTAATATTGAATCATTTAATGATTTTGAATGTAAGTCTATATTAAACGATGTATCACGAGAAATTATCGATATAAAAGAAGATTCAGAAATACCATTAATAACTATACAAAATACTGAAGATGACAATACTCAAGATAAAATGTAAGTCGTCCTTGATAACTTTTTTATAATGACTAATTTATAGATTTGTACATATAAAGATCACCAGTTAAGCAATTATCGGCACATATTGAAGAAAATGTTAAACCAACTTATACACGATCTGTATATAGGTATGCTGCGAAGATTTATGGACAATCAGAAGATCCACATCAAACTAAACTTGATCAGGATATTAATGCTATATTAGGATCAAGTGATCCACCACCTGGTTTTGGATATCTTCAGTCAAATATTTACTATCTAACACAACAACGACCTATTCCATTAGAACCCCTTCAAGTTTGTATCAATTTCATATTTTGTTTTCACAGAATTGTTGTCAGTATTATTATACTGAATAAATAGTTGTATAGAAACATTGTCAGTAGAGAAAAAGCAGTTGATCGATAGAGAAAAAGAAATCAATTTGCATTTGAGTGCACATCATACAGTAACGAGAATCAAAAAACATTCTTTTTGTTTTTTTTAATATACATATAAACATTAGAAAAAAAAAGAAGTAAGAAAAAAAAGAAGAAGAATGAAAATAGTCTTTATAAAATTCAACATATTTTGTATTGTACGTCTACATTTTCTTTTTGTAACATAGATCAGGTGAGAAGAAATATTTTTGAAAAAATCTTAATTTAAACATTCTTCATGATAACATTCATATGTTTTAAAATCTCTCCATGTTGGTTGTAAACCATTAAGTAAATGTTTTTGACAATTAACACATTTTTGTGCATGTAATGTTTGAAATTTTGATATATAAATCAATAATTTTCCTAATGCTTGATCAGCTTGTGCACCAAATGGTGCATAATAAACAGCAGCTGCACGTATATGTCCAGCAATAATATCTAGAGCACGATAATTTGTTAATAATTTATTATTAAAATTATTTGAAAATTGTTTCTTTTCATTTAATGGTTTAACAATAACATGTTCAACTGTACAATGTCGGATATATAAATATATATCTAAACCTGATCGAAATAAACTAAATTCAATAATATTTAAATGATCCGATAAACGTTGTACACTAATAGAATAATCTTTTGTTGCTGATTGTTGTTGCTGTTGTTGTTGTGATGTATCAAATTGAGCAACAATACGATCAATAAATGGTGATGATGGTCCATCAATACGTAAACGAATATTTGAATTTGTATTACGTTGATTACTTCGACGATAAAGTTGATTACTTGGATGTAATAATGGAAATATATCAATTAATTTATCAGCCCATTTAGCATTTGTTGACCATTCATCCATTAAAATACCTTGTTTTTCATATGATAATTCATTATAATGACTAATTAATACTTGTTGATTTTGTAATAATTTAAAATCATATTGTTCAATATGTGCAACAAGTTGATCAAGTGATGTACCCATATCATATAATTTACGATCGATATTATTTCGTATAGATGAATTAACTGAATTTGATGAAAGATTTGTTGTTGATGATGATAATGATTGTTCATCAGTTTCAATATTTGCTGCTTGTTTTGTTGTATTCAATAATACTTGAAGATTTTCACGAAGACGTTGTGTTATATTAAGACAACGTGTTAATATTTCATCATTTTGATTTTGACGTGCTTGCATATTCATAGCTGGATTACCAGTACCAGGCATCATTTGTGATGTTGTTGCTTGTTGTTGAGCTTGAGGTGGAGGTTGAATTTGATTAGGATGAGGAGGTGGACCTTGTTGTCCCATAATACCAGGATTATTCATCGCCATGATTTTTATTTATTTTAAATTAGATCTAGAAAATAAACTTTTTCATTTTATTATTCTTTTATTTTATAGGTTTGGAGAGGTTATAACGGACACGTTTATTTTTCACCAATAAAAGTACAACCACTTGAATCTGATCGTATTCTTTCATCAACAAAATCTCATAAATCAACTTCTATTCGAACTGCTCCATTATCTACTAAAAGACCTCAACGATCTCAAACAGTTTCAACAGAACATCAAAGTAGAAAATCATTAGCAACTAAAAGTGTTACAAGTAAAACTAGAACAACAAATACAAATCGTTCACTTTCAACTCATAGAGGATATGCTCAAACGATTCCAAGTGATAATGAATTAATAAGTACTACACGTTCGACATTTACTGAAGAAGAAAAAAATAAAGAAGAACCAACAAAAATGTGGCGTTCTGTTGTTACTTGTATTCCTACTCCAAAAAAACCAATATCAAAACGAAGTCAACATGCTCTCGAAGATATGCGTCTAATAAAACAAAAACAATTAGTAGATGATCCTATAGGTTCTAATCGACCAGTTCTACCAAATATACGATTGATACCAAAAACAAAATTTCTCTATAAAGGCTTAGCATATAAAGAAGTTAAGAAAATATCTGGTATTAGTAATGAATATGATGATTATAGTACAAATTCATTAAGAAGACCATTAGTTGATTATAATCGTACTCAAGCTTATATTCGACATGAAGTTAATACTGCACGAACAAAAAGAATGTATCAACCACCACCAACAGCACAAAGTATAAATGGTGAACAATCATCAAGAAGTCCAACAGTAACTGATATACGTGAAGTAAGAAAACGTATTGTTAAAGGTACAACTGTTGCTCATCATCCTGCATCAAGACGACCTGGTCGAACTGAGACTAGTTCAGTTTTAGAATCTGAAGTACTTGTACCTGTAAGAGGTTTTAGCACATTAAGTCATTTGCCCGCAGCAACATCTCTTGTAACTACATCACTACCACAACATAATGTTACTGGATATACATCACCCATGGTATCACAAAATTTTGATATTCCTTCAATAGAAACTCATATTAATATTATTCCATTGCCAAGTACTACAGAACAACGTCCATCAACAGCAAAATCAAAATTATCGAGTTCAGCTCAACAAACTAGTGGATCTGAAAAGCCACTATTAACTAAATATGTTAATCGACCACGAAGTACGTCACGTACTACACCAACAACAGACATAATTCTTGATACGTCATCAATGATAAATATATAAATATATAAACAATTCGATTTTCATAGAACGAAGAAAAAAAAACACCAAATCACACGTTTATTTCTGTTTTTTTTTATAAATCACATATGAAAAGAAAAAATGAAGTTTATTTAGATGATTTTACTTTAAGACGTTTAACCGGTGTTGTTATAGTATCATCAATATCTTCTAATGTTGTTTTATTTTTAATAATAGGTGATACACTAAAACCATCTATAAACGGTTTAACCAGATGAATTTGTATACGTTGTCGTTGAACATTATTAGTATCAACACTGATCTGTACAGTCACTGGATCAAACATATGTATAGTCATATTATTTATTGTTTGCGTAGCTTCCTAAAAATATATAATAAATAATTAAAAACAAAACATCAACAGATAATTCTTATAGCAGTGAAATAGGTGGAATATTTCTCTATCTTTTGCTAGTATATTAAACTGGTCAGATATTCGTTTGAATTTGATATTAAATATTTTCAACAAAAAACATCTATTAAAATTATATATACCTCTTCATTGAATTCTCCAACGGATTTTCCTTCTTTATCTCTTAAAAATAATGTTGTTTCTAAACCATATCGAGGTAATAATATTTGTAATGCATTTTTTCGTACACCAAATACATAACCATCTTCATCTGTATGCATATTTTTGAAAAATAACTATAAATAACATTGTCAATTCATTAATAAACATATATATACAAGAAAACTCACGTGAGTATGCAAATCTACAGATGCTCGTGCTGCATATTGAGCCATACGATGACGATAATTTAAATTATTACAGATTTGTTGTAAAACACGTTTATTAAGTAAATCCGGAAATGTTGCATCAGCATTAATACCTGCAGCTAATAGTCGATGAACAAGTACATCGGAATATCTATGAAAAATATTAGATAGAAAATAGAAATTAAATCATTTTTCTATCTACCGTCGTATTGGTGATGTAAAATGAGTATAAATAGGTGTAGCTAAACCATAATGTTCGAAATTTTTCATATCAGATTCAAATCCACTACAAAAATAAACAGCTTGCATCATACAACGTGTTGCAAGCATACGAAGCATTGTATTAAAATATGGATGAGCAGATAGAATAGCTTGATCAAGTGAATCAGCTAATTCTTTTCCTGTATTTGCTTTTATTTGAAAACCCTTTAGAAAAAAAGAAGTTTCGAATGAAATATTAAGAAATTATATATCTATATACTTTTGTATCTGCAGCTTTAACAAGTGGATCAAAATTTGAAATAGGTGGTGCAGGATGTTTACGTAAACAAGCACAATCAGGAAATAATTCGTAAATCTTCTCTGCAACACTTATATTTGCTAAAAGCATAAATTCTTCAACGAGCCAATTTGTTTCTCTATGATATATAAAAAGAATATAATATTTTTGCAAAAAAAAAAAACTTACCTTAATTCTTTATTCATAACACTAAGTGGATCATGTGTTTCAGTATCAAGTTGAAATCGTACTTCAGATGATTCAAGTACTAATGCACCTTTATCCATACGTCTTTTACGTAGTTGAGCAGCGATTGAATGAAGACGTCGTAAACTTTGAGCAATTTCATCATTTATGCCAGAATCATCTTTTATTGTTTGAGCTTGTTCATATGTCATTGCAGACTAATTAATTTAATTGTTTTATAAATGAATTAGATTATTAAAAACAAATACATACTTTACTCTTAATAATAGATTTATGGAATTGTGTTTGAACTATTTTTGCATCGGGTGTCATTTCCCAACGGACAGAAAATGCAAAACTAAAAAAGAAATTCAATGAATTTATGACAGATAATAATAAAAACTATTAGAATGATTCCTATGAGATTTCAATGTATGATCATAATATAAACTAATTATTGTTATTCATAGAATGACATGATTAGTTCATACTTTAATAGATATTCAAAGAAGCTACAATCGCAAATAATCCTATTAACTTACCGTTCTTCACCACCACGTAAAGAACAAAGATTTCCACTGAGTAATACTGGTAACATATCAATACGTCTATCAGTTAAATAAACTGTTGTACCACGTTCACGTGCTTCTAAATCTAAAGCTGTATTTGGTCGTACGAAATGTGTTACATCAGCAATATGAACACCGCACTAAAAATAGAAACATATTTAATTTTCGAATAAAATATTAAAAAATAATTTCTTACTTCATAATTGCCATTTTCAAGTGTACGACAATGTAAAGCATCATCAATATCAGTACAACCCGGTGGATCAATACTAACAATACAAAATTCACGTAAATCAACACGAGTAGCAAGATCCTTTTCATAACAAAAAAAACAAGAATGTATAAGTTTTATTGAAAGAAAATATAATTAGACAAACTTCGGCTGTAATTGTCCATGGTAATTTCGGTAAACAATCAAGTACTGCTTCAGGAAATTCATGATGAAGAATATCATTTTCAGCTAAAATAACTTCATTTTCGGTTTCTTTATCACCAAGTTTACCAAGTGTTTTAATAAAATGACCCTTTAGAAAAAAAAGACGCCAATATATTTATCACTGTTTATTTATTAAACGAAAACATACTTGTGGATATCTTGATAAACGTGGCCAATGGTCAATTTGTACCATGACACGACTGTTCTTCAATTCTTCAGCTTGACGACTTTCAATACGAATTTTTGGTATACGTCTTTCATGAGGCAAAAATAAATGAAATTTTGCCTATATAAAATAAATATTCAGTGAATAATTAAATAAAAACAATATCATACACCGGGTAGAGATTCTTGTAGAATTCCACAATATTGTCTCCAATTTCGTTTAATTATTGCTACAATACGACAAGATGCAGTTTTCTTCGATGATACACCTGGAACAACAAGACCCGTTTCTTCCTACAAAAACGCAAAAACTAAAATTTCAAATTTTATTTTAATATAATTACTTGTTCAATAACTAAATCTCCTTGATCATCATCTTTATCATCAATAACTAAACTAAATGGTGTTGCCCATTCTTGCTCCTGTAAAACTTCTACAGCAACAATATCATCATGAACAGCACGATTTAAATTTCGATAACCTTGAACAAATAACTAAAGAAAAATAATCATTTTTTATTACATAACTATTATTTAATCATATATTTACTTGATTATATTTTTCCGAATCTTGAACGAATACATTGGCTTCAAGATAATTTTCTCGACTTGCTTGAAATGTACCTTGTAAATATCTACCAGATTTTATACCACGTTGAACTTCGGATAATGGTACATGTTCAGGGAAAATAATCTGTGTATTTTTTTTTAATAATTAAATATATATATAGAATAGATGATAAATCTGATCAATACCTCTTTTCGTTTTCCAATATCTTTTTCTAAATCAAATGATTCTTCTTTTAAAACAAGACGATCTAATAATTCTGGACGATTAAATGTTGTAACATATTCTTTTACTAAATTAAATACAATGAAATCCTAATGATTATTTATCTATTTATTTACTTACGAGAAAAAGCAAGTAAACCTTCTTGACGAGCAAGATCACGATTTGCTATATCATCAGTAAGAAGAACAATAGGAACTAATAAAGAAAAGTAAATAAGATTATATCAATGAAAAATAAAGCACGTTTTGTTCATAGAGTCAGATTGAACTAATTATATTCATCGAGAACATTTGAATTTGACCAATCACCTTCTCTCTTTCTTTGAAGCGATCAACACATGCATTGATAAACTTAGATTAGCCTAATTATAAGAGTAATTGTAGTCTATAGGATGCTACTAACTCGACGGGGTGTCTAGAAGGATTTTCAACTCTTTAAATATTTTACTAATCACATTAAAAAGTACTATAAATAGTTTTTTTTCTTACTTTGTTGTTTTAAATGTTCATTATAAAACTGTGAAATTTTTCTAATTGCTCTATCATTTCGATCATTTGGACTTTCACCAGGTTTACGTAAAACAAATGTATTTCTATAAAATAAATCTCTTTATATATACATATATTAAGATTTATTAATACATACTTATTAAATTCATTAATAAATACAAAAAATTTTCTTTCAGGAATTGATATAACACTTCTTATTCGTTTATAAATAGCTAAACTTTTATGTCGAACCTAGTAATCAATAAAAAAATTTAAATAATTATAATTCTATTTTTCCTTCTTACTTCATCAAGTACAATTTGTGGTACGATTACATTTGTAAACAATGGATCTTCAAGAAGATCAACCTAAAAAATAACGAAAAATTTTTATTTTCTTCATTTTTTTGAAAATTTTCTTACTTGTTGTAAAACAACATTTGTATCAACAAGTAAATAATGTCCAGTTGAAACAAGACTATTTCCATTATTCATATGTTTATCAAGTAATGTTGATTCATCAATTGTGCATTGTTGACATGCATTCGATCCACACGGGATATCCGTACGTAAATATAATTCATGTGTTATTTTTAAAACATGACCACGACGTGTTTTACGTAGAAATGAATTTAAACGACGTGTATCATCAATCATTATATATCTATAAGAAAAACAGAAGACCCTGACTAAAAACTCATTTCTTTTTTATCTATATATATATAGAAAACACATACAGAACAATTGCACACAATTTTATTTTTTTGATAAATTCACGATCTATACATACACACACACGAAAAAAGAAAAGAAAAGTAAGAGAGAATGAAACTCGATTTGATTAATTTTATTAAACCACTTAAAAAGAAGAATCAACACATGTTCATTTTGTCTTTATTTTTCTTTCGATATCAATAGACTGTTCGAAATCAAAAAGAAAACAGACTTACGCCATCGCAAGGAAAGAAATGTTAAGGAAGACATACATTGAGAGAGTAAGAATATTTCCACTGTTGGTATCAAAAGAAAATAAGCTGAAAGTGAATATTAAATGAAAACACAATTGTATTATTTATATGTATACGTAAGAAAACGATTAATAATAATGATAATAGTAATAATAGAAAAAAGGAAAAGAAGAAAAAAAAAACTCGTTTTTAAGGCATTCATAAAAGCTAACGATATTCATTTGTTATTTATATCTGATTGGTTCGGAAAGATAGGTAGTCATTAAAGAGAAATTATGTCTAAATGAAAAATAATTAGGAGTTTATATTATAAATTGGAATTAAATACCTCTCGATAGCTTGGCTCAGCTTGAATCATAAATTCATCAAAACGCATATAAAGTGTTTCAAATGTGGGTCGATTATCTGGATTTTCTTGCCAACAAGAACACATTATTTGATAATAAAGCTCATGACAATCATTTGGCTAAAAAATATATGTTTAATTGAATTATCTCAGACAGAAAATATTTACTTTTAACATTCTATAACCACTAAGTACTGCTTGTAATGCTTCATTATTTGACATACCAGGATATGGATTTGAACCATGTGTAATTAATTCATAAAGAAGAATACCAAAACTCCATACATCAGACTTAGTTGTATATTCTTTTTTTGTTGCAGCTTCAGGTGCTGTCCATTTTATTGGAAATTGAGATTCACGATCGACTAATAAACGACCACCTTGTAAAATTTTTGCTAAACCAAAATCAGCAATTTTAACTACATCTAATTCACCAACCAGAATATTTCGAGCTAAATTAAATAGAAAAAATATTTTATTAGATTTCGATTTATTTATGAATAGAATCTTTTGTTCATATCTATATTGTATTTGAATAATAAAAGAATTCATCAACGAATATGTTAGTCTCATGATAGAATCTCTCTAGATAATAAAAACCCATATCTTAAATCTATAGAGATTAGAAATAATCGATTCTCTTAGCAGTATTATGATTTGCGTTATAAATCAAAACCGTTGGTTATAAACGAAATTTTTTCTTCTTCTTGTTGAAATAATGGTGAATGTGTAAATTCGAAAAGAGAAATCTATTCATTCTATTTGGATACTTCAAGATATGATAGAGATCATAATGAAATTTATAACAAAAAGAGTCATTATACGCTTTTTCTATTCTTAGCAGACTCTATCTATCTTGAGGGATTTCCTCATCACTCAGATAACAATCTCTATGCCATTATAGAACTTTCATTTGATTTTATCTTTATTTGTAAAACTTCAATGAATTACTAATTCTACATACCAGCAAGATCACAATGAACATAACGTTTTTGTTCCAAATACGCCATACCATTCGCAATCTATATGTAAATAAAATTACGTTTTTTTTAATTTTTGATGATTTTTTTACTTGAGCAGCAAAATCTAAGATTGTTTTAAATTTTAAATTTTTTCCTTGTCCATCACGTAAATAATTAAGTAAACAACCAGTAGGCATAAATTCTGTCACAATAAATATTGGTTCTTCTTGTGTACAAACACCATATAATCGAACAATATTTTTATGTAAAAGATCTTTCATTATTTTCGCTTCATCAAGAAATTTATCAACATTATAAACGCGAGTTTTATTATCAGTTTTCATATATTTAATAGCCACTTCACGTTGACCATATTTGCCTTTATAAACTTCGCCATAGTTTCCTCTTCCAAGTAATTCTGTTCGTGTAAGTTGCGAACGATCTAATTCTAATAAACCATGACGATCAGCTGGTACAGTTGGTTCTATTTTTCGACACGGACGAGTTAATAAACAACAAAGACCATCAATATTTTCTTTACAAAGAAGAGAAACAAAAACATCATAGAAATTTTCGATAAAATAAATCTTTCTTTAATTTACTTTGATAATGATTAACAAGATCTTGTAAACTTGAAAATAATGTTTTACTACTAATATAGTACATGCCTTGATTTGTTCGACGTATACGATAATGTTTAACATGAAAATGTTTATCTTTATTTAAATCAAGTACAGATAATGATTCTTGTCCTATTGTTTTTAATTTAAAGAATTAAAAAAGAACATCGGATTAATGAATTATACCTTGATTTGTATCTGAAGGTCGTATTAAAAATGTTCCTTTGCCATTATGAGGTTGTTCAAGAAATCGTTCAGCATCACGACGATTTGTTTCTGTAAAATACCATCTAAAATGAATTTTAAATTATGAACTTAATTCATAATTACGAACTTACTCGCATGCTGTTAAATCATTCAATGCTGATATATAATTAGATGGAACATAGCCACTTTGTTTTGTTCGTAAATTTCTAGCTTGCCACCAATCATTATAACTATAACGAAAGAAAACAAAGAAATTTTATTTAATATATATATAGATGAAATTGAATAACTTACGTATATTTATCAATAACTTCTAATATATCTCCTTTAACAAAACTTAATTCTCCAGTTGTTAATGTTCCATTAAAATCATAATTCGCCACATAAATAAGTTTATCTAAAAACAAAAATTTAACTATTGATTTAAATAAATAAGAATCGAAATAATTTTACTTGAAGTTATTTTTGGATTAGTATTCATATTAGGTGTAGGATGATGATGTGGATGTGCTTGAGTTGTTAGATATTGAGCTTGTGGATTATTCATGGAATGTCCTCCATAACCATTCGGATATAAATGACTAGGATGTTGAGGATAACCATTTGTTTGTGAAGCATATAGTAATTGGTTAGCAGGTGCAACATTACGATCATTTTTTCCTGTATTATTATGACCATTTTCTGAATGTTTATATTTATTCTCGCGTTTTGTGGGACGCGAACTTCCTGGTCGATTTCCCATCGAGTTGGAAGATTAAAAATTTACGTTAACATATACTAGACCTTTATTATATGTCACATAAACAGACGTACCTATGTCTGCTTTAGTAATCTAAAAAAATACACAGATGAACAAATTGATAGACATTATCAGTTGGTAATGTTATTATGGCTGTTACTTTATGTATAAGTTCAACTAACTTCCTCTTACACTTACACTAACTTATCCTCGCTCGTTCGTTAACTATAAGAACGATAGATTTATCTTAGCCAATTGAATTTATATGTCAATATTATTCTATTTATTTTCAATAATTATCTTAAAATTACAATTATAAATATGAAAGTATTATTTAAAATAATTCATTTATGTATTAATATTCATTAAAAAAACTAACACGTATTACCAAGAGTGACATCTACTGCTTCTATATACATGACCTATAGTTTAATCAAACAATACATGTTACCTCAAATTTATCAACAACTTCCGATAGTGTATTGTACTAAATAAAACATTGTCAACTAGTTTCGTCTGAGTATAGGAGTAGTATTCGATTATCAATTGATGGCAAGATCAGATATATTTTGAGACGCAGATGTTCTAGTTATGTTAATCGTGGATCTTGTTTCTTGAATAACACTATTTATAGAAGAAGGATTCTAGTTAAGATTACAACGATGATCCGATTAAGATATGTATGATTTTTACAGTAATAAAAGAGAAGGTTTATTCAAAGGATATATATATTTTGATAAAATCTATAAAGTATGACAACTTACTAAAAAGAAGAAAAAAAAATAATTGATTAAAATAAGTAATGATGAGCATCAGAACTTTAACACAATCGATAGAACGGAAATTGAGCTAGATGGATGGATGAGATTCTAATCGATTTGATCTTTAGTAAAAGTAAATAATAAGATGGATTTAATGAACCAGAAGAAAAAAAATATTTGTACTCAATGTTATTAATTCGAGGCCTTACTTTCAAATATTTTTATTTAAAATATATTGAACATTTGATTTCGGATTATATAATAATTCTCAGACGTAGTATTGATAACAAGTGAATATAGACAATCGAGGGAAATTAATGCTTTTATTTAATTAGACACCATTGAAAAAGCTATTAGTGCAATCCCTGAGGGATTAAAATATGAAACACGATACAGTTGTTACGATTGATCATAAAGACACAGTTGTCTTTTGTGTTAATCTTTAGAAGAAGAAAAAAATGATTCATTTTCTTACCTTTAGATTTCAACATTTTACTGATAGAGAAATATTCATATCTTTTTTTTTCATGAGATCGTTGTCAGTTGGAATATTTATAATACTATTAGTATATCAGTATGCCTTCATCATTTCGATTTAAGAATATCAATTGATATCTTTATGCCCGTTTTACTCATACTATTCAAGGCCAACTGCAATGATAGTATGAAATTGTTGACCATGAATAACGTCTATGCACTAAATTGATTTTTTATCATTTATTCGTATGTTACACAACTCATCATAAATATTTCGTTTATACAATTCTTGATTTATTGATATAACTGAATCTTTATTCAGTTACTTTCTCAATTTTCTTTTTCAATAGCTGAAAAATACAATCTAATAGATGTATTGTACTTAAAAATAGAAAAAGAAATTTGTTGTTTTTTTTTTTTTATTTCGTTTCAACGTTAGGAAATGTTCGTCGTTTATTGTTTGATGATTTTACAAGATTCGGGGATAAAAATGAATTAATAAAATCAGGATTAGGTGGAAACATCGGACGAGAAGATGACGGAATTGATTGTTGTTTTACAGCATTTTTTGACATTTTCATAGTTTGATTCGTTTTTGTTTGTTGTGGTAAACTCGTTAATGAACGATATTGTTGTTGTTGTTGATGATGATGATGATGATGAGAAGGAGGAATTGACATTGATATTTTATTATGTTGCACTGTTCGAGAATGATTTCCATGTGTTGTAATTGGTGATTGAACAATCATATTATTATTTGATTTTCGTGTTGATGATGATGATGATTGTTGAGGAAATTTCGCAGATAAATTTTGTGATAAAGAATGTTTTGGTTTTGTTGTTTGATGTTGATGATTAGTTAATGGAATAAATGTTGGTGTCGTTTTTACAGATTGTATTTGACGATTATTTATTGCTGAAGATTTTGATGACGATGTTGATGATGATAATCGAGACGAATGTTTTTGTTGTTTAATTAATACATTAAAATGTTTATCAATTTCTTTTTCTTGTTCCATAGCTGAAATGAAAACATTTTTTAATAATGATGAATGTTCAGATTTTGACATTCGTCGTGTAACTTGTTTTTTACAACGATCACATAAAATATTTGATGTTTGATTTGATGATTTTGAATTTAAATGTTTCCACCATCTTATAGTAAAATCTGTGCCACATTGATCACATACATAGGGTTGATCAATTTGTGCATGATCAGTAAATCGTTGTGGTAAACGATGACGATCATTTTGTAATTCACTTAAACATTGTACAACATCTTCAAGACCAACAAGTGGTTGAAATTCTAGACTTATTCCGTTTGGAATGAAAAGAATATCTTGTAAAGATGGTTTCGGTAATGGAATATTCAATAAATCACGTTCTAAATGTTTCCGTAAAGCTACTTTAGCTTGAGTTTTATGTTCTTCTAATTGATGAGTTGATGATATTTTATTAGAATTTGTTAATAAAGGAGAATTCGGTGCTTTACGAGTTATATTTGATGTTGATTGCTGATGCTGTTGTTGTTGCTGTTGTGGCGGTGGTGGTAGTAGTAGTAATGGTGGTGGTAGTTGTTGTGGTGGTGGTGGATTTGTTATTGGTAATTGTGCTGGTTTTACTGGTGGAGTAATACTATGTGTTGTTGGAGAATGAAAACCATTTGTTATTGTTGTTAAATTTTTATTTGTTCGTGTTGATAATTGTTGACTTGAACGTAATTTTTTTAATAGAGTTAACTTAGCTTCTTCATTTTGTAATTCTTGAATTATTGAATGAAGTTTAAAACGTTTTAATTGACGTATATCATTAGTGATACAATTATGATCATTTGATTCAGGTGATAAAGAACGTTTCACTGACATTGAACTTTATCTAAAAGTTTGTCTATTACTCATATTGAAATGAAACATTTCATATATATATATATATACATATAAGAAACTAATGAAAATTTGTCACAGCATGATATATCGTGAAAAGAAGAAGAAGAAAAAAAAATAACCGCGTGACTGTACCTGTATTGTTATGAAAAGATGTAGATGTATATAATACAAGAATGGTAAACGAATAAGTGAAAAGGGTAAATTTTCTAGGACGATTATCAGGCAAACTGAAAGGGTAAACAGCCCTTCATCTCGTTCTATTATTCTTCAAGATGGAATTTCGTATTTTTCTTTCTTTTCTATCGTTATTGTCACCGCCTCGGTTAGACCTGGAGTTTCCTATTTATTAACGATCGATGGTATTTCGCTTTACTATATAGAATATAAGAAATAATAAAACAACATGACATGATAAAACAAAAAAAAAACACGAATTTTTTTCACATAGATCTCTGATAATTTAAAATGAAATAAAAAAAATGATGTATCTTTGAGATCATAAATAATGATGACGTTAACATTCATATACACCTCTATAGAAAAATAAATACAACAAAAAAGAATCAAACAGTTTGAAATCTAAAATGTAATAGTCAAGTAAAAAGAAACAGAATATATGATGACGAATGAATGGTAGACATCATATATACAGATGTGAAGATAATTTGTTTTCTCAAGCGTGTAAAAGAAATGAATACAAAAAAGGAACAAGTAGACCGATCGAATATGGACTACAAATAAGCGTTACACAAATCATTCAAAATGAAAATCAATTCCAACAATGATTTTGTATATTTCTACCCATTAAACTAACATTATTAATTGACATATTCAATATCTTAGATAATAAAATATTTCTATCTAATTATAAATTTCATTTTTGAATAAATTACATCGGAATTATCCAATGTCAATATAGAAGAAAAATATCGAATGATTGTTTGATACTATGAATACTCGCGTTTAGTTTGATTATTTATTTACACTTTTACAAAATGGAAAAAATGGATGGTGACGAGATACAAAAGAAAGAACGCGAAAGAGAGCATACTACGTCGAAACACTAATATTAATGGCGCTTATTTCAACAAAAAACGATTGACCTCTTACAGTCAACAAGAAAAAAAACGAAGAAAGAAGAAAAACGAATATAATCATGAATACTCTTCTACTAGAAACTTTTATTTTTCTTACATCATCATATATCTCAAGTAATATTCTTATTATTTTGCATTATTAATTAATAGTTCAATCTATATACATAATTGAAATCTGAGTTTTTTTCATAACGAAAAAAAATAAAAGTTTGAAAATTTAGTTTAAAATATAAAAAAAACCCCAAGGACAAGAAATAAATAATAACTTATCCCAAAAAAAAGAAAAGTGATGAGACAAAATATAAGAAATCCTTCGTACAGAGACCGGGAGAAAGGAAGAACGAGAGAAAAAAAAGAAAAATTAACGATTGGAAGATCATTGACCCAGTTGTGTCTAAAATAAGAACCCCTATGGTTTAATAGAGACCAGTGGCGGCGCCTTAATCTTCAAACGAAATGAATTAATCGAAAAATTAATAAAAACCTTTCATTCGTTCTTTATTCTATGGATTAAATCTATGTGAAAAAACACAGATTATTTTAAATTAAATCAAATCATATATTTTAATTTTTATTTTAAAATCTGTCATGTCTGAACCACCTTTACCTAGTGCTCGTCGACAACTTTTATTTGCAAAATATGGACCTATTTTAATTACACCATTCTATTTCGGATTTTCAACACATGTCCTTACGCCAAGTTCATTCACTAGGTTTGATACTATAAATTAATTAATTAATAATTAATTGAATTTTTTGTTATTATTTCAATTAAAAAGAATTCTTGGACATCAATGGAATGTACCAGTAGTTAACTCACTATGGATTGGATCTCATATTGGTATTGGTATATATTTATACAACTCTAAACATTTACGAAATGCTAATACATTCGATCGTATATTATATAGGTAAAAATATACAATAGAAACAAAACAAAAAAAAGCATCTATGAATTCAATTTTAGTATCTATGGTTCCGCTATATTCAATCTTGGTACTGTATTAGTTATGTCAATTGTTCGTTCAATTTTTCCTGATAGTACTCCATTACGTTTAGGAGTTGGTCTCTCATCTAGTGCTGCAATGTTATTTATTGGTAGACGATATATTCAATATATTGATCAAATATTTAATGAAATTCGATTTCGAGCAATAACACGTTAATATTATTTGAGAAAAACAAAACAGAAAGAAAAAGAGAAAACTAAATATTATAAAAACTTTGAAATATTTCTATTTTTGTTTCTTTTTTGGTAGTGATTAGTAAAAGATATATATATATATTCTATTTATCTATCATATTTCGTGTTTATTTCTTAAATTGCTATTTGATATGGAAATAAAGGGAACAATTTGAAGAAATATAATTTTATACAATAATTGAATCATTAACATAAGCAATTCCATCACCCATCATAGGAGAAGATTTATATGGTATTCGTAGATCTTCATAATTTGGCATATCACTATCATCACCACGATTTGTTGAAACCATTTCAAAAAAATATGGTTGTTGTGAAAATGATTTATGAATCATTATAGGATTTTCTTCTTCAATAGTATTCATTGTACGACTATGTTGAATATGATAAGCATGACTTTCATCATAATCATCTGTTGTCGTAGATAAATTTGTTGATATAAGATCTTGATTAGTATTACTATGTGTACTGTTAATATGATTATCTAAACCAAATAAATGACGATCTTGACGAAGTTGTGGAAGTTTAAGAAGATTTGCTGGTAAGGATCTTTCACGCATAAGAAAACGAGGACCATGTGATCGTTTTAATGTTTTTGTTGAACGACGTCGTTGTCGTTGATTATAATGATAACGACGTCGACGATATCGAATTGTATTTTGATAATTTCTATCATCACCACCTGTTGATGTATCATAACCACTTGTTGTTGTATTATCATGTACATATTGTTTTGAAATACCATCTGGATATGTATCACTTGATGTTGAATGAAGATCAATAAATAAATATGAATTTAATTGTTTAGGATCAATTGTATTAGGTTGAAATGATTTGTAATCATTTAAATAAGCATCTATCATTGATTGTTGTAAACGACGTGATGGTAGAATTGATGGTAAAGTACTTGTACTTACACCAAGTGATGATACTTGTTGTTGTTGTTGTTGAGTATGAATTAAATGATGCTGTGAAGATAAATGTCGAGTTGATCGAAGAGAATGTGATGAAGCAGATGATGATGTTATTGATGCTGCTAAATGTGTATGATCAGTAGTTTGTTGATCAGTTGATATTCGCCGAGATTTAAGTCGTTTCTGAGAATTTTGTCGATAAGAACAATGTCTATAACAAAAAATTGCGATTGTAACAATAATACCAATTAGTAGAACACCAATAATACATATTAAAGCAATAAATGATGGTTGAGTAGGACTGAATGATGATGATGATGAAGGAGAAGAATTATCTTGAAGTATTTGTCGACCATAACGTGAATGAGTAATATCTTAAATATGATAATTTTATTTATATATATTTTTTTTGAATTATTTTTACCTCGAAAAACATAATCAATTATAAATGATGTATCTTGCATATTCTTTTGATTAATTGATATTAATTCAAGTAATATACCAGAATTCTTCTCTCGTAAATCTAATTGAATTTCATTATTTACAATTGTTTTATTTGTTGAATCATATACAAGTGTTTTTTGTTGATTTATAATTGAATAAATTTTAAATATATATGACTTTGAAAGTAAATGAGTTATATTAATCAAACGAATCAATAATGTATAACCATAATCATAGAAAAATAACCATTGACGTGGTTTTAGACATTTTAAACTATGATTTGTATTGATTATTAATGAACCATAGAGTTTATTAATTAATATTGGTTGACAATGATCAAGCATTTTACTTCTTTAAATAAATGTCTACATATAAAAAATGACCTAGTCATAGATTGAAAAAGAAGAAAAAAGGAACATTCAATAAAGAGAGACACGTATAAATCTATTCTTATTTTACGTAAGGTTTCTATTATTTCAATAAGATGAAGAGAGTACGACTAATCGAAATGTTTGTGTTCAAGAGGGAACTAGAGAAGAAAAAAAACTCAAGACATAGGATGAGTTATTTTCATTTGATTTTTTAAGAATATTCAATTAAGATTTCCTCTTCCGTACAAGGTTATCAAAAGTAATAAAGAAAAACATTCAAGTAAATAAAATCAATATGATTGTTTGAAAGAAATTAAATATACAATATAAGTAAAACAAGAAATAACTGTGCTAAGTGAAGAAGGAAAGAGAGAGAGAATGTTGTGTTTGCATTTTAAAATAATTTATTGAAGAAAAATTCATAAAAAGACTAATGTATGCATTTGGCGTGACTGCATTAGTATTGGAACAAAAAAAAATCCAATAATGAAGCCAGTACAGAACATTTTGCTCAGTGTTCAACCTTGTCAAACAATAAATAATTCTATCAGACTACTACTTGTTCTCAGAGTATGTTAAATTAAAATAAAAAGCAATCTTTTTTTTTCTCTCCCTTCTATTATCTAACATATACAACCAATTCTCAAGAATAATAGGATATAGACTGGTAAAATATCGCACATAGAGTTCGTCTCACACAATATCGTTGTAACAAGTCATATACATGCTGATACTAGTAGATATAAATCAAACATTACGAGTGCGCATATATACTTATCCAATGACGATGACTGGCTTGTTAAGTGAAATAACTGAACAGGTTGATGATGTGCTTCATGCCAATTTCAATTTATGAATGTCTGTAGGCGTAATACAATGAACACAGCAGGTACAATAGATACGACTTCACTCTCATCTGAAAAGAAAACAAGTTTTTACACTTAAAATTTGAACAAGAATTCAATAGCACATGTGCATTATATTAATTCTCATTTATTCTATAAATAAGGAAAAAAAAGATTGATCTTGAACCATTATTATTACAATAAAATGTAATAATTAAGAAGATTTTTAAATATAACAAAAATGATATAAACGTCAATATCACGATGAACAAAATTTATATTTTAATACTAAATAAATAAATCATTTATAATTAAAGATTATAAATCTTATACTTTATTAAACTAACCAACATAGTCAGTAGCTTATTTGGATAAAAATAATAGCCATGATGTATTGCGATATCTATGGAAGATTATTCATTGGTTGATTGTGATTTACTGTATATAACCACATTCTCTTCTCATCAGTAGATCTGGTATAACACCAGTTTAAATTAATTATTATTATATTTTGCATTTCTATGTTTCAATGGGATGGCATATCATCTTTCGTCAACGACCAATGTCTATTGCATCGATCAAACATCGAACTTTATTTGGAATTACTCCACCCAAGCCAGCATTTCCATTTGGATTACAAAATAAAACACAACAATATAAAGAACAACGTTTATTAGGGTATTTTTATTTTCATATAAATTTAAATAATTATAAATTTTATCTAGATATACAGCAACAGAAATGTTTGATGTAGTTGTTGATGTTCAAAGATATCGTGAATTTGTTCCATGGTGTATTCGATCGGATATAATTAAACCAGTATATCCACATAATTTTAAAGCACATATGGAAATTGGTTTTCAAGTAATCAAAGAACAATATACTGCTTTAGTCACTCATCAAAAACCAACACTTGTTAAAGTACGATTTAAATAATCTTATTATTATTTGTTTTATATATTTTAGTTTTTTATTTTCAGTCTGTTTGCACTGATGGACGTCTATTTAATCATTTAATTACAGAATGGCGATTTCTACCCGGTATTGATAAAGAACCTCGATCGTGTGTTCTTGATTTCTATGTATTATTTATATTTTAAATGAATATGATCTTTATTCTTTTTTTAATTTTTAGGTTTCATTTGAATTTCGTTCGATACTACATGCTAAAGTAGCACATATGTTTTTTGATGAAGTTGTTCGTCAAATGGTATCTGCTTTTCTTAAGCGTGCCGAAAAACTTTATGGACCACCATCAATGCCGTCAAAACGTCTTCAATAAATCTTTCTTTAATTTTGTTAACAAGTTTATTTTTTTAAAATTAAGATAAATAACTATTGTGTTTTGTTTTTGGCATACTCATGTCTACAAAGATTGTTAGTACTTATTAATTTTAGTCAGCATGTTTTATTTATTTTTGAAAATTCTAAGAATATTTATTGAAATCAGAAGTATAGTTATCTCTATAATATTTCACAATATTGCATTTTTGCTAAAGTTATATACAATGTACATTGTTTAGATTGGTAAAATAATCTTATGAGTTTCAAAATATGAACACAGTGAATGACTTGTTGGGCAAACTATTAATTTTTATCTTTAATTTCTATTCGACTATCAATTATGAATAAGAATATATGATTTATGAGATAATCTGTGTAGTTTTTATTTACCAAATATGATGTTATTGTATATGCGAATTAAAACGGAAAGAAACATTAAAAGATGATCTACATATATCTTGTTTTTTAAATGTATCAGTTATTTGATCTAATTTAAATTAATGCTATAATCAAATTCATTATTGATACATTTATTAAATACTCTTGTAAAAGAGATAAAAAGACGAAAAGCGAAAATGGTTTGTTGTGAGAAATTTTATTTAAAAAAAAGTTACGAATGTGAAGTGGTGGATGATGCAAGAACTATCTAGGCTCTTTATGAAAGTTATTTTTCTTTAACAACATATAATCTTTATTTTGATAGAAACATTCGTAGTTGTTACGTTGGTTGACTTGAATATGCGCATATCCAAATATTTGAATCATTGTCTAAACAGAACGCATGCATTCTTTATCATGCAGCTTTTTGTTTCTTTTTTTCGTTCTATAGAGATACTCAACATAAGTATTTTTTTTATATGAAAAAGAAAACGTGTAGTCGAAATAAATATATATAACTTATGTGACATATCTGTCTTTTTCTTTTGTAATAATAATAAGTTGAACATTAAAGATGGGTACAGCTTTCACGACTCTTCGGGTTATGTTTTATTTACTTTTACCATCTGAAACATATTTTGAACGACTTGAAGATGTTCCAGATTATGTTGTTCAAGTAAATAATATTGAGGAAAAAATTATGCATTAATTTTAAAATTGTTTTAGGCAACTCGACTATTTCTTGTTTTACAAGTACTAGAATTTGCTATTGCTTGGTATCGAGGAAAAATAAAACCACGTTTTAATGATACATTCAGTTCAATGACTGCTGGCGTTGTTTCACGTATCCCTCGGTATGAATTTAAAAAAAAATACACAAGAGACTCGTAAAACTTTGTTTCTTTCATTTAATTAAGACTTTTTATGAAATCCCTTGAATTAACATCATACATATGGGTTTATGAAAATTTTCATATTTTTTCACGATTACCATGGAATTCACCAATAACATATTGGGTTACTTTTATTGGAGTAGATCTTGGTTATTATTGGTTTCACCGTATGGCACATGGTAAATAAGAAAAAACTCATTACTATGTTTTATTCCTTTTAACTTTTATCTAGAAGTTAATCTGTTTTGGGCTTCACATCAAACACATCATTCAGCTGAGAATTATAATTTATCAACAGCACTTCGACAAGGTGCCTTACAAACATTTTGTTCATGGATATTTTATTTACCACTAGCTTTATTTGTTCCACCACCAATATTTTTAATTCATACACAAATGAATTTATTATATCAATTTTGGATTCATACTGAAATCATATCAAATCTTGGTCCATTTGAATACTTCTTAAATACACCAAGTCATCATCGTGTTCATCATGGACGAAATCCATATTGTATTGATAAAAATTATGCTGGAGTTTTTATTATATGGGACCGATTGTTTGGCACATTTGCTGCAGAACGTAAGGATGAACCAGTTGCTTATGGTCTTATACATTCAATTAATACATTCGATCCATTGGAAACACAAGTAATTTAGTTTTTTATTCTAGAGGACAAAAAGAAAAGAGTTTTATTTTTTCACTATATATTGTAGTTTTGTCATTTGAAATATATGTTTGAACAATTCTTTAAAATTGAAGGATGGCAAAATAAATTAGCAGTTATTTGGAAAGGACCTGGATGGCAACCAGGTTTACCTCGATTAGGTAGTGATGAATATCCAGAAATATCTTATCCTGTTCAAGTTTATCATCCCAACGTATCAACAGAATTATCATTCTATACATTTTTACATTTTATATATGCTGTCATACAATTTAGTGCAGTACTAAAAGATTCACGTGTACGTTAGAGTTTATAACTAATAATTTCTTAATTTTATTTTTATTTTAAGAACTATTCGGTTTTATCATTGCTTCTATATTCAGTTATTTTACTTTTCACTTTAACAACATTTGGAGCTATTTTCGATCAAAAGTAAATTCATTTTTCTATTAAATTAATTATTATGAAATTTTGTTTTTCTTATAGAAAATATGCATTAAATCTGGAACGTATTCGTCTTATTTCAATGTTAATTTTACCACAATTTACAATAATGAAATCACTTTTCTTATTTCAATCACATTTAATCATTCAAATATTCATTATTTTATCTTTTCTTGCAACATTTTTTATTACACCTATTGCTCCGTTCGAAAAAGATATCTCAATTAAAAATAAATAAAAATTGATATTTTTGTATTCTAATATTAAATTTATTGTTAAAATAATAAACAAAATATTTTTAAAAAATAATTCAATCAACCAATATGAGAACAAAGTTAGTGCAGTAGATAAGTCATTTGAAATATATTCTACATAATCAAATACTATGCTAATAAATTACCAGTGTTGGGTGTGAATGTGGATGTGGCGCCTCTTCTTCTTTCCACCGTTAAGAATATCCTTTTCCATTCTTTATTTCATCTCCCATAAAGAAGAAAGAGGCACAAACAGACTAACACACACATACATGAAGAAAAAAGGACGTTTTTTGTGTATATATAAAATCAGTATATATCCAAAGAATGAACAGAAAAGGTATATGTATTTATATACATATACATATAGTATGAGTGTTGATAATACTCATCATAAAATACATTCTGTTATTTTATAGAAGACGGCAGCAGATTAGTTAACAGATTATTTTTCCATCTACTATCACTTTTCTCTTTTTTATTTTCATCAAAGTGTTGCTTTTTTATAAAGGAAAAAAAAGAGAAAAAACGCCGTTCGCTCTATTCTCTATTATAGTTTCACATATACGCCTTTTGTTATATTCTATTTTGAAGTAACTATTTTTCTTTGTGTTCTTCTTTTTTTCATCTAAAGAATCTTTTTAGAATAGCATCAATAGAAAAATATAACTCAATCGGGATAGCAGAAGATTGTTTCACATTGTTTAAATTAAATATGGGTTTATCCACTGATCGTATTGTGAACAATCAGGCTTCTACTCTCGAACATTTGCTTTGCTCAATCTGCCATGAAATATTGTGGCATCCTGTTACATGTGGAACTTGTGAACATAGCTTTTGCGAAACATGTCTCAATCAATGGTTTCAACATCAAAAACGGTGTCCTAATACCTGTGAGTATCAACAACGAGCTCGTGTACCACATCTTCTTACACAATTGTTATCACAATTAAAAGTTACCTGTAAGAATACAATAAATGGATGTACTGAAATTATCTTGTATGAAGCACTAGAAAAACATGAAGAAACGTGCCCTTATGAAATCAAGAAGTGTCAAGGTTGCTTGAAATCAATATTAAAACAAAATGCTGATCAATATGAATTACAGTGCGAGCACGTGGAGATTTTTTGTATTAATTGTCAAGCAACATATCGTCGACGAGATACACATAATGCAATAGTATGTCTAAGAAATCAAATGAAAAATCAAAATGATCTATTTGAATTAAAATTAACATCGTTAGAAAATGAACTTAAACGCCAAACAGAATTATTGATTAATATCGATCAACAACAGAAAGCTTTAATTGGACATTTAGATAAACAATCAAGATTAGCAGAAGGTAAGTAGCGCATTAGATGAAATAACTATATAGTAAACAAGTCTTTGATAATAATTCTATTACTATTTCTTCTAGAGAAAACAAAAAATATTATTCGATTTGACGACGTTCCTGATCCTGCATATCCTTTTTGTCAATTAAATCAAAATACTTACGGTGGTTTTCTTTGGTCCAACTGTAAGTTTATTTCTATGTTAGTTGGACAAGGCCAGCTATGTAAGAATGCTTTCAAAGTCGGTCAACAATGTGTGCTTTATTCTAATTTACAATTTTGTGATCAGGATAACGGCTTTGGCACATACGAGACAAAAGAAATATCAATTTCTGTTATGAACAATAATCAGACTTTCAATATAGAATCAATAGAAGCTCTCTCAATTACAAACGACAATTCTCAAGATACCCACATACACGGTACAAGAAATAAACAGATATGTTTCACTCGAAGTATCAGATTACATAATGAATTACAATTGATTATGTTAAATTGGACCAATATTGATAAACTGTCAATTGCAGTTGGTCATCAATATAGGACCACCTTTGACTTTGCAATAAGTGAAATCGTTTTCAGATTACCATAAATATCAGACTACCATAAATCTCAGACTAATCTATCTATCTAACCGTTTCAATACCTTTCCTTTTTTCTCTTGTGATCTGTTGTATTTTTCAATATGCACTAAACATAAAATTTTTCAAATAACCAGAAATTATATAAAAAATTTCTTACAAAGAAGATGGGTGTGAATGTTCTTTGTGAAATTTGCTTACACCCACCGTTTGAGATAAAGATGAACAAAGATCACACTGACACCTTCACCTTCAAATCGTTTTGCAGTGTTACAAAAATTCCGTACGAAACTACAGAGTATGAATAAAAATTAGTGAGTGTTACTACTCATATTGTTTTCTCAACAAGAACAAAGTTTCAATAGAGACACATTTTCTTTTTCATCAGTTTTATTCTACTTTCAAAACAAAATACAGAGAGAAATTATAATTTCCTTTTTATGTTTTCGAGATTTTCTCTCCATCGTTGAAGATCAGGATGATTTGTTGATAATGATTGTTGTGCAATTTGTACAGCACGTTCATAAAATAAATGAGCTTTTGAATAGTTGCCCATATTCTCATACACCAAACCGATGTTGTTATAGGAAACACCCAAACTAGGATCATTGAAAGGAAGTGATTGTTGTTGAATTGCAAAGGCTTTTTCATGAGATGAAAGTGCTTTTGCATAATCACCCATGGTGTTATACACACCACCGATGTTGTTATAAGAAGAAGCCAAATCGGGATGATTAGAAGGAAGTGACTGTTGTTTGATTGCAAGGGCTGTTTCGTGAGATGAAAGTGCTTTTGAATAATCGCCCAGGTTGTAATGCACCAAACCGATGTTGTTATAGGAACCAGCCAAATCAGGATGATTAGAAGGGAGTGACTGTTGTCTAATTGTTAGCGCTTTTTCATAATAAGAAAGTGCTTTTGGATAATCACCCATGCTAGCATACGCCGTACCCATGCTGCTATAAGAAGTACCCAATTCAGAATGATTAGAAGGAAGTGATTGCTGTCGAATTGTAAGGGCTTTTTCATAATAAGAAAGTGCTTCTTGATATTCTCCTTCATTATATTTGGTTCGGCCAAGTTGGTGATAAATATTTGCCTTATCGCTCTCATTCGTTGTTTGATTGAGTAAAACTTTATAAATTTCGTGAGCTTTGGTAAATTGACCCATTTTAATCAGTAATAATCCCAATCTGTACCATCCTTTTTCGTCTGGAAAAGTCTCCTGCCGGATCTGATCGCTAAGAGTTAGAAGGTCTTGATCGTTATCAGTGGTCAATGTTAAATTAACTTGATAGAGATCATTATTTTCATCCATTAGTTGAATATCTCCAATACGAAAAACGGTATGCATAGAGAAAAGAACTTCATCTTCCATATGAAAATGACTAACGTCGCTAACAGAAGCAAATGGAGTTGTTGAATTAGTAGGATTAATCGATATAACAAATAAAATTCCGACAAGATCAGGATTTGTAGCAGCTTGTGGTGCAAATAAGAGAGAAACATCACGATTTTTACTAGTTGATAGAAAGTTATTAAATGAAAGAAGTCCACCTTTAGTATTTATCATTTCGCTAAAAGCTTCTTTTGAAAGACATTGCCCACGATAAACTGTAAATATTTTATCAGATTGTTCACCATCAAATTGTTCTGAATGGAGTCGTTGAATATCACGATGTAGATCATTAATAAAGAAACCCATTCGAAGAATAATATCGATATTCATTAATCTTAATGCTTGATTGAGCATCGAGTATAGAAAATATTGATAAGTCTACCACCAGATAGGTATATGATCATGATAGTCACGTTCTAGTTTTTCAATATTTTGTAATTCATACTCATTTTCGACAAATACTTCACGACAATAAGTAATAAATTCTTTAATATGTTTATCTTCAAAACTGATGGTTAATAAGATCTCTTTCAAGATCTGAGTATACATAAATGATGAATCTAACTGATCCAATTTCGTGTTTGGTGCTACAAAGCTGATTGAGATGGCATTTTGCTCGCATTGGTGAGCAGTTTGCTTAAGAGCTTCACAGATTGATGTTATATGTGTGAAGACTCCTTTTATTTTAGGCCATTCTTTGATCCATTGTTTATGCCATTCTTGATTATTACAAAAAATAAAAATGGTGTCTACTTGTGACATATCATGCACATGAGGTACAATATGTTTCCCTAGTGAACCAGAAACAATCATACATACTTTGTTGTTCGTGATGGTTTGAATAAATTCAACACACTTTTCACCATCCGTAAATGTGTTTACGTCGTTCACTACAGATTTCAGTTGATCGATTGTATTACTGCAATCCGTATTATTTTCATCAATATTTTTGTCCAACCAAATCAGGAGGATATTTTGCATTCTTCGCATGTTTATACGTCGATTTTCTACTGAATCCTTGGAGAAGTTTGATACATATTTAGTCTTAGATTGTGTATCAGTTTGAATAGATGTTATTGATTTGTTGTTCGCCATTTTTTATTTTAATGCAGACTATTTGAAGAAGAAATGTTTAGAAAGGAGTTAGAATAATGTGTCATTTTATGGTAAAAGAATTTTCCTTCGAGGGTGTGGATGTGAGTGTTGGTATTACAATCATTTTTCATCCACACCCACACTTCGTATTAAAAAAGGACGGAACTCGCTAAGTATTACATAAATGCTTTGTTTCGCATCATATTAAATATATATACCGTTTTACTTTAGAGAGGTAGTTGTATCATACAAAAGTCAATTTATTTTATCTCTCTTTAATCAACTAAATGAAACAGTTATTTTGGCTAAGATAAAAATAAAAAAATACCATAAATCAGAATAAAGTAATATGTTTTATCATTTCATTCTATGAGAATATATTCAGATGTCGATAATCAACAACTATATTAGTGCTTATATTCATCTTATCAAGCACATATTTACTATTTACAATAAATAATATGCTATTATTAATTGTTATATTGATTGGAATTGTTTCCAGTCATTTCAATGATCCATTTGTTTGTTCTATTAGTTATTCAGATTATCTTCCAGTAAAATTATCCAAAAGTTGGATCAATGAATCAATTAATTGCTTTGATCAAGGTGCTAAACGAGCTGATTTAAATATATTTCCTACTAATAAAGAATGTGGGTGTGAGTGCAAAGTAGATGTAATACACACACCCACGCCCTCGATTAATAAATGCTTAGCTTCCCATCACATTGAATTAAAGAAAACTCCCGAATAACCTCAATTTAGGATGCTTCGTACCTATATAAATATAAATGATTTAACAATATATACAGATATACATGATATTGATAATTCTTATTCACTAAATGGTAGTTATCTTGTTGTTAGTCTATGTTTTTATATAAATCAAAGACGATATAGTGAAAAAGAAACAAATGAAAGTATTTCAACATTTCCAATAGCTTATATACGAAGTCGAGCATTTGAATATACTGATAATATACAGTTTGTATAGTACAGACTAACCTCACCATTATATTGATATGAAAAAATGTATGATTAATCAAATGTTCAACAATGAGTATATAAAATGATTAGAATATATATATTTAAAACAAATATAACTTAAATTTATAAGAAGTAATTTGATTTCTGACGAATCAATATTAGAATCATAAAATCTTTAACTAAAGACTAATTGTTTTTATAACAAATTAATGATCTTTGTCATTTTTCCTCTCGGTATATATAACAAATACATTACGTCTTGATCACGTACTATATTCTTATTCATTCGGCGTCATTATATAAGATATTATTATTTTTAGATATGAGAACAAACAACTATGAATATCAAGCTATAAAGTCCAAATTCTCTATGTATTTATATTAATAATTAAGAAGATAATCATCTTTTCATTTATATTCATCGTCAAGTAAAAATATACTAATATCAAATAAAGTTAGTAAGTTACCATGCTACTTATCAGAGCAAAGAAATCGTCTTTATACTATTTTATATGAGCACCTGAGTTATGATCAAACACTTGGTGATGCATTGATGATTTTTAAATCACTTTGTTATCAAAAGAAAATTAATGAACGAACTTTTTCAATTGCGAATAACAATCACATCAAATAATTAATAATGACTTCATTATAGGTCCTACTGCTCTCATTGCTGGAATCGAATTTGCTTTGAGTTCCAAATATGGCACGAATAAAATGGAAATGTTTACCGATTATTTCTTTAGAATTTCTAACTAGTAAATATCATAGTTATATTGATACTCTTCGTTCTGTCTGATACAAATATTACTCAGAAGAATTTTTATACACCATAATCTGATCATTAAATCAATAATAAATATCAATATCGATTAATTTGTAACATTTCAAGTTCAAATATGAATTGTTGCCATACCCATTGAATAGTTTTTTCGATTGTGTAAAAATTAAGACCTTTTATTTTGATTAGTTTATTTTGAACATCTGCTATTTTATATATAGTATTATTTTTAATTATATATTTTTCTTTTGCGTAGAAAATAACCATGTAAAATTTTTTCAAGACAAAAAACAGAAGCCTATAGGAAAAAAATCTTTTTATCATCTTTTCTGTTAATGTCAAGGCCTTTATTTCATCATACATTTCTTTTCGAAAATCTATATTATCTATTTTTTATCAGCATATATACTGCTTTGTAATTATGATTATCAAGTCATAGAAATACAAAACTAAAATGCAATTCATGTTGATAGGAAGGAAAAACACTCGTAGTTTTTCTTCACGATAATATTTATACACTTCTTCGGCCATCCGATATCAACGAAAGTCTATATGACAAGATATATTACTCTATTCCTTGTATCAAAATAAAATAGTAATAATAATAAATATTTATTTTTAATGTATCTTTCCTTCAAATTTGATTTTGAATATTTTCTGCTGTGTAATTGAAAGCAGCTGTTATCCTATTATAAAACAATTTAAGAGTTACTTTATTTTCCTATTTATATTAATCTTCCAATCTTAAGTCAAAAAAACGTACTTAGCAATTAATTATAAAAACATAAATCATTTCTTCATAAAAAAAAGTCGTACATCATATGATGAATAGTTACACATGTATTCAACAGACCATGATTCCAAAAATAAGGAAATAAAATATAGAAAATTTTCATTATTAATTTCTCCAAGTTTTTTTCTATCACTTTTCTGATTTATATAAATATGCACCAAGAAAGTACAATTTATTAAATTCATAGGTTATCCCAGGCAGACAGAACCGTTAACATGCACGCTTTTGAGGCGTAAAAACGTGTTTTTCTACCAGTTTTATCTGACTGGATTAGTAGTATACGATATAACAGATTTTTAAAAAAGAATAAGCATTTCAAAGCAACATGATTGTTTCACAATATAAAAAAAGAATTCCCTGTAGAAAATCCTGATAGAATGGAGAAAGAAAACAAGATGAATACTCTATCTCATTATCAATGCTTCAGAAAATATTTCTAATCAAGATCTAAGCAACAAAAAAAAAACAGATCAAGGGCCACCGGTACTTATCACAAAATCAAACTAATAGAATATCTCGTGTACAAGTAACCCGTCAATAACAACTCAGATGATGATAATATTATCGACATATGGATATCTAATTATTCTAGTATATATTTTTCTTTGCATAACATAAATCAGTATGTCTATCAAGAGACCTAATTCAATCAATTAGAAATAAATAAATATGATTGGAATAAATCGCTTTTATAATATTATACAGCTAATTACTACGAATGTTCTAATGATACAATTAGAAGAAAAGAGTAGGATGTAATCGGATCCGTATTTGTTAATTATATTTTTTTCATGGTCATCCAAAAAAAATATGGAATACAATAATCTAACTCAATTCTCGAATTAGGAATTAACGGACTATATCTCTATTTTTTTATAAATGTATAATCCGTATAGATTAAAAGGATACTTTGATCTAAATTAATCCAATTATAAATTGTATACTGGAAGACGACGTTCGAGAGTTATACTATATGAAAATATCTCAGACTGGAAAAGCACCTAAAGTAAATCTTTTGTATGAAAATAACTTAAATTGAATTGATATATTTGAAGATTATCGATAAGAGAAATGAGATTTTTCAACTATCATTCTAAATCACAACTTACACGTGTACTGTTCTTATGGGAAATCATTTTTCTTCCATGTTTATCACATCGTTGTCTTTTGTAAGAAAGAAAAAACAAATCTCTAAGGATTTTCAGTCGAAAAGAAAACAGACTATTGAAGAATAATATATTAACTAGACATTTGGTTACATATATTGAACATCAAATATGAAAAATTTCTTTATAATACAGGTAAAATTAATCGTTATGTGATTGTTTTGTATTTAGTCTATACTATCTCTTGTCAAACATCGTCCAGATGGAAAATATACTTGCATATAACCATTTATCTTCTTTTTCTGTGTTGTAATTTATATATATATATATGTGTGTAAGACAAAGATGTGTTTCCTTAATGATTATATTTCTTAGATTGTCACGTCAGTTATTCGTGCTTTATATCTATACATAAAAGATATAAATTCGCTTGTCAGTATGATGAGTAATAGAAGAGCAAACCACTTGTTTTTTCACATCTGATGACAAGAAAATCTGGATAACATACGAGCAAGTAACTGAAAGAAGACGAGAGAAAAAAGAAGAAAAAGACTAACTATGTTGTCTTCTTTTCCGTTCTATTTGTTGTTAATGTAACATTAGAAACGAGTTATTCCACACCAATTCAATAATATTTCATCTCTAATAAAAATTAATCTTGTAAGTACAATGAAGTTTGACTAGCAAAAAAAAATATATATATTTTCCTATTTAATAATTAATGGCGTAACCAAATGGAAGTTAGAGGAAGTTAAATCTCCTCCCCTACGAATAGTTTCGGCTTGCTTAAAAAATAACTTGAATCTCCGTCCCCTCTATCACTGTTCATTAGTCACGCCCCTATTTCTAATGTCTAATAACGTCAAGAAAATTTTTTTTTTCTATTTTTGGAAAATCCTATTTACCATTCATGTATAAAAATTATCAATTAGATCATTGTTCCACATACCTGCACATCCTCCTAACATTTTCTTCTATGTCTACGTTCAAATAAGTTCATCTAAATTTAAATCTTTTTTTTTGATTTTGACTATTATATTAGATATATTAAAGGAAATGTCATAATTCTTCTTTAGTATAAATTTTCATTACTAGTAGAGAAGAGAAACAAATTTATGAGGTAACCATGACTTTTTTTGTTCTTCTTCTTCTTTTTTACAACAACACCACCAAGTAAAAAGATCCGACTGGAAAATTTATGATGCAGTCACTCATAACAACCCAATGATAAGAAGAGTGTCAAATATTTAATAGGTAATAGAATAACAATAAAGGAAATATTTAGTTTCTTTCTTCTTCTTTTTTTTTTGATAATTTTATAGAATATATATATTTTTATTGCAATGTGTACGTATAAGTAGATTTGTCGATATTCTTAAGCTGTTTCAATATTTGTCTGATACTTTGTCTATGACGCAAATAATAATAACGTTTCGTGCTTTTCAAGTAGTTTTTAAGAGAAAGAAAAGAGATCGTCATAGTGTAATTGTATGTGTGTTTTACTTATATATATATATTTCTTGTCGAACGAGATCCAATTTTCTATGATGCACTTAATATTGTTTTTGATTAATAAACGTTTAAATTATAGATTTCTATTCCCGACAATAATAGACAATTAGATTTCTAAAACTTTTTATTTTTCTTATTATTATTGATGATAAATAAAAATAACAACGAGTACTTTATTTTCTTGTTACTATTATAACTAAAACAAAAAAAAACATATTATGTTATTTGTATAAAAATAATTTCTTAAATAAATAATAATCACATATTGAAGTGTGAAGAAATAAAATTTATTAGCAGTTATTCTTTATAGTATATCATTGAGTTAAATTTTGAATAGTATTTATCTATATAGACAAAATGCATTGAATTAGCATACTAAATTTGCATTACATCCGGAATATGAAAAAGAAATAAAGGAAAAGATGAAAAAAACAAACTATATATATATATACATCATATATCTTGTCTCTTTTTTATTCATTTGTCAAATCATTTTCATATCATTTCCACGATTTATAATAGGAGATTGTAATAAAAATGATTATATTTCCAAAAAAATACTGTAAATTAAGTTGAGTATAACCCATATGTCTCGAGTCGAGTTTTTAAGTAGACTACTTCTTCGTCTCTCACATTTAAGTGTATAAAAATGTGCATGATAACAAAACGATCCGATTGCTATCTAATGTGTGGATTTGGCAGTAGAAAACTACAAGTGCTAATTGTAGTGCTAATGTCCACCCACTCTCTCTATCTCTCTCTTCTTGCAGTCTAGCTTTTGCCTATCCAAATAACGACGATTGAGTTATGTTTTCCTACAATACGTCTTCATTATTTTTCCCTCACTTGATTGCTTCTCTTTTCTTTTCCTTTTTTCTTGAGGTTTTTTCTTCTCTCTTCTTCTTCTTGCCGCCGTTCGTCTATATGGTAGTAGTCGAATGAGTCTCTTGATAGAAAAAATATAAACGAAATTAACGGGAAAAAAAAAGAAATAAATGTCATTCAGTTAGTCAGTCAATTTTATTAGAAATTCGTTTTATAGTTTTCATTGTATGTATATATGTATGCTCGACATACTGTCTGATGATCGATGAGATAAGTCCTTGTTGTCATCAGCAAGATCCCATGAGAGTTAATAGGCGAAAGACATACATAAATGAGAGAGAGAGAGAGGGAAACGCATATATATATATATAATGTTAAGATAACTATATCAGTACAAGTGTACAAAAACCATATATATTTGTCTAGCATGTGCTTTAGCTTTCGTGTCATATGCATCAATATATATATATATACTCATAGTGATTTCTGTGTGACAATTCAGCAAAAGCTAGACAAATGATTATTATTATCTAGAGAATAGATCATTGTCGACACGTGTTAATTGTCCCAATGGCAAAATTCAGAAGGATAAGCTGCATATAAACATGCAAATGAATGCACGTAGAAAAGATAGATAATTAAAAAAGATATCAACCATTACCATCAGTTTTTTTTCTGTTTATATGAATGAGATAGATCATATTACCTTGTTTTTATTTCTCTCTATGTGTCTTTTCATTCTGCTTACTTCGATTTATTTAGTAAGTCCTTGGGAACATGTTTCTTATTTTGTTCATAAATTAACGATTATTGTTATTATTAATGGATCATATTGGTATTTTTCTTAATGAAATAAATGTCTGAATGAATATTTTTGTTTCCAGACATTCAAGAGCAAAAAATGCTTAACAATCTTTTTTGTCACTAATCGTTTGTTTCTCTAGTAAATAATTGAATAACTCTTCTGAGGTCAATTTACAATAAAAAAAATTTTGTATTCTTTTCTTCTGCGCTTTATTCTTTTCATTATTTGCTCATATATGTAACGAAGTAAAAAGAGAACGATGTTTACTAGTCGATCTTGTCCTGTCTATCATTTAACTAAAAAATATTAATCGAACTGTTATGGTAACGTATCTAAAGAAGTTGTCTCTTACATTTAGCTCTAGGCTTCTGATATGGTTAAGCAAGATCATTATATCTTTTTTTCCGATCGATCGATAAAAAAATAAAAGAAGAAGAAGAAGAAGAAGAAGATGAAAGGGAATAGAATAGAGGCCAGCGTTTTCGTTCGTTGATATGTTCGTTTGTTTTCTCGCTCATTCGCTCGCTCGATCAATCATCCATTCTTATAATGATAAGAAGTCTGGTAGGAAATGACATCGAAAACAAACGGTGGGAATTCACTTTATCTAAAAATCACTTCCGCACTATTTCTAAATTATCATAGCCATTTTCTTTCTTTCTTTCTTTCTTTGTTCTCTGTTGCTACAACTACTCATACTTCTTTTGATAATAATACTAACTATGCTGACGCACGAACATACGCATGTCTGCACAGAGTTTTCTCTCTCTCTCACCCCCCTCCCTCCTCTCTCTCTATCTCTTTCTCTCATTCCTTTTTACTTCCGTGAGAAAAAAAACATAAAAAGAATGAAAAACTCTTTCTTTTTTTTATATTCTTCAGATTTGTGGTGTGCTTTCTCAAATTCATACCTTTCTTTTCTTCGATAACAACAACAACATATTATTATTATTATTATTATTATTATTGTTATTATTATTATTATCACAAGCATCGACAACTGCTTCGGTATATATATATACATCATTGTCTTCATTATTGTTTCTTAGTAATATAAGAAACATCGGAAAAGCCTTTAGACAAAAACATTGATAATTAGATTTTCAAGATTAATCTCAAAGTAAGAAATCGAGTGTATACTTCTATTCTTTTTTTTATAAACCGATTTGCTTCGTATGAAAACAAAACTACTACAAGACAAAAGAATTGATTAGAACTAAGGACTATTACTATTAGACTCTAGTTTTTTTCTTATCTTATAAAACACGCATATTATTTTTGCATGAGTTGTCTGACAATTCAGGTCAAAGCAAACAATGATCACTATTGAACATGACAGTTGGTGTGCGTGACAACCTATAAGACCAACAAAATAAGTAATGGTACAACACCGTTATGAACATATCATACAAAAAATACTCTTATTTTTATTTTCATTTCATAATTAATTTAATAATTCAGATCTGAGTTTCAAAAAACTAAACAGAATGCCTATCCATCTATCTATCTGTTCCGTACTCATGAGATTTGATAGTTCATCATTTACAACAGATAATATTCTCATTGGATTCCTATATAAGAAACAAGAATTTTCTTTCATGTATTTTTTATCACGATCAAAATAATAATAATAAATAATTGTATATAATTTTCCTTTTAGTACGTCAAAATGAATCTTCAAGCATAATGACTACAGAAACAACAACAACAACAACAACAAATCATCTCGATGTTGTTGAATTAAATGTTGGTGGTGTAACATATGCAACGACATTAGGAACATTACAGCAAGCTGAACCTGATTCACCACTTGCCATTGTATCAACATTAAAAGTAGCTGAAATTAGGACAATATTTGGGCGTGATAGCAAAAATCGTATATTTATCGATAGAGATGGTGTTCTCTTTCGTTATGTACTTGATTATTTGCGTAATCAAAAATTGTCTTTACCAGAAAACTTTGCTGAACGTGATCGTCTTCAAGTAGAAGCAGAATATTATCGTCTTAGTAATATGAGCAAAGCATTAATACAAAATCGTTCAAATGGAAAACATTTAAATGAAACTATGAATATTACAACAGGATTATCTACTGCAATTATTTCACCAACATCTTCAATGATTACTGCCAGTACAGGTCATCGTTCTAATACGGGATATATTGTTGTTGGTTATCGTGGTACTTTTGGTAAGTTAAATTTTTAGAAAAATTTATTTCATTTTATCTATGTATATATATGCATATGTATAGCTTTTGGTCGAGATGGTTTAGCTGATGTTAAATTTCGAAAAATATCTCGTATACTTGTTTGTGGTCGTGTACATCTTTGTCGAGAAGTATTTGGCGAAACATTAAATGAATCTCGAGATCCTGATCATGGTCAAACAGATCGATATACATCTCGTTTTTTCCTTAAACATACTTTCCTTGAACAAGCTTTTGATATGCTTGGTGAAGCATCATTTTTAATGGTAAATCAAATTTAACTAGAATAATAAATTATTATTATTACTATTTATATATTTATCTAGGTTGGTTGTGCAGCAAGTGGATGTAGTAGTTCAACTAGCGAAATGAGTAAACAAACTGATAGTGAAGAAAATCGTTGGTTACATTATAATGAATTTGTCTTTTATCGCGGTTGATTTTCTGTATTTCATCATTTTATTCTATATTGTACTTTTCTTTGCTGCGCTCCCCTTTTATCTTTTTAATTAACATATTCTATATACGCAATCGATATAGAATTTTAATTTTCCTCTATACTCGTGCATCTTTGTCTTTCTGTAGTTAATAAAAACAAAAAAAAGAGTTTCACAGAGAAGAAAAAAAAACGAAACAACGAACCAACTTTTGATTTACGATGTAAATAGATAAAAATGATAACAATCTTAATTTCGCAAGAGAATAAATATATATATATATTCTTTTATTTAAAATAATAAAAATTAATATTTAAGAAAAAGAAAAAAAAAGTAGCATAACCTTATTTTCCAAATTATATGTTACTTCTCTCGATTTTTTATTTTTTGTTGTTTAAGCTTTTTTGCTTGCCATGCCTTATCGGTTCCATGTAATCGATCAAGTATACCCAAGAGACCAAAGTTATTTGTAAATTGTGCATGATGAAAATCGTGAAAAGCTGGATTAGAAAGACCATTTCCTAATATACCAGGTAATCGATATCCGGAATGATGATTAATTGTGCCAATAAGTGCAAAAAAAATCCATAACCATGTAGTTAATAAATGTGATCGAAATAACAATGGACCAACAATAACAGGACCAATATTTGATATAATAAATTCAATAGGATGTGCATATTCAGATGCTATACCAATAGGTGCACGAAATCGATGATGTTTTTTATGTACATATTCATATATAGATGAAAAATGCTATGAAAATGAAATAATAATTAAATTAATAATAGTCATCTGGTTTTTATTCTTACAAGTATAAGATGACTGTAATAGAAAAAGATTTCGGTTACACCAAGAAAACTAATTAATTCAAACATAATTCGATACCTATGTGTTTTTTAGGAAAAAAGTAAATCATAGATGAATAAAATAATAGTTTGTTTCAATTAATATCATACCATGGAGGAAATGGTATATGCCATTTAACACCCAAATGTAAAAATAATGGACAAGTCAATATAAGAGCAGGCAAAAGAATAAATATTTGATTTATTAAGACTGTTTTTGCACATTCTTTAACTTGTTTTGTATCGACATAAACATCCTATACAAGAATAAATATTTTCATATAAATAATTAATTATTTAATCTTATTAAAATCTCAACTTTTTGAATTTTATATTCCTTTGAACGATTTGGATATATGATATGTGTAAAAAGTAATATAATGCCATTATAAATCCAAAATAATAATTGATGAAGTATAAATGTACCAAATATGATTAATATTGGATCAGTAAGAGGAATCATTTTTGTTTCGTATATTTAACTGATCTACTTTTTTTACTCTTTCTTATCGTCTACTCCTTTAAATAATAGTGACCTTCTTTTTTTCTATATTATTATATTTATATATGTAAGAATATAAAAACAACAAATGTTTAAGTAAGATATGCAACAGAAAAAAACAAACGAATGAGTAATGTTTTTTTTTTATTTTTCTAAAGTATGATGAGTATTATCTCCTGGAGAAGGTGGACCTTCACCAGCCGTGCCTTGGCCTGTACCGCCTAATGATTCAGTTGTTGGTGGAATAGTCGATGGTTTTGGCGTTGAAACTAATTGAATAAAGAATAAAATGATTCAATAAAATATAATTTTAAATAAAACCTGTATCATCCCAATCGATAATATCCATTTTTTGTTTATCAGGATACGGTGGAGGACCAATAAGTTTAACAATATCATCATAATTAAGTGTCTCACGTTTTAATAATTCTTCAGCTAACTAAAAAATAAAATTTTTTGAAAAAAAAGAAGAATAAAATTTGATTTCATACAATATTAAGTTTAGCTCGATTTTCTCTCATTAATTTTTCCGTACGTTGGAACGCATGAGCAAGACGTTGTTGTGCTTCCTAAAAATAATGAAAACAAAATATAATAATTATTGATTACATAAATTCGAAACGGGAAAAAACTCTACTGAATATGAAAAATAAATATTAGAATAACATCCGTTTGTTTTTTAACTCATTGACTTTTATATAAGAGTTTGAGTAGTTTTCTTGTCGAGACAAAAACAAACAATATGACGTGATCAGAAAAATCGTTATATTAAACTAGTTTTTTTGCATGTCAATTTTAATGAAATATTTCTAAAATTGTCTTCGTAAAAGGCTTCAATTTTCCGATTCAAATTTAAACTTTAATTACTTTGTAAAAAGAGAATACTAAATCAAAAGAAAGACTTGAAACATTTCAATTGTATTTAAAAATATTCTTATTAAAACTTAATCAAACGTTAAAATATTTTCATAATACAAAGAAGGACTGTCAGTGATCGAACTCCGAGCTATAATTTGTATTCAGAAATAGAAATTTATTCTGTGGCTTCTATTATGTATATATATAATACTCATCATTACCTCATCCATCATGTGTTGTAATCGTTTACTATATGGTTTAACACCAAAATCATCATTTTGTGGATTCTGTCGATCAGCAGGAAAGGAAATGAGACCAATTGTCTTACTCATACCGAATTGTTTTATTTGAGCATAAGCTAATTTTGTTGCTCGTTTTAAATCATCTTGAGCTCTAAATAAATAAATCATTTTATTTTTTAATTCAGTATAGAATTCCTACCCAGTTGATGCATGATTAAATACAATCAATTCTGCAACTCGACCACCTAACATGACACATAAGTCTTCATCAAACTAACCATTGAAAAAATAAATAAATGAATAAATAAATATTTTTTATTAGATATTTTACTTCGTCTTCATGAAATAATTTTTTATCTTTTGGCATATATTGTGCAAAACCAAGAGCTGGTCCTGTTCTTGGTACAATTGTTACTTTTAATGGTAAACTTGTTGATTTTAAAAACCAACCACTTATAACATGGCCAGCTTCATGATAGGCAACAGTACGTTTTTCTGTTGGTGCCATTGTACTTTCTTTTTTAGCTGCACCAGCAACAACACGTTCGACAGCAGCTTCAAAATCATTTCGTTCAATAACTTTTTTTCCTGTACGTGCAGCGTGTAATGCAGCTTCATTACATATATTAGCAAGATCAGCTCCTATATTTATTGAGTAATAAATCTTTTAATTCTTAATTTCTCTTGTTTTTTTTCTTCGTAGAATACATACCGCTCATTCCCGGTGTTAATTGTGCTAAACGTGTTGAATAAAATTTGACATCTTTTTCTATCTTAAGTTTTTTTAAATAAACTTCTAATATTTCAATACGTTCAGGTAATGTTGGGTAATCAATAAGTATATGTCGATCAAAACGACCTGGTCGAAGTAAAGCCTAAGAATCGAAATTTCAGTAAAATTATTAGTAGAAAATAATTGAAAATTACTTTATCGAGTACATCTGCACGATTTGTTGATGCAAGCATAATTACATTTGTTTTTGATTCAAGACCATCCATTTCAACTAATACTAATACAAGAATAAAAAGAATTTTTATAACAATATATATATTGAACTAATAAATTCTTTACATTGATTTAATGTATGTTCTTCTTCACTACTCGTCATATAACTGGATTTATTTCTATAATCAAACAAATAAAATCTTTTATTGTGTATAAACAATTGATTTCGTACTCTCCACGTCTTTTCTTTCCAATTGCATCGATTTCATCTATATAAATAATACATGGTGATCGTTTACGTGCTTCTCGAAATAAATCTCGAACACGAGCTGCTCCAAGACCTGAAGAAATAGAATTGAAAAAAGAATATTGAAGTAGATTTGTTTTTTTTTTCTTGATTGTATACTAACCACCGATCATTTCAACAAATTCTGATCCATTCATAGAAAGAAATGGTACACCTGCTTCGGCAGCAACTGCTTTAGCTAACATTGTTTTACCAATACCTGGTGGACCAAGAAGTAGAGCACCTTTTGGAACTTTTCCTCCTAATTCCTAAATAATTTCAAATCAATTTTTTATTAAAGGTTTTAATAGAAAAAAAATAAGTTTCATACAGCAAATTTTTCTGGTGTTTTCATATATTCAACAAATTCCATAACTTCTTGTTTAGCTTCTTTCATACCAGCAACATCACGGAAAGAAATTTTTGGTATATTAACTTTTATATGTGGATCAACCATAGTAAATTTTGCTTTTGTCATCATCTCCATTGGATTAACAAAATTCATTTTCATACGTGATTTAAGAAAAGCAAATAGTAGTATAACAGTTGAAAGAACAAAAATTACACCTGGCCATTGACTATTAAAACAGATAGATTAGACATATTATGCGAGATTTGAATCAATAAGATATTACGATTGAAATTTGCTTTCTTAACTCTAACAAATTTTAGACTGAAAAACCATGTCGAAGAATGTTCTCACAGAAAACTAAATCTATTATTTATTCTGATACCATTAAGAGTGCTCTTATCGACAACAATGAGAAGCACTTAACTCAGTGAAGTAGATAGTTATTATTACAATGTTGGTAAGCATGTTTCGGATTATATCCTGCTAAATAGATACTACTTTTAATCTGATCTTTATTTATCTATCTGATATAGATATAAGAAATTCAAACTAAGAAAATAGCAATTTTCATTGACTATTGTATGCTAATGACTGTAACTATTAGTTGCATGATTAAAGAATAAGTATCGTGCTAAGCGATCAAAGTTTGTCTCGTTAATTTATTCTAAAAACATTCAATTACTATAATTTCATTCAAACCTGTTTCGTGTATAACTGACTAATATTCGACTTGTTGGATCAATATGTAAATCTGATTCAACTTTTCGTAATTTTTCTTCAAATTTTTCAACATTACTTATCTTCATAACAAATGTATCTCGATCAAATAGCTAAAAAAGCAAAATAATTATTTTAAACAAACATATATATATTTTTCTACTTTTCGTCCTTTAATGACCGGTTGTGGATGTAATTTTATATAAGCAAGTTCTTCTTCTATGTGGATAATAACTTCTTCAACCTAAATATTTTTAATACAAAAACAAAACTACTTTGTTTTTTCTTAATAGAAATTAGACTAACTTCTCCTTTCGATAACATATCTTGAACAAATTCATTCCATGATATATAACCATGAGAAAGACCATTAGCATCGCGTTGTTTTTCTTGACTTGAAGTTATATATGCTAGGATCATAGATAGAAGAAAGATCGTAATTATTATTCGTGGATTCATTGGAGAGGGAAGTGGTGGTTGTTGTTGTTTATTTGGATCATTACCTTAAGCAACGAAAAATTTATGATAAATATTTTAATATATAAAAATAAATTTTTATACTATCTGTTGATGGATTTTGATTATCAGATTGATTTTCTTTTCCAACTCCAGGCTCTGGTGGAAAATTCCGCGGATCATTTTTAATAGATGACATCACTAAATATTATAGAATTATTTAATTTGCTTTATTAAAAAAAAAAGTTCTTACTTAGAAATTCTTTATTATTCATAGAAAATGTACGTAATACATTCTTAAACCATTGTCGAAAGGGCTGTAAAGAATTGAACATAAGAAGAAGAAAAAGTATGATTATGATTGATAACATACTTGATTATGTTCAACTAAATTTTTTATTAAGGATGTAGTAGGTCGAATATTAAAAATATCTGATTGAAGGAGAGCCTAAAAAGAAAAATATATTTATAATTGTTTGTATATTATATTGTTACGATCAATATTGAACTACTGGTTTTAACCTCAGAAGCTTTTAGGATATTTTTTACAATCTCTTACTTATATTATTATTCCTTACATCAATTCATGGTTATCTGACTGATTATTAACTATACAATCAATAGATTTGATATGCAAAAACCTATGTTCCTTCGGACTTGAGACAGATATGTCCAAACTATTCATAAGTATTTATCAAACATTAGATGTTTATTGAGAATTCTGAAAATTTCAAGTTAAATATATGATTGTTTGTTATAGATATATTACAAAAATTGACTTTATTTCTAATGAAATTTAGAAGGTTTTTTTGGGCAACATTTCATTCTTTTTTAAATACTAAAAGATAACTAGAAAAGTGAGTATAACAATCATAAGTTTTCTCATCTTACTCTATTGTATTGAATAAGATATAAATAGATAAAATATTTTTCGAATGTTAGAGCTACCAATCACATTTATTTTATATCCTAAACATACAGTATTTCAATAAACTCTCTTCTACTCATTAAAGATTATCTGAGGTTAAACTAAATTATAATTAACAGAATCTGTTGTTTTTGTTCTCTGATACTAATTATTGAACTTTTACTCTCGAGATTAACATTTCATCAAATCGAATAATTAATTTATGCTTATCAAACTATTTTCAACACTTAAAACTTTTTCTTATAATAATAAATCGAATTCTTTCTTTTATCAATAAATTATTTACTTGTTGTTGTTGATGCTGATATGCTGCAGATGTAGTATATAATAGTGAATGATCAATAATATGTGATAAACGTTTCAATTGAAACTGTTTTATCAAATTTAAACGTGATGATATATTCATAATACTCAAAATATCTAGAGAGAATGATGATGATCAATCGATGATATTTTTATATCTTTATTTATATTCTTTCTATATTGTTGTTGTTAGTTTTATTAAATCTCTTTTTCTTATGTGTATCAAAACAGAAAACAAAATATCTCGAACGATGTTAAACAAGTTCCTGTGTGTTGATAACAATTTTATATTGTTTAGAATCGTAATTTTTGGAAGAACCATTTATGTTTGCCTGTTTTGTATCTAGAAAATAAAAATAATAAGAAAAAAACGAATTAGGAATTAAAAATTTTATTTTACCGTTCTTCGAATTTTTCTTTAGCATCTCGAAGAGCTTTTCGTCGGAGGCCAGCATCACGAAATACTTCCTTATTAATTAAACTTTTTTCAAAGTTAATATCAACAGTATATCTAAAAGTAAACATATTTTTATTAATAATAAATTAAATTCAACAAAAAAATCATTACCGAGTAGCCATTAAATGATTATAGTTAATAACTTTAACGAATGGTTTGATTTTATTTCGTCGTGCTTGTTTCTTTTTTCCCATTCGTTTGGTTACTTTACGTGGATAACGTGAAATACCAGCAACAAGTGCATGACCATATCCACGTTCGTTACTACCTTCATCATGTGGCTAAATAAAATGAAAGATTTATAAACGAAAATTTTAATGAAATAAATCCATACTTTAATAACTACAGCCTTGCGACCAGCATAACGGCCAGCTAAGACAATGACTACTTTCTGACTTTTCATAATTTTCACCATGATTGATGTTATTATCGAAGATCTAAAATTGAATTAAGAGTTTTAGTAAATTTCTAATGTATGTTAAAAGAAAATAACAATAATAACAAATGGATATGGATGATGTAAAGTTTTCTAATTTGATTGGTTTATATTTCTGGCCTGTCGGCCTCTGCAAGTATATATACGAAGGATTTTTATAGAAAATTTCATTGATTATTTAAACAACCAATCGAATTCGAACGTTATAGTACGATGATTGAATTGAAAGATACAATCGAAAATGTCGTTTTACTAATGTATTATTAATTGAGATCGAAATCAAAGAAAAGAAAAAGAAAGTATTGCATTCGATTATGAATTAGTATGAGAAATAAGTTGAAAATTAAATCAATGATATTTTATTCTTTCTTTTTTAATCATAATATAACAATACTTTTTTATATTTATTAATTATAATTTGACACTTGCATAAATTAATATATATTTAATGCATTAATGGAATGAATTTATGTCTAACAGCAGACAAAAGTCTCATTTCGTTAATTATTAACATACTATAAAATAACTAAATTGTAACACAATGCACTATTTAAACATAATATATTCAGCGATAACAAGATTTATTTATTAACATAAATGCAAAAACAAAAAGTTCTTAGTTTTTGTTTCACAGTATTGTCATTTTATAGTGTCTATCAGATCGAATGAATAGTAGTTATTATTAGTAAACAGACAAGATTTTCTAGATGAGTAGAGTATAATCACATACATAGATATACGAACAAACTAGTTTGAATAAAAATTGTATCTGAAAATTATGACATAAACACGTAAGTAGAATTTTTGTGTATATGTAAATATTTATAGTCGGCTTATTTGTTACAGTGTAATTTTATATTTAAGAAAATAATGTGAGAATTGAGATAAATCAAAGTTTTTCTAAGATGATTGTAGACTTAAGTGTTAAAATATCTCGAGAATTTTTATATTGTTACATATACATAGAAGATATAGATTTGGTTAATCATTGTTCGTTTCTATTCTTATTTATTTTCATATGAATTGTAAGTGATTGATAAGACAAAAAATAATATATTTATTTTTATTCACGTAAACTGATGATCATTAAGTCTTAGCAGTACAGAATATGTTCAAATACAACAGGAGAAAAAAAAGAAGAGCATAAAGAAAGATTTAATAGATATATTCTACTCATAGATATCAGCGAGAACAGAATATTACAAGACATGAGAAGTGATATACCAAAGTAAAAAAAAACCATAAAATGAAGAAACCTAGATAGATAATCGATATAAAAAAGAAAAGAATCCGGAAAAATGCAGAGAAGTTAAATCTCCTCCATATCATAGTTTGGAATAGAAGAATTGGAAGAAATTCATTCGATATTTCTTTCAAACACTGATCTTTTATCAACTTCAGATGTTATAGTAATGAATAATATTTTTGTAAAATATTGGAAAACATTTGCTATTGCAAGTGCATCTCTAACATCGTCTTATTTTTACTCTCAATATGATAAATCTCCTCGAAAAGATCGTATATTATCTGCGTTAACAGTTCAAGCTGCAGAACATGTAAGTTGAATTAAATTTTTTATTAATTTAATAATACTTATTTTTATTCAAGGAACGTCGAAATTTGGGAAAAACATTGGCAAAATATCGACATCTTCCACATAAAAAAGATCTAGATGACGACGATGATGAGGAGGAGGAAGACGACGACGATGAAAACAATAACGATGAACTTGATAGAGCCGATGAAAAGGTGAAAAATATTCGTGAAAAACGTTTTCGTGACTTTAGTTCACTTGAATACAATGGTGAAATATATATGGTAGTTTACTTCTGTTTAAGAAATATTTAATTAAAATAAATTATTTTAGACACCACTCGATTTTCTCGAATCAATTATTACAGATCGACCTAGACGTATGAAAATAATAAAAATTAAAATATTGAATTCAATTCAATTGAATTTTCTTAGCTCGTATTGGTCGTCGACAACTAACGGAACAAATGGTCGATTCTATATTATATAATACAACACCAAAACATCGGGGATCAAAAAGATTTTTTCGAAATCTTGAAGGCGATGGTAATAATTGGAATATATCTTACTTTCTTTTTATACTTATTTATTAAAAAGGTCTGATCTCATATTCGGAATATATTTTTCTTCTGGTAATTTTGACAAGTAAGATCTACTACTTTTTTTTTATAAACATTATTCATCTTCTATTTTAGAACCGCCTTCACAATTTGAGCTTGCATTTCATATGTTTGATACCGGTGGTAAGTATTCAAAAATTATTAATTAATAATTTCATACAGTATTGTGAGAGCATCATTTTTAGTCAAATTAAATTTGGTGTGGCCTCTTCGTAAGAATTAATTAGACCTTGTGAATCGATATTTATCCTTAATTTCTTAAGTTTTCTTATTTTGTCACACTGAGAATGTGCTCGAGATGTAGAATCCGATGAAAATATTAATAACACTTTAGATTTATATAATCAGAAGTTTTTTACACAATAAGGCATCGACAAGATTTGTATGGATTACATTTCACCTTTTATTACAATTTCATTGACACATTCGATCGAGAAATAAATACAAGTGCAAGTCACAGAGACCTTCTTACTACCTTGTTTTGGACGCAATAGCAAACGTTGCAATTTAAGATCATTAAAAACAGTGTTTGGTAAACATAAGATGATGCATAATAGATATCTTCAATCTCGTTTCTGTGTTTACTTAATGGCAGATTAAGAGATATTACCATAGTTCACCTTTTTTTCTGTATAATAACATATTACAATGAAATTTTTGTTATCTATTTAGGTGATCTCTTGATTGATAAAAATGAGTTCCTTGTGGTATATTTTCAATTTTAATATTCTACATAAATAATTGTTTTGTTCCTAGTTGGAAAAAGTCATGAGTAATAAACGTTCGACAAAACATCAAACAACAAAACATTCCGCATCTAAATCAAATCGAACTTTCAAAATAGATAAATATTATAATGTAAGTTTCATTCATACATATATTTTCTTGTAGTTTTGATATTTGAATCTGCCATAGCCATCTTTTGTAAACTGCAATAGTATATTCAGTTGAAATATATAAAATTAGATATATTAGTGTAAAGAAACATGAAACAGCGGTATACTTCATACTGAAATTCACCTATAAAAGTTAAACTTCTTTTTAAATCAAAAGACACCCTTGCTAATACTTTCTCTTGAACAAAATCAATTTAATAAGTGTCTTTGTATAAATGTTTCTTTTACATGATAATGTGTGATAGAAAATTTTGCAAAAACCCATTCGAATTGAGTCATATTATAATTTTTAGTATGAATACAATGATCAATCGGATACAACATTACTTATTCATTTTTTTGGTAAAAATGGTCGGGATACATTGAATTATACAGAATTTAAACGGTAATTATATACATAACAAATATCATATGTATCTTATCTTTTTTTAAATTTAATATAGTTTTATGGAAAATTTTCAAATGGAAATACTTGAAATTGAATTTACAGAATTTTCACATGGTTTCAAAACAATATCCGGTGTAGATTTTGCTTCAATGCTTTTGCGTTATACAAATTTTGATCATGATATGAAAAAACTCATCCTAAGAAGAGTCAAAAAATCACATGTCGAACCGAATGTATGACGAAATAGATTGTTTTTTGTTTCTCTTTAATTCATTTTCTAAAAAATATAGGTAATTACATTTGAAGAATTTAAGCATTTTTTCACATTTCTTAATAATCTTGACGAATTTAATATTGCTATGCGTTTTCATCAATTATCAAATAAACCAATTTCTCAAGGTAAAAATTTATTGCATTAAAAATAAAAAAATATTTCGTTCTCTATTTTTCTAGCGGAATTTCAACGAGCAGCTAAAATTTCTACAGGCTTTGAACTTGAATCTCATATAATTGCTCTTCTTTTTCTAATTTTCGATGCTGATGGTGATCAACATTTGTAAATAATTATTCTTTTTTTTATATTTGTATGATACTATCTTTGTATTTTGTTTATAGAGGTTATGATGAATTTATGGCTGTTATGAAAGATCGAATATCGCGTGGTTTTCAAGTTAGTACTTCATTCTATACATTGATTTATTCTTGATAAATTCATTATTTTTACAGAAAAATGATCACAGTGAAATATCAAACTCAAAATTTCAACAATTTAAACACTGTCTTCGTGAACATGCTAAGTATGATGCTGCAGCTACTTAGAATTAAATATTATTTAATACTTATTCTATTTGCATGTACATATATATTTATATATTTATTTTGTTTATAATAATTAGTTTTTAATTTTTTTTTATAAATATTTTATTAGTAAAAAAACTCACAATACTTCATATACGCTATACTATGCAAACTAACCTAAAGTCTAACAAAGAATTTTATTTTTTCTTGTTACATAAGTTATTTTGCTTTTTCTCTCAGATCGATTATCGATCGCAAAAAAGTCTTTTTATATGTTCTTAACTTATTTATTCCAACATTAATAAATATTTTTAATAATTGCAATATCATACTAAATAATGCATTAAATATATTTTAAATACGATTCAATATTAAAAAACATAATGGTATATTGATGCAATGTGTACAAACTAATTGAAAAATATATGGGATATTTCTTTAGATCAATGCCTTGTATTTTATAAATTAAAAACAAATAATAGCATGTTTGTATAGGATGCTCGAGGTTACAGGAATGACTCATACTGTTATACAATAAAAAAAAAGAAATGAAGCGTGAAGACCTAATCCATGATTCGTTTCTTATATAACACAAAAAAATATATATATATATTTGTTTGAGTGACACGGCAAAGCATGATATCAGGTTGTGTATATATTATATACTGTTGATGTGTTGTATTCTTAGGTTAGACAATAAGATCAATCGAAATAGACTTCAGCTAAGTATATATATAACTTGCTAGTTCTTGCCATGAATCAAATGCTTTATAAACAACATATATTAATACTGAATAATTTTTATATCAATTATATTATTTCTCATAATTCATTAACATATTATAATCTATATAAGATTGCTTTCATTATTGGTGATTTGATACAAATTTATAAGAAAAATACTCTTCTAGAAATTAAAATTCAGTCAGAACCTGTCGTCAAACTAAAAATATCTATTTTACAAGCTATACAAATAATCCATTTGATAGAAAACTATTTTCTTTTCCATATCAAGAATATTATGAGTCGTTTTCTTTGATTACTTGAACGTTTTTGTTACAAAAAAAGAATTACTAAAACTAACTTTTAGTTTCGATATAGGGCATAGAAATATATTTTTTATTTAAGTTTTATTTTCTAGATCAAACATTCCAAATATTTTTTAAAAAAATGGCAGTATACTATAAATTAGGAATAAAATCTTTTTCTGAATCTAAAGATCGAATTATTCGTAATAATCAGAATAATAATCAATTCATTGATACAATAGAAAATGCTAATTTTATTAATGGTTATGATTTATTTACTTATTCTCCGGCTAGATATCAAGATCAAAATAAGAAAGCATTATTAGATGATGTAATTCAAAATAAAAGATATATTCCCTCTAGACAAGATATATTAATAGCACGTTTTTATCCAAAACCATTACCAAATTATTATACATATGAACAACATAGTGACATATCAAAAACATATGCATTTATTCCAAATACATTTGATTATATACCATCAGATGAAGTAAATGCTATTGATTGGCATATGAACTTTGCTAATTATGATATTTTTTCATATTATCATGGTAGTCTACTTGCTCAAGATGAATTACAAGTCCTTGAATGTCCACAATTAGCATGTTTAAGAGAATATCTTTTACAACAAAGTAATCAAAATAATGGTGATAAACCTTTTAGTACACGTGTTATGGAAAATAATTTACCTTATCCGATCTTAATTAGTAATACTGAACGTGCTATTGATCTAAATACAGCGAATTTATATGGTAAGAAGTTACATCTAAGACAGAATATAAATATCTATTAATTTTATACTCAGATTTATTGTAAATGATAATATTTTCTATACATAGGTAATAGTTTTTCAAATTCATCTAAATCAACTGTTTTAAAATCATATAAATATCTTAATCCATCTCAGATTATTAATATTGTTGCAATTGAAGCACCTAAATATGGTCAAGGTTCATATACAATTCAACAAATTGAATATATACTTCAAGCATGTCTTACAGCTTATTCAGCAGCTAAAACATTAGCAAATACGACGTATATATTAAATAAACAAAAATCGGCAAAAATGCCATTAAAAACATACATTCATACAGGTAAACAAATTCACTTCATTTATCAAAGAAATCAAAATAATTCTATTTTATAATAAATAGGTTGGTTTGGTTGTGGAGCTTATGGTGGTAATCGAGCAATAATGATTGTATTACAAATCTTAGCAGCTAAAATGGCTGGTATTGAAAAAATTATATTTCATACAGTTACAGATAATTGTCAACAAGAAATACAGAATGCAGAAACTTGTTTGAAAAATCTTTTTGATAATGATCATAAACCCTTATCAATAAATGAACTTATTACAAAGATTGTTAATGAACATTTTCAATGGGGTTTTAGCAATGGAACATAGTAAATCATATTATTTTATTTTTATTTATTTTTGACTAACAACAGATATAACCATTTTATTTCTATAACTAAACATACGTATTTCCTAATCGGTAAATAAACATAAAAGTTTCTCTATTTAATGATGTAATTCGACAAGTTCTGATTGTGTTTCTCTTTCAATAACTACATGGTATGAGAAAAGTAAATGAGCTAAAGAATCTTGAATTTGATTCGAAATGTATTAAAAGAAATATCTTACGGATTTATTATTATATTATTCGTTAGTTTACTTTCTTCTTTTGGCATAAAGACTAATTAGAGAATCAAATAGTACAGATCTATTCAACTGTGTAGAATGCATAAAACTATTTTTCACAATGATACCACTGTAAATTTCAGAAGCAATAATAAAAGACTTTGTAATAAACGGAAGTATATCAAAATCAGTATTAATCGTATCATGCAGAAAGACTTATAGCAATAGTTTAATATTCGGTAGAAAAGTTTGATGCGCTCTATTATGATACAATACTTTGTCTTATGAATCGATCTCAATAAAATATGATATAAAAAGACTTTTAAATAATTCAGTATTTCTTGATAAAAATGACTACTCGCCATTTCTAGTAGATTTTTTCTTAACTTCATTTTTTATTATTGTTCTAAGTGAATATGTATCAATATTTAAATGATTTGAGTTTAGATCTTATCAAATTATAATCCTTACTTTATTTGATAATGACAGACAGCATTTTTCATGAATTTCGATGTAATAGAGAATTTAGTATTCACTATTATCTGATGACAAAAGCTATATAAACTTTATTATTCAGCAGAGGTTCAACTTATATCTATAACTACTTGAATACTTTGAAATTTCTAACTTGAATGTGGGTGAGTAGATATGGGTGCGGGATGAAGAAAACACACCCACACCCGCCCACACCCTTCAAATCTACTCTTTATTTTACGGTATTTTTCAAACAGTATATTTTATTTATATCTATCAAGGAGATTTCTTTGATTGAAATGCAGAAATAAATCATATCTATATATAAAATTCGAATATAAAAAAACTGCATGTAAAATAAATATAGCTATGAGATTTTGCAAATGTCAGTATTTGTACTCATATTTAAATCAATACCATCGGCTTTTTGAATATTTGCATTAAATAAATAATTGATAATGACACGGACCATATAACCAGTTGAACCACCAACAAGCTGAATCGGTAAATTATAAAAATCTTTATACGGATCTTTCGAATTTGTTTGTTGTTGATATAATTTTACAGCTTCATTTATTAAATAATCCACATCAAGTGTTTCAGTAAAACGTAATTCCGAATTACGTTTTAATAAAACATTTATTAATTCAAACATCTGAAATATATATGTGTATATATCAAGATGAATAAAATGAAAAAACAATTTACTTCGACAACAAGACATCGATAGGCTGGATCAGATATTCGACTGAGCATTTCTTCAATTTTTAATGAAAAATTTAATTCATAATCAGTCATATCAGATAATGTTGGTTGCTAAAAAGAATAAATCATAATTCAACCGTTCTTTTTTTTTTAATCTTTGAAAATCTACTTGTGGAAGAAGAGCATCACATAATTTTATTCCACCTGGTGTTCGTTCAAGTATTGACCAAACATGTTCAAAAAAATCAGCTGGAACACGACACAATGCTCCATCCATCTGACGTTTTTGAAAAGAGGAACTAATTTTAAATAGAAAAAAAACCGTTTAGTCTTTTATGAAATAAATTATTTTCTCTTTTTACCGTTGTTCAACATCACCAGCAGTTGGTGGTGTTGCTTGTTGTGAATCACTTGTTAAAACATAAAAAACTAATTGCTTAATTTCATTTGGTGATAATGTATTTAATGTCTTTTCATAAAATATAATTAGAAAAGAAATGCAGGAAAAAAAAATATTTACCGCAGGATCTTCAGCATCTACACTCGAATGTTCCAAACCGAGTTTCATCGCTTGAAAAAGCCATCTATTGAATAGAAAGTAGAATATAACAGTAGTTCACGGATAATGAATCGTATCAAATACAAGAATATAGCTAGTGTTGTCTTTAGAAAAAAAACTTTCAATATATCTGTTATATTTTCTTACCCCAGTCGTAGTTTGAGAATGCCATTAAAAAGTTGCTAGAAAAAAAAATAGAGAAAACATTTTAAAAATAGTATTAGATTTCAACAAACCGGAGATGTTAACATAAAAACAGACACATTAATAAGTATTTCTTGTAATAAAACAGCATGAAATATACTATTGCCAAATACTTTTTCATCGTAAAGTATCTTAAAAATTTCATTTGGACGTATCTAAATAAAAAAGGCATACAAATTTGATTATCGATCAATAATATAATATACTGGTTTATCAATGATTGTTTCTTCGTGACCGAAAACTCCAATTGTAACCTTAAACATATCGAATCAATAGTTAAATAATACATATTTTGAAAACTTACTGTTTTCCCTCGTACAAGTAAATTTGTTACTGATGGAGCTAAACTGTCCACCATTTTATGTAAAAGACTTGAGACAAAACGAATAACAGCCCTAAAAATAAACTTGTTTTTGGTTTATTTAAATTTCGTTTGTTTTTACCAATGTTGCCATGTTGCTGCTTCTTTTAATAAATGTTCAAGATGATTTTTAACACGATAATTTTCTTTAATCATCCAATCAAGACCACCAGTTTTATATAACTCATAAGTAGCTAATGCATGTTTTTTTAATGAACCTAATGATATATCCGTATTACAAATAAATTCACGTAATTCTTCTTCAGTACGATCTTTAAAGTCCTAAATATATTTAAAGAAGTAAAAAAATTCAATATCATTTCTATTGAATAAAATTCTAGAAGAAATTTACAACTGACTTTTTAACTAATGATAGAACCATCTAATTGATCTATATAGATGCATCTCACAGTCAAGTATTCATTAGAATTTAATGTTAGAAAAAAGTATAAGAAAAGGATGTATAGTATCGATAGTAACAGTTTGCACATGACGATTATTAAAAATCGTAGATATCACTATTAAAATAATGTGAACTGAAGCATTATTTGATAAAAATATCAGATCAGTAACATAAAATAATAAAAAAATTAACTGTACATTTATTTCTGCTCACAGTCTACTTTTACGATCTATTTTCTCTTTTGGATGATTATACATACACTATTGATATAATCAATATCTTCAGAAATAAAAGGTGTCTTTGATACATCTGTTAATGATTTATATTGACCGATTTCCGATGTATTCTTATATTCATGAACAGCAACCGATTGCCAATCAATAGCTGTACATATTGAATTATTTAAAAAATCTAAATGTTCAATACAAGCACTTGATATCGCAGTCTAAAGAAACATAAAGATTGATTTTTTGTTTTTTCAATTATTGATCTAGAATCTATACTTGTAAACGTTCAAGTCGTACAAATATATTTGTTCCAAGTTTTCCATTACGAATTGATGTTAATAATTCTAGAAGATCTGATTTTTGTGGACCTCTAAAATAAATTTCATGTTAGAGAAAAAAAAAGATCCAGAAAATCAAAGATCTATACCGTAGATGACGTTCACGTAACATCATTAAATATATTGGTCGACCTTTAAGACGCCAACATTTAGTTAAAAACTCAAAATCACTCTAAATAAATAACATCAAATTTCAATACATATTCAAGAAGTTGTTTTTTATTAAAAACAAAATTACTTACTCGAATGTTATCCAACAATAGAGTCATATCACTTGACATATAAAAATCATTCGTTTCAAATGTTAATGGATAACACAGAACAGTTTTCGAGCATATTCTATAAGTCTAATATAAAACATGTATTTCATAATATTATCTGAATATTTTTACTTTACAAGTACCAAGCACACCAACAGGTCGATCAGGACGACCACTAAAGCCAAACTTTTTATTTATACCTAAATTTGTATATGCCTAAAATATTCAATGAAAAAAATAAACTATTTATTATTTTAGTTTTTAAACAAAGAAGCTTATACTTTAACTAATTCTGATGGTGGCCATATTAAAATTGGTTCAACTTGTTTTGGTGTTTGCGTTTGAATACCATATGTTGCTAAAACTTGTTGTAAACGAACAGATTCTGAGATAGCAACAACATGTATCACTAAATCGGAAAATGTGACCTAATATATAAATAACATATCTTTTGTTTATATTGATTTTTATGGAAAAATATTTTTTGTTACATTTGCTGGTACAACTCCAGTAGTTTGTTGTTTTGGATAAACTGGATCATATGCCGAACTTGTAATTAATTTTGGTATATTTGGAGTATATTGATAACGTAATGAATCCTAATTATATGAATAATTAAAATGAAAGATTTTAAAAATAGAATATCTACTTGTATAGATGAATATCGAGAATTTGCTTTTGGTCGATCACTTGGTGGTAAATAACGTCGAATTGGATCAAGATCGGTGATTGTTAATAATTTATCAACTGAAAAATAATTATTAAAATTCATATTAAATTATTTTATATAAATCTTACCAAGTAATTGACAAATAATCCAAACAGATTGACCAAAAAGAAAGAAATTTCCATAAAGAATTTCAGAACTACAAGCAAATGGTAACTGTTGATTGTTACCACGTTCACTAGCTTCACTTTGTGCACTACTATGTAGTCTTGAATGATCAACATAATAATGATGCACCATCATTTCACCTACATTAAACAAAGAAAAATACTTTTTAAACTAAATTCAATCATAGACACTAACACTACATTTCAATAGGTACAACACATTTCATGCGGCTATTGAGTATCAAATATAAGGAAAAAACTCATTTTAACGCAAAGAAAGCATAAGATAAATAATATTATCTTTGATAAATATTAAAATAAAATAAAAACCGAGAGGAGGATCAATCATTGATACTAACTAATGGAAAACAACAATTTGACTTTTAACAACAAAATGTATAAGTAATAAACGATCTTATCATACAAATATTTTGTAGTGAAGACAAATCTTGCTGTCCTTTACTACTACAAGATGAATTTGCTTCCGTATCACTAATAATTGAATTCATACAATCGAATACTGTATGGATTATATTCGTTACAAAATATTCTCTGACATATAATTACAATTATATTACCTTCAGTTGTATGTCGTAGCAAGGGATTCAAGGCTGCCATATATTCATCAACTTGTGCTTGATTATTTTTAAATATACCTGTAGAAAAAAAAACAATTAATTAGACTGAAAGATTTTTATTTTTTTTACCGTCAATAATCATGACAGCATAGAACATTGGCCATTGACATTCGTTTTTATCAAATTTCTATAGAATTAAATACAAATAAATAGATATTGATTTTTTTCGTAAAATCAAACTTTAATTTCTGTTGCTTCATAAAATCGTTGATCTTTAGATTCTAAATCTGTATATTGTCCGTCACGTAGAAATCTTTTAAAACCATGTGTTCCTCGTAATTTTCTAATACATTTTCGAATTGTATTTTGTACAAGTGTTGAATCATGAACAGCAAATGTTGGCCAACTAACTGTGAGTAATAAAGCAGCATCCGTATTCTAATAATAAAAAAAATCAGTTTATTTATTTTTCGTTCTTTTTAATTTAGAAAATAATTATTACTTTCGATGCAGATTCTCGAGGTAAAAGTGTATCAAATGTTGTTCGATTTCGATTATGTGCATCCTAAAATTTCATTTACGTTCAATTCAAAATACGTAATTATTTGACCACTTACCACATCAACATAAACTACTGACCAATTAGCTCCTTTATCACCATATAAATTAAAACCATTCATAGCTTCAAGTGCTGCTTTTGCCATACCGATTGAACTAAAATACAAATAGTATGCTATCAATATCTTATTTATTTCAGAAGCATAGAGTTCTGATTCAAATTATGTTTGATTATTATAGACTAGTGAACAGATAACTCGTCACTATACTTTTTTTTTCGAATAATCTATTCCCATATTTAATACACTGTTACCTTAGTTAGCAGTTAGCAAGGCATCAGCTGTCATTAGACATACGAAATTTTTTATGACGATCAACTATAATTGTATTTCTGAGACTAAAATAAAATGAAATCTGAACTTTCATGAAAAATCTAATGACAATTTATACCCAATCAGAATGTCTTATTTTCTTTTCACGAGAATATTCAACTTAAGCTGAAAATTTTTTAAGTTAAAATTCATAACATTTTTAATTGTTTTTCTTACGTTGCATGAAGTTCACATGTGTTTGTATTATATTTACTTCCTCTTTCCCATATTCCATAATCTGGTGTACGATAAGCACGTTCAATATAAAAAATAAGTTGTTGAACAAAATTAACTTCATCCATGGAAAATATAATCTTAAATAAAATTTTAAGTCTTCCTATGTAAAATTTTATTCGTTTTATACTTCAAGATTTGATGTTATCATTTGTACAAGTGTTAATAAATAAATTGATATCGCACATATCTGTAATTGACCAACTTCATCAGCATCTTCAACTTCACTACCATCCAAAACATTAAATTTTGAATGTAATGCATCTTTTGGTGATTGTTCACCTTTAAATACTTCAATCTAAAGAAATATTTATATATAGAATAAAGAGATAACGTCAATATTGTCTGTTTTTTCTTCTACTTTTTTTGCTTGTCTCATCCAACAGTCAAGTATACCACGCATACATTTAACAGCGGCTTGTCCTAATTCATGTGCTCGTCCTTGATCATTATCAATTTTACAATAACATTGTCGTAATGACCACACAGCAGTAGCACAAAATACATTTTCAACAACATGTGCAACTTTTTTATCTGGCTCGAGATGATTAGGAAAAAGGCCAGTTGTTAAACTTTGAAAAGCAAGAATTTGACGTTTTACTTTACGATAATAATTATCTAATTTTTTTAAAATCTGTGTATGTGAATCTGAATAATGATCTTCATCACCAGCATTCCAAACTTTCTATAAAAATTTTAAAAAATATTTAATTAAAACTATTTTATATTCTCAAATACTTTAGCATCAGACCACGATGGACGGCGACTACGATTTGAACCAGTGACACTACTCGGTGGCATGCATAGATTAGCAATACCGGGATATGTCATTGATTGTTGTCTTTGTGAACGTGACCAACTTTCACTCATGATTTATTATATCATATCTAAAATTATCGTTGAGAATAAGTCAACAAATATTTTCATTTCGTACTGTTTTATTTTTACTCAAAAGATTTCATCGGTATTTTTTTTTACTAATTAAATGTTGTGCACCAGAGAGATCACAGAAAAAGGTATGTTAGAAAATCAAGAATATTTCAAAAATATATATGGCCTGAAATAAATGGAAAATTATAAAGGTATTTGTTTAGTTGGTTCAGTTGACGGAACAGTACTCATTCGGTTGATTACCCATTCCATTGCTAGACGACCCTAAATAAAAATATCAACAAAAAATAAGTCTTATTATGTAATTTTCGTTTATAATTAATTACTTTAGTTGCATTTGTATTGATTGTTTTAGCGACCATTGTTTCAACGTAACTAGTCAATGGAACATTCTCAACGTTAATTGTTGCTTCTTGTGTAAGAATTGTTTTTGAGCTATCAGTTGGATGTTGTGTATATTCAAGTCGTTCTTCAATACTAATAAAACGATTTAGTGTTAAATTTCTTGTTCGTGCAGTCATTATACGTCGTCGAGCATCAATTGTTGAGTGTTCACTAGCATATCCAAGTTCACTCATATTGAAAATTTTATTTAATGCAGGTGCAATACCCCAATTGGCTAACAGAAGACGATGTGACTGAATAACACCATATGGATTAATCGTTCTATCAACAACATCACAACCAATAACACTTGGACTCACTGGATTGGGATATTTATTTAATGCAGCAGTAACTACTGTTGCCCAATCATGACTATATGAAGACATAGGAAAATATATATATACAGAAGCTGTCAATATAATTCATCCACCTATCATTTCATTTATTTTTCCTTCGTTGTAAATATTAACATAAATCAAAATAATGTCCTATTATTTCAATATTTAGAACTCACGAGCTTTCTGTCTTATTACTAAAGTTATATTTTTATTTTCTCAGATTCTTCTTAGAAATAATTTCCTCTATATAAGACATTCTTTTGATTCATGTTAATATTTATAACCATAAAAATAAATCGAAACTATAGATAAATGAATAATTAGAACTATAAAACCTACTCAAAAACATGTTGTGAAGTCCAAAATTTCATTATTCTTGTTTTTATAAGGCCAAATATTTTATCTTAAATTCAAAATAAGAATGTTAATCCTATTCTAAAGTAAATGTAATCAATTTGAGCTAGTTTTTATTTAACAAAATCCTAAGAATGTTTATAACTCATTCCAACAGAAGATAATGTAAAAAGAAGAAGAAGAAGAAGAAGAAGAAAATGAGTTAGTTCAATTAATCTGAATCAGAATCGAGTGCCGCACGTCGTCGATCAAACTAAAAATAAATATTTTAAACTATAATGAAATAGAATACAGTAATAAACATTAAGTTTCTGTCAAATATCTGATTTCATTTCACATTTCGCTGTAAAACTAAGTATGCGTAGAGAAACATATAGTTTTGTTTTCTCAAATCATTTTTACAATTATGTAAGATATAATTCTTACATTAACTTTTGTTGTTTTTTCAGTTGCTTTGCTAACTTGTTCTAAAAGTCCAATCAATTGTTCTTCTGTGATCTGAAACAAGATCATTTATTTATATATCGACTCATTCTTATATATAATTATTACTTTTCCACCACCAAATGCACCACGTCTAGCATTTTGTATAAGAATATCTTCTACCATACGGCCTTTTTCTGGTTTAGTTAATGCAATTGTATTTAAACGTGCACGTGCTTCTTGTGTTAATAAAGAACTTAACATTGTATTACGCATATCCTCTTGTTTTTGTTGTTGTTCTTCACGTGAATTTCTATCATTAGGATCAGATCCTCCTGCAGGTCGTTGTTGACCTGCTTGTTGTTGTTGTTGTAATTCAGCTAAACGTTTAGCACGAATTGCATCAAGTTCCGAATCTGCCATTGTATGAGAAGAAGACGAAACAGAAAAGGAAATATCTGAAATTTCAGGTGGTTGGCTTAATTTTTATGAAGAAACAAAACAAAATTTTACAAAAAGAAAGAAGAAAAGAAAAAACACATTGATTTTTTTTTTATTGTTGTTCTGATAAACTAGTATGTTCTTCATATAATTCTTGATAACGTCGTTGAAGTTCACGTTCACGATCATCTTGTCGTGCAACATCTTCGGTAAAAGACTATAAAATATTAAGACAGTTAGAAATGATAGTTTGAAAAAAATGAATTCTTTCTTACTTCAATACGTTTTGGAATTGCTAATACTTCATTTTGACGAAGTAATTCAAATGTTTTAGCTTCAACTTGTGTTTGATCAATTTGTTCATAGATATCATTTAATGCTTTAACAAGTGCTTGGCCACGAGACTAAAATAATTCAATAAAATGGAAAATGAGATTTTTTCAGTCATAATTTATCGACTTAGAATTAGAATAGAAGTGTGAAGATAAAGAATTCTCATCACGAAGCCTTGTATACTTTTACTAGTATCTTATCTTTAGTCATATTCTAATCTTTTCAATACTCTTGAAATGAACTTACTTGATAACCACCAAGTAATGTTTTGAGTTTTTTTTCAAGTTTAGCTGCTCGTTTTGCTTCAAGAGCCATTAAATTGCGATTAAGCTAAAAAGAAGAAATAATTTTCTGATTTTATATCTAAATAAATAACATACTTCAAGTTTTTGTTCAGCTGATTCAATTCGATCTTTCTTCTTAGTAGTTGCAGTAGCTCGAATAAAACGATTTTCTGATGGTAAAAATAATACTTGAGAATAACATTCATCCCATACTTTTGAATAAACATCAAGATTTATATCCCCACGACCCATAGTTTTTTTAACAACATTGACTTCCGATTCAAGTAATGCACGAGCCTTGAAAAATAAAAGAAAAAAATATTTTCTTAGTAAATTACTGATATATATATATATATGTTATTTACTGTAGCAAGATCTTCATCTGTAAATTGTTCATATGGATGTGTATCAAGATAAGTAGAAAAATCTTTATTTCGATTAAACGACGTATTTGATGGTGGATTATTGGTTGCATCATAATGAAGAAGAACAAGCATTTCTTGTTTTATTAATTCTTCAGCCTATCAGAAAAACAAAATAATATATGAATGTTTATGAAACAGAAGAAAAAAAAAGTTATTCTTACTTTTTGTAAATCAGTCATTGGACCTTCAGCATTTGTTGGACGAAGTATTGTTAGATTAATATCATTTGGACGAGGTAAATCTCGTTGAACAACTTGTGTTTGACGTTTAAAAAGTTCTTGTTCTAAACGAATAGAAAATAAAATTTTATATGTAAAGAAACAAAAGATTGTATTTTGTCTTACCTTTACGTCGTTTTTCATCACGTCTACGTTGATCAATATCAGCTTGATCTTCATCATTAATATTTAACGTATCCATTTTATCATCATCATTTACCTGATCAGTTGAATCAGGTAAAACAATTTCATAATCATTTTTCGGTTTTGGTAAACGCGATAGATTATGTCGTAATTGTTGTTTTATTTCACGCTAGAATAAGAAAAAAATTAAACATTTTGGTACAAAAGCTAAAAGTAAATAATTGTTTTTACTAACCTGTTTTAATTGATCATCGAATACCATATCTTCTCTATTGATATTTAATCGATCACGTACAGGTGTTATACCTGAATTAAAATCTGCTGTTTGTCCATGTGTTAGTGGTGTTACACTATCAGTTGTTGTATTTGTTGGTGTACGAAAAGGTGTATTAAATAGAGTATTTGGTGTTGCCATAATTAAACCAGCTCCTCCTCGTAATTTTTCATTACTAACATCCATTAATGGTGTATTTGATCCACCTAACAATGGTGTTTGAACAGTTGATAATATATTAAGATTATGTGCTTGATTAAGTACACTATCTTGTACTGATGGCAATTGTGGTGTACGAATTTTATTTAAATCTGGTGTTAAATTATAATCACCTAATAATGTTTCTGTTGCTATTGTACCATTTTCTGAAACTTGTTGTTTAGCCATTTCAGTTGCTTGTCCTAATTTAACAACTTGTTCTAATTCCAAATCACTTATTTGTGGAGCTGGTAAAACTAATTTTGAACGTTTTTTTATGGGTTCAAGACGATTTTCATTCATAATAACTGCTGGTAAATCATCTTCTTTTTTACGTTTTAATTTAGCATTATCTTTTTTTCTTTCGCCTTTTTCATTTTCTTCTTTAGCAGCTAAATTTTTATTATCAACATGTAAACGTTTAAAATCAATTTTGTCTGGATCAAATGGTTCATTTGTTGTATCATAAAAACCAATAGCTGGTCGTTTTTCAAATGGAATTTCCGCATTATAATCAACACCACGTTTTCTATTAAAATAACGACGTACTTCAATACCAGCTGCACGTAATTCACGACGTTTTTGTAATGATGCTAAACGTCGTGCTTCTTCAAGTTGTTTTTCACGTGCTTTACGTTTGGCTTTTTTACCTTGCGTATTTGCTAGACGAGCACGAGCTAATTATCGAAATAGAAAATCAAGAATAAGTTTTCAGAAAAAATTATATTTTCTTTGATTAATTTTACCTTCTGAAAGCATTTCTAATTCATCCTCATCCATATCAATAGGATCAGGTCTTGCTGGTTTATTTTCTGGATTTGGATCAATTTCACCGGGACGTAATGTACGTGGATCATCAGTTGTATCATCAAGACCTTCACGACGGCGTTGTGCTTGATCACTATATTCAAAGAATAGTAATGATATTATTAAAAAAAAGTATTTTATTATAAACTTTACAGTAAAAATTCATAACGTTCAAGACATTGAGCAGCTGTACGTTGAACAATTGGAGCTATAGTTCTCCATTGTGTTGGCATTAATTTTGCCATATGCAATAATTTTTCATCTTCATCACGTGACCATTCTGTTTTTTTAATCGAAGGATCTAACCATTCGAACCTATAAATAAATAAATAATTTTATTTATTGATTGATTGATGGATTTCTAAACTACATACCAACGAGCTTTACATTGTTTAGATGACTTTCTATGAAGTAGAGAAGCAATACGTGACCATTGATTTTTGCCATATTTCATAACAGCTGCTTTGAGAATTTCATCCTAATAAAGTAAATATAAATATTTTGAAAATTTTATTTATATTAAACTTACCTCTGTATTACGCCAAACACCACCTTTAATTGTTACTCGTACCATGATTACGAACTTAATTTAAACAATCTATAAAAAAGAAAGAAAATTTCATTTCATTTCATTATCGGAAAACAATCGACGTATATATTTCTGTATAGAATAACAAAAAAGTGATGTGAAGAAATTTTTCTTCTATTGGATTGGATTTTAATGGACGATAGAGTATTCGATAAAATATTTATATAGAGGGCGCTAGATAACAATAAGTTGTAAAGTTTTACGAGTAACACAAACACAGTTCACAAAGACATGTTTTTAACTATTCAGTTATTTTTTCGAATGAAATTTATTGGAATATAGGTCATCGTCGATGATGATATTGAACATAAGCACGAAACATTCACTTATCCTTCAGAGAAAGAGGTTCAGAAGACGAGTTTTTCGATTTAGAAATGGCCTTTTTCAAATTAACTTTTTTATATATTCAGATTGTTAAATACATTGAGTGTCTTCGAAAAAAATTATATTTTCTACTTTAAATCATTTGTCACATCTAGTGTGAGTTTATTTTCGTAGGCGAATTGATTAGAACTGAGAAGGATGTCAACAATTTATCTTATATTTAAATAAAACTATATTGTACTGTTCATATGTCTGTTGCATACATTTAAGACGGCTGTATTATCGTCAAAGTTCGATCATAAAACAGAAAAATTGTTGTTTTACAGTTAACTCAATATGTTGTACAATCTGAACTTATCAAAAAAAAAGGCAATTCACGATGAAAAAGTTATGACTCAGAAACGTGATTTTCCACACCGCCTCGATACCATCTAATCGAATAAGTTCTATTGAAATAGAAACTTTGCCTGATAAGTAATAATTACGAAATTGTTTCATAGAAACATTTATATGAGAAAAGTTTGACTTGTGAGAGAGCGTAAATATTTTTCGTAAGATTAAGATTTTTTGTATATCATTACAATTCTAAGGTAAATAGAAGTATTTTATTAATGCCGTGTTAATGTATGATGAAATATGAGGAAATATAAATGGTTATTTAATACACGATCTTAAGAATTTTTTCAATAGTTTCCACAAATAGAAAATATAAATAAATCATATATTCATGTGATAATTTCTTAAATGAATCAAGTAACACTATGTGTACGTGATTCTCATATTGCAAATGAATTCAAAAACTAACAAAAGCCTCGTTAATAAACGGATGAATTCATCTTTTAGACTCAACAATTGACACAGATAAAATTCTTTAGTAAAATTCAAAGACCTTATTTTCTCCTCGAACGGATTAAAATCTAATTACCTTTCCATCAGACATCGGAACTCTCCTAAGGCCTATGAATATATATATATATTTGTATTATTGACGTATAAATAAATGAGAAAATTAATACGATTTTGAACTTCTTTTTGAAAAAAAGAATTATTTAGTTTTTTCTAAAATCTATGAAGTTATATTTCCCTAAGCTTATTGAATAGCCAAATATAGTAAAACTTCATTATTAATATTGTTTTCGTTTGATCGGTTTAAGTATTAATGAGCTTTTCGACATCACTCATATATTAATTTTGACATCAATATGCTTATTTTTCATGAAAGTTACATATTTATTATTTATTGTATTCATCTGAATGATAAAATAAATTATTTGTCCATTTTTTCAATTATCTTAAACAGAAATCTTTTCATAATATATCTACAAAACAGATCGCATTTCTGTAATACTCAAGGGAATTCAAAATTGTTTGACAACTAATCGACAATCTTCTAGTCTATATTCAAAAGAAATCAATAACATAAAACATATGTCTATATCAAAGAACTTATAAATATAGAAAATTTCTTACAATACTTTTTCTTCTTCTTATTTTTGATACGCACTCATTTATCGTAATTGATTATAATGTTTCTTCACACAAACATGCAATTCTCTAGTGATCACCAAAAACAAAAGACATTAAACTTTTTGTTCCATAGATAGAATTTCCATTTCATTTCATCACATTACATTAACAAGAGAGAAAAAAAAGTGGGTAACAGTAACTATTGCTAACATCAAATTACGACAACAAGAACTATCGAATATTATTAGTTAGTTAGTTCTTTATGAACACGACATATATAAAAAATCGTCGAAGAAGTAGGAAAAAAAATAGTTGAGAAATCAAGCAAACAAAAAGCCCATACTAATTTTTCTAACAAGTGTATCGGATCTACAATATGTTTTTAACTACGATATATACTTTTATTTTATATGGTATTTGTAATATTTATTCATTATCTTGTTTTAAATGTATGACAACAGACTTTCAAAATGATATATGTAGTGATTCATTTAATCCAATCGATAATCGACTTGAATATGAATGTCAAGCAACAATAAAAGGTAAAAATGGTTTATTTCCTGCTCGATTTTGTGTGAAAATATCTGGTATTATTGTTGATGTTGATCAAAATTTAAATCAATCATTAATTCATAAATATCTTTATTTACGAACATGTATTACGGAAAATATTATGGATTCAACGCGATCATTAGATTCGACAGGAAATTTTCGTTTAAAAAATTTTGCTGGTATTAAAGGTGAAATTAAAATGCAAGGAACAATAACATTATGTACTGTTGACGGTTGTAATCAAGCTAATTATCAAACAATAGATGTATTTATAATTGTATATTCATTTTTGTTTTTAATTATACAAAAAATAAACCACTAGGTCAGATAAAAAAAGTAGGAAGTTGTGTTTTTTTTATATGTCAAGTCCTGTTTCAATAAAATTAGTTTGGCTTAAGGAAAAGAAGAAAGAGAAGAAAAAAAGGTTGCAGACAAACGACACTGGAAAGAAAAAAAAATGACAAGTAAATAAGAGGAGAAAAAAAAGCTTCATTTGTTGTCGTTTCGTCAAAACACTCAGGTAATAATACAGGAATAGAAAAGAAGTAATGATGGTAAGTGACGAGAAAAACTGACGAAGAAAAAGAACAAAAATTATTATTATTTACGTACTACGTGTTTATGACAATATATAGTGCACACATATGTTAAAAATCATGCATGCCGGCGTTTGCGTAGGCGAATTTATTTTGTCTTTATAGATTTTTAAATACTTATACAGACATTTATTTTTTATTTCAAACGTAATTAATAATGCAAAATCCACTACCATTCTATCCCGAATATAATTCTTATTCAACTGGAGATGGTTTTCTTCCGAATATTCAAGATACATCGATTGAAAACGATATTTTAGGTGTACGTTCGTCGACTTCAATGAATATGACTCAAATGCCCGTAATGAGTCAAGCAATGTCGTCATCAGGTCTAGTTCCGTCAAGAAAACGAAAAGTTACAACTGATACTGATGCAAGTTATTCACCAGCATCAGTTTACAGTGACAACAGTAATATATCCGATACATCATATCCAACATTTTCTCGTCAATCAATGGATTTTCCACGAGGTATGCAATCTGTTCGTAATGGTACAATAGCAACAACATCAAATTTAACAACATCAGCCGAAGAAGGAAGTTCAGATGATAATGAAGATGAAGAAGAAAGTGATCTTGCACGTAAACGTGAAAAACATACACAAGTTGAAGCACAACGACGTGCATTAGAAAAAGCACATTTTCGAGAATTATCAACATTAATTGGTGGTCGTAATGATTCGAAATCATCCAAACTTCATCATCTTGATTTACTTCGAATAGCTGCTGATTTAATAACAAAAATGAATGAACGACATAAACATGATCCATTACGTCCATCAAATTTAACTGATAATGAATTAAATTTTTTAACAATTGAAGCAAGTAATTCATTTTTATTTGTAACAACTATTGAATCATCAGCATTTTGTATTATTCGTGTTACTGATTCAATACATCGTGTACTTAATATAACACCTGATCAATGGCTTGGACAAAATTTTCTTGCATTTTTACATCCTGAAGATAAATTACATGTTCAAAGTCAACTTATGTCATTAAATCAACGTGTTGGAGCTAAAATTCATTTTGATTGTCGATTACAACAAGGTAATAGTGATTCATATTCATCTGTTAGTATTGATGGTATTACAAAAATGCTTGATCGTTCATTAACACCTTTACAAACAAATACACCTGGTATTCTTGCATTTATTGGTATATGTCATTTACCATTAATAACAAAATATAGTGAAACAAATATGTGTATTTATAAAAATCCACAATCATTAACATTTCGTTGTCGAATTTCACCACATGATTGGAAAATTTTTCTTGTTGATCGTTCAGTATCAACATTACCATCAATATCATATGATATATTTCGTCAAAAATCTGTATTACAATTTATACCTAATCATGAACAAGCACATGTTCATCAAACATTATTACGTTCAACAACAGCATCAACAAGTGAAACAATATCATGTCATTTTATACATCCAGCTTTAGAACAATCAATACCAATGTCACTTGAAATCAAATCATTTTTTAATCCAGTTATTCATCGAGCTGATTTTATTGAATTAACATTTAAAAATTTAAATACAAAATTAGATACATCAATTTATGATCTTAAAGATGGTGAAAAAGAAATTGATAATTTACTTTTTGGATCAGAATCATCAACATCAATATCACAATTAATGGAACAACAAATACCGAATAACCCTCAAATACAAAATTCTCAATATTTTTATCCAAATGAATGGATAACAAAAAATGAATTAATTTAAAAAGAAAACTACTAAACTTAAAATTAATATTGCATCTCAGACATTCTTGTCAAGTTTTTTGTTGTTTTCTCTAACGATTTAAATTAAAAAAAAATAACATCCAATCTATGCAGTCTAAATCAAATAAATACTTTTTTTCCCCTTATAATCAAATATTGTGAAATTATTATTTTTGTCAATTCATTATAATCGAAATAAAAATAAATATAATGATTTATTTACTCTTCAATATTTTCAAATGTATTTAAGTAAATATTGTAAATTCATTTCCTAATTTAATCAGCTATAAAAAAAAGTACTTGTTATTAATATTTATAGGCGATTCATTCTATGAAAATATCATACACAAAAACATCATTATTAATTTTCTATGTTTAACGTACTTGACAATTTCTCTCTAGTTGTAAAAAAATTAAATATGAATATTTTATATATTATAAACACAACAGAAAAACAACTTATTTTTTTTCTGCCGAGAAGACCTACAATTCTAACAGAAGTCTGATAATAACTATATTGTATCGAATATTTTTAGTTTAGAAAATATCATTAGAGAAAAAAAGTTCATAATCTGTTATCCTTGAAAAATATTCACAATTATGGTATATTCTTCTTTTTTACTTTTAAGATGCGCTTAGCATCTGTCATAATTAATAATGCGTATACGATAAAAATAACTAACTATTGCATTCAACACAATTAAGATGCTACAAAGCAATTTAATACTGAGTTAAAAATGAGTAGTAAATTTGATGTTTTGTTCTGGAAAAGTCAGGATTGTAGTTTTTCATCTCCGGTGGAAAAAAGTACACAGAATGTATACACCATATGTCTAATTAAGGAAATGACAATTGATACCGATAAGAATAAACGTCACATGGTTTATAAAATATTTTCAAAATTATAGAAAAAATCTTATTTTTTCAAGGTTAAATAGTTTATTAAATTATTTCGTTGCTATTTTTATAACGCCGATAGAATCAATACAATATATTGATTTATGTGTAATCTATTCCTGAAGAATTGTAACTAACTATAGCTCATTTACCAAGGGTAATTTACCTTGAATAAATGTCTGAACGAGATCCATATCAGTTCAACAATCCTTGAATTATGAGCATGCAACGACATTTAGAATTATTGTCTACCGTCACATTCTTTTAGTAGATCTGTCATCTAGATGAATAGTTTTTATATAGTCATGCTTCCTTTTTACAATAGTTTGACATATGGTAAGAAGAGAAATAATAAATAAATTAAGATGGAAATGTTTTTATAAATCCAATTATGATTATTTGATTAAAGATAATTCTTTACGACGTAATTTCTAATGACAATTCACAAAATCATTCTTTACTTTTTTTAAAAATCAGTGTTTTATTCTGTTATAAACTTTGTCTCGTTAGCAAATAAATGTCATTATATAAGTTCAAAGTCAGATGAATAATGCACTTGTCGAACTATGCGCTAAATCGATTCAATTTAATGTTCAATATATTATAATCCAAAAACAGTATTAAGAAAGAAGAAAATTATATCTAGAAAAATTTATCCAGACTCCATAATTATTATCATAGGTAGAAGTTTCTTCACCAATTAACAATCATATAATAAAACTTAAAATTTATTATAAACACTGAATCTCAAGTTCGAGTTCAGTACATAAAGATAGAATATTCTGCTTGCTATAGTACAATTCAACACCTCAAAAAACGAACTAATACAAGATATAGATATATTCAAAATTATCTTGCTTGAACTGGATTATATTTAAATTGTAAACGGACATAAAACTTCATCGTTTTCTCTTTCCTTTCTATTACATACAAATAGTTTCCGAATAAAACCAATCATATCCTTTACAAAATTCCATCCATTAATGACCAACCATTAATCCATCCATGAAATACCTAGATCACCGCGTTTTTTAAGATATCCATTAAATGAACCATTGTTTTTATATTTTTTAATATTTCTATATCATCCATGAGTACAATTACATTTACTAAACATTTATCATCACAATCGCTTCTATCAGCTAATCAACAATCAATTAAAAAACGACTTCATTCTGAAGAATCGAATTTATTAAGACCGAAAAAAATCAAACGTTCTATTGATGTAACATTACATTGGAAAAAACTTCAGACAATCTATGAATCAAATACAACAAAAGTATTTGAATGTAAATCAAAAAATGATTGTAAATTAAAATGCTTTTTAATAAATTTAAAAAGCAAAACATTTTGTTTTTCTCTTAGATTTAATTATCAGTGATCCACTTGGTAATCGATCATGTTTTATTGTGTCGAAATCAAGTTATTATTGGCTTACAGAATCAATACGTCTTATGCAACAACATGTTGAATATGGAACAATATTTGATGCAGCTATGATAGGAGAAGTTATTGAAATTGAACGAAATCTTAAAGCTTTAAAATTAAATATTGAAAAAAATGGAATTGAAAAAACATTTTTCTTTCGTGCTGAAGCTCTTCTAAATTTTATTCGTTTATGTTGTACTATTTTTGGTAAACAAATTTTTCATAACTAAAAAAAATACGAAAATTATCTTTATTTATTTATTAGAAAATCCATCAGAAAAATATCGACGACGTTTACATGCATTATTTAATTTATGTGCAAATTGTTGGTTGCATATGTTTGATATAATGTTACCAATGTCAATTGTACGTGCAGAGAAAAGTTTTATATTTGATGATGATTATGGAGATTTTGAAAATGATTCTATACTTCGACATTTTCGTAAAGATGATCAAAAGAAAATTAAAAGTAATTTTATTTTATAAAAATCTTTTATTTAATTAATTTTCGTATTATATAGAAGTGAATATTGATTTACCAAATATACGACATATACTCTATTCAATTCTTTTACTTGTTGAAAAATTTAATGAAATTCAATTAATTGATCAAATTTATGTTGAACGATTTGAAATGATTTATCAAATTTGGATTTTAATAGATAATGAAATAAATTTACGTGAAGATAATCATATGACAAACATTTCAAAGAAAATTATTAAAAATAAAAGTGAAAATTCAACACAAAAACTTCCATGGAATTTTATTAATGAATGTAGTAAATATGAAAAAATATTTGGAACATTTACTAATAATATGAAATGATCTTTTTCTTCTAACTGTGATTTAGCTAACTGAGGATTATTTTATTGTTAGTTTTTATATATAAATATGTATTGTTAGATAACGAGAATTATAGTTTTTTCTTTTATAAATCAAATCAATAAACCAGAATGAACATAATTTTGATATTCAACGCTATTCGTAATATTTTAAAAAGTAAGATAGAACATGTTATAGCTAAAGACATGTCTTAGATACAACCAAGATTTATAAAAATTGTCTTAAAATATGACTGTACAGATAAGAATGCGCAATTTCAGTAAACCGTACACTGTCAGCATCGACAGTGACGCGCGGTAGCACTGGCAACACTAACACCGGGCTTACTGATGCAGTGGAACCGCCCGGATACCGACGAATACCGACGGTATCTAGTGAATTCACAATATCAGTGAGCCCGGTGTCAGTGTTACGGTATGTCACTGTCAGGGCTGAAAGTGACAGTTTTTCAGTATTTTCACTGAAACTGCGTATCCCTAGTACAGAACAAAATACTTACTGATTCTTGTAACGCACTGTCTTGATTGAAAAAATCTTGTATACGAAAGATACCCACGAGGAAACTTACGCATGAGCGTACGAACGGCGTTTGGAAATAAAACAAATCCATTTAATATTAGTACTAAAATGTCAATATAGAGAGGTGCTGAATATTCCAAGTGTATACTTTCTCTTTTCCTGTGCTGTTAACAAAGGATATCTTTGTGTGTAAACTATATCATTGTTGCTTCAAGCTGTGCTCTTACATGTCTTACTAATTTATTAATATGTATATTTACTTTAAGGAAGAAACCGCTAATCACACATAATCACTCCTAACCAAATCCTAATCACATCTAATCATTATTAAGAGGCGGGGTGGGTGCGTGAATAAGAAGAATAATCACACCCGCGCCCACACATCATTATTAAGAAATACTAATCATATCTAACCAAATAATCAGCTGTTTCCCCCTTGACTTACTTCCAAGACTGAAATTCATGACAACATCTAATGAAAAGAGAACTTGACTCGATCGAGTTTAAGCATATTTAATCATGTGGATCTGTATTTAAATCCTGATAGTATATTAGAAAAGATAAATGAACTATCAAGAAATAAGAATAATTTTTCTTGGTTAGTATATTTTATTTATGTACTAAATTAAGTATGAATCGACTAATGAATAATGAAATAAAAAGACAAATAAGAAATACTAAATGTTCTTCAAGATAAATTTGAAGAATGTTTTGAATATTTGTATTGTTTATTTTTCGAGGAAATTTTTGCCGTTTACATAAATTAGATATATCAATATCAAATTTTCCAAGTAAATGAAGTATATCAAGTAAAATAATTAAACAAACAAGAAATTGAATTTTAGTTGGAATAAGTGGAATATGTATGTATCGTGATATCAGTACTGATAATAAACCCAAAATAATACCACTTGGAATTTGATGTAAAAGAGTTTTTGAATCGAAATTAAATTTCATCATTTCGAAAATAAATAAATATATATATAATAGAATGAATTTTATTTACTTAGTAACTATTTTTAATATAAAATGCGCGTTTATTTGCGCCATAATTAAATTTATAATTTTATTCAATACAATATATCCGTACAAGGTTAAAGTTCTGCTTTGAAAGTCTTGAATATAGAGAGATATGTCAATCCAGGCCTTTTTTCGTCTCTATTTATAATTTTTTCTTTGAGTGTTTAATAGTAGTTTTATCTAACAACTGTTCTTCTCTTTTTAATACCAATAATTCACAGAAACAAACGAAAATTAAAATTCACTTCTACTATCATCAGTGGTAGTTGTAGTAGTTAGAGTAATACTTGATATCAATGGAGAGTGACTAGATTTTTCAGTCGATAATGATATTTTACCATGGAAATGTATTATAATTCTAAAAATAAGACTACATACAATACCAATAATACATAGAATACCAGTAATAAAACCAAATAGACTTAAATCTTTTTTTTCAATTGATGCATTTGATAAAAATCGATCATATGTCCATGAGCTAAAGAAAAACAATGTTTTCATATAATTAATAAAAAAAATTTCCTTATTATATATATACATTGTTTCATTTGTATCTGTTAATAGATATGTTGCACTTGACATTAATCTATGACAAGAATGAATAAATAGATGCGCTAAATATATTTATCGAAAAAAAAAAGAGTAACTAAAAGGATAATATTGATGTTTATTAGTCCTTGTTAATATACTAATCATAAATAAGCAGATGATCATATCATTGATAATCTTTTGTCAAGGTTAATATACGATGAATATATGTAGGTATGTATATACGCTCTTTAGAAATTTTTCTTGAACCTATACTTTAGTCATATTTTTTGTTGAAATGTTGTATTGACATTTGAAAAAGTCTAGTCAAGGTTTGTTACAAATAAGACATGTATAAAAACATGATGAATTATATCAATTGATATTCATTCGTTTATTATTTTTCTTCGTTAGATATCAATCATTTTCAATATGTTAAAATCGATTACGATTATCTTTGCTTTATTCATTAATTTTATAATTGCTCAACAAAATATTATTGATGATCGATATACAAACAGAATTCCACCGCCCCCACCACCACCACCACCAATTCCATTTTTTACTGGTGGTTTTAATTTAAATCCTCAAACGAGTAATATCAATACCATTAATACCATCAATGCTATTAATAACAATAAAAATAATCATAATAATAATAATAATAACAATGGGTTAGTTGATGAATTTGGTCAATGTGGTGGTCTTGACTGGGAAGGTCCAAAAACTTGTCGAGCAAATTTGATTTGTTTTAAACGATCAAAATATTATTCTCAATGTTTAACATCTGATACAGCTGCAGTTGAAGCTCGACCATCACCACCTCTTATTCCACCTGGTACTAAATGTCATGGTGGAAATGTTCGTGGTTCATTGTCTTGTGCTATTGGTTCAGCTTGTTTCATACAAACAGAAAATGTTCATGGTGAATGTAAAACACATTGTCCACCAGGATGGTTTTGTGAAAAACAAACATTACCAGAATGGGCACCATGTGGTGGAGAAGGTTACGTTGGTCTAACAAAATGTAAAGAAGGTCTTCAATGTATTCCACATTCCAAATGGTATCATGAATGTCGATCAGAATGTCCTGCCGGATGGAAATGTTAAATTCTTTTTTTTTTGTATTTATTTTATCTTTTTTGTTAAATTTAAAAAAAGGAAACAAGTTTTTTTAATAAAGTAGTCAACAATATATATTTAAATGTTAACTTGTGTCGTATTTAATCAAAAGTAAGAAAAAATTCATTATGGTCATTTGGTCTATCTGAATTATTTGCTGGATTTAATGGATCATCAGGTTTTGTACGATAAGCTTCAGATCGACCGAATAAAGTATAAGACATAAAAATCCAACCAGATATACTTAAAAGTGAAAGTATAATAATAGTAAGAATAATACCGAATGATGACGATGGTATATCTTCAGTATTCATTGTTGAATTTAGATATGATGTGATAAATGTTGTCGTTGCTGTTGTTGTTGTTGTTGTTGATAACAAAGAATTATTTACAATAATCATTTTAATATAAACGATCAATAAAGAATATAATTAAAAATTGATCAACATTAGTTTTATATCGATTAATAGAATATACGTATAATCAATTTTTGTTTGGTAATATCAAGTAGATAGACTTTCATCTAATCATATGTAATTACATGTAATCATAGAGGCTGAAAGCAAAAAAAGAAAAATATTCATACACAAGTGCACGCAATAGGAGGGATGTTTTTTTGCTCAAGGATACGATCTTAGATACAAAAGATGTATATAAGTGATAAATGAGCGAATTGCCTTACGCCAATGAGAACAACGTGTTAGATAATGATAATAGCTCTTCCTCTTTTTTTTTGATTTATAGAACCCAAGTGATTGCCATCATCGATTAGTTAGAAGTAGTTATTAAGTATATATATATATCGCGGAAACGAAGCATTCAGTCGTTTATTAATGTGACAGACGAAAGAACTTGAAAACAAGCATGTGCTAACCGAGATGAGTAAATAGAGACATAGCATTAACAGAACAGATTGGTTCTGCATATTGTCAAGACTGAAATAAAGGTCGTCACATCATCACGATCAACATATTTATAGACCTTCGAGAATGTGTACGCATAAAAACTCTTCGTCACGACTATAGTAAATCATGCTAGAGAAACAATCTTCTCGATATGATACTTTTGTATTTTGATTCTGTTCATGACTATGAAAATAACTATTCTATAAATCAAATAGATAAATCTAATCGAAGTTGTTCATCATTTCATAAACCATAGATGATAATGATATTTGATAGTATATGAAACATAATACGAATGATACAAAGAATTAAAATAAATTTACGACATTTTGTACTGGAACTTGATGATAACTATTTGTTGATTTATAGGTGCTTTATCGAACTTTCACGATATTATTCAATTAACAAGCGATTAATTGTTGTCATATACAATTTTCATTTCAATTATTTCTAGGATTAGTTTGTTTTTGTGACAAATTCAAGACAAATAAATAGACTATGATAGATATTTTTATCATCAGAAATTATAATCAAAAGTACAAGCTGTATTTTGTTTCTTTATATGATCATATTTTGAGAGCTTAATAACCAATTAAGTATGAAAAGGATCAGAATATATACTTTTTTCTATTGTTACATAATACTAACGAAAACAAAAGATCAAATAATTGAAATATTCATACTATATATAATGTGGTCTTAAAAATCAATTCAGTAGGAGTTATAATTCCAAACGTCGATTATCATTAACATGACATCTGCTTTGTTAACCAAGTTAGCATTATTCGCTGCCATTCTCAATATTGCCTATTCAGTACGTATTTATGAGCAATGTGCTGGAGATGGTTATGGTACATTTCCATGTGATGCTGGTTTAGCATGTTTCCGTCGAAACATATGGTATTCATCATGCCAAACTAGTTGTCCAAAGGGTGTTGGTTGGGAATGTGAAACTTATGTTCCACCAGTAGTATTTGCTGCTGGATGGGATCAATGCGGAGGTGAAGGTTGGTATGGACCAAGAGCATGTCCAGCTGGATATGCTTGTTATGCACGCAGTATCTATTATTCTCAAGTAAGAGAAAATTATTCTATAATTTATTATTTTATTTTAACTCTAATTATTTTCAGTGTCGTCCAGTAAATGATTGTCCAGCAGGTATAAATATATTTCATCTTAATATTTAAAATTTCTTTTATTTTAAATATAAATAGGTTGGGGATGTGCTGCATTATTTGTTCCATCTACTCCTACTCCAGTCGTTACTGCTACTCCAGTCGTTTCAGTTGTTCCAGTTACTGGTACTCCAGTCGCCCCAGTTGTTACTGTTACCACTGGTCCAGTTGTTTTATCTGCTTATGCACAATGTAACAATGTTGCCGGTGCAGTTTGTGCCGCAGGAACAGCATGTTTTCGAAGTAATGTACTCTATTCTGAATGTCGTCCAGCTTGTCCACCAACATGGAAGTGTGAAACAGATGTCGCTCAATTAGACGAACAATGTGGAGGTATAGTTTTAGCAAAATAGAATATTTATTTTTAAAAATACGATTTAATTTTATTATTTTTTAGGTGAAGGTTTTGTTGGTTTAAAACGTTGTGCAGAAGGTCTTCGTTGCTATGTAGCTACCGTATGGTATTCAAAATGCGCAGCCTCATGTCCTGGTGGTTGGCAATGTTAAAAATGATAGCGAAAAAGAATGAAAAGATTTCTTTTTTTTTATTGCTTTGGCTATCTAACAGCGAAGAGAAAATAAAATAAAATGTATGACATATAATGTTGTCTATGTTTATGTCTATATTTTTTTATGCATATAATGCTAACAAATGTTGAGGAGAAGTAATAAGATGCTTCATTAATCTTACTAGTTTACATAAAGAAAAGGTTTCTTTTACTATTACCTTGAATATAGAAGTATAAGTAATTTAAATTTCTTTCGTAGAATTATGTTTATATTCACATGTCAGCATAAATATTGAATTGATTCGAAAATTCCTTCATGAGTCAAGAAGATACTCAATCATGTATTCATCATTTGATTTGGCTAGATCATAATATTGAAAATAATTCTAATCGTCGAAATTTGAAACAATTACATGAACTCGATGATCAGATCAAATCTTTCACGGATAAAGAACAATGTATCGATTATATAACCAGACAAAATACTAGCAAAACAAAACCTTATATTATATTAATTATATCTGGTAGACTTAGTGAAGAAGTTATACCATATATACATGATTGTATATGTCTTTTTGACATATTTATCTTTTGTGCTGATGCAGAACGTTTAAAACATTTAAGATTTGCAAAACTCCGTGCAATTTGTACAGATTTTTATGAATTATTTGATAGAATTCAAAACTGTATGGATAGAAATAAATTTACAATTGATTTTAGTTTATTTAATAACACTGAAAATAATACAACTTCAGGTAGTTTTACGTATAAATATTTAATATCATAGAAATTGATATTGTTTTATATTATACAGAAAACAAATTAGTTGAAGAAAAATCCGAAGAACAATATCCCATTCGGAATTTAAAAGAAGATCAAGCACGTTTTCTTTGGTTTTATAAATGTCATAATTTTATGATGGAACTTGAAGATGATAATGAACAAGCTAAACAAGAAATGATATCATCTTGTCGAAAAAAATATAAAGATGATGAACGAGCATTAACAACAATCGATGAATTTGAAAATCAATCATTAGATGATAATGCAAAAAATGCTATTTCATGGTATACAAAGAATTCTATTATATTTCGATGTATTAATGAAGTACTAGTTTCAGGAAATATTTCAAAAATATATTCGTATCGTTATATTATCAAATTACTTTGTCGACAATTAAAAGATTTACATGAGACATATAAAAAAATAAATTCAGAAAATATCCTTCGTCTTTACCGTGGTCAACGATTAAAATTATCCCAAATTCTTTTGATTTCAAAACATAAAAATGATCTTATTTCATTGAATGGTTTTATATCGACATCGTTAGAAGAAGATATTGCAAAAAGATTTTGTTTCGGTCGTTCAATAAAAGATCATGAGCCTGTTATATTTATTATTGATATTGATATGACTAATGAACAAAGTACGGCATTTGCTGATATTAGTAATCTTAGTCGATATCCCGATGAAGAAGAAATACTTTTATCAATAGGATCTATATTTTGTATTGAATCTGTTCATCTTGATGATACTAAACAATTATATCGTATTCATCTTTCATTAAGTCAACATAATAAATTAACTGTTAATAAATATATTGAACAAACATTTGCAAAAGAAATTGATTCTATAAATCAATCAGTTGTTTTTGGAAAACTTCTTTTTGATATGGGAGAATATCAATTTGCAATTGAATATTTAAAAAATCGAATTAATTATCTATCGGATAATGATAATCATTATCGAGCTACTTATTTTAATAATATTGGTGTATGTTATAATGAAATTGGAAAGAAAGACGAAGCGTTAAAATATTATAAAGCTGCAAATCAAATTTATCAACAAGCAAATAATCATCGTGGAATAGGCGCATGTTGTCATAATGTTAGTAATTGATGTCGATGTCTATTTTTTATAATATTTCTATTGTAGATAGCAAGTTATTATTATAATCAAGGAGATAATGAAACTGCTCTTGGTTGGGCATTAGATGCTTTAGAAAAACGACAAAAATATCAATTAGAAAAAGCGTCAACTCTTGATCTTCTTGGTTGTATTCAATTAGCAAAATATGATGTAGAAGCTGCAAGTAATAATCTTCAAGAAGCATTAAGAATACGTATAAAATATCTCGGACAAATTAATCCAAATCATCCAGATATTGGACTTAGTTATCGAAATCTTGGTAAACTTGATACAAAATTATCATCATTTATTGATGCTCAACATAATTATTTACGAGCCGAAGAAATCTTTCGGCATAATTATCCAAAATCACATCCATTAGTTATAGAAATTGAACTATACCTACAGGGAATTAAACAATATTTTTCACATTAATCACATCCTTTTCTTTTTATTTTATATATATTGTAAAACTGTATCATTACTTTCACAACGAGATACCTCGTTTTATTTATAATAAAAATTTTGTCTCACTCTTGATTTTATGAAGTGAATAATCCATCTCACTCAGATATCACATTAATTCTTCTACTACTAAAATTATCATTAAGCTTTTCGATATTATATATCAAGTTATTCAATAAATTTCATTTGACAAAAAAAAGATAAAGTTTACATATAAATAAATAATCTGATCCTATACAATACATACAAAGTAAAAAAAAGACGACTAGATCAATCGCTATCGTATTTAATCATTTTTCCATTGATATATCGATAAATCGGACCATCACCAACATTATATCTAAATCATATTCAATAGTAAAGGAACAATTCTTACTGATGCTTACCTATAATAATTATTTGTACCTTCAGGTACATAGGCTCGACGAAAAGTTATATTAATTCTTCCAGATAATTGTGATATTCGTTTTGGTACTGCATGAAACCATGCATGTTGTGTTTTTCCACGCATAACAATTAAATCACCTGAACTAAGAACAAAATTTTGTTTTAAATTATCATTTGTTTTATTTTTCATATAAAAATCTCGTTCAGCTCCTAATGATAACGATGCAATACATGGTTGATCACCTAACCAATGTTCATCATCACTATGATATGAAATTGAATCTTGTCCATTCGCATAAAAATTTACTAAAACAAAATTATATTTTACATCTGTTGCTTGTTCAACACGTTCTTTAAGTTCATTAAGTATAGGTGGAATTTCTCGTGGTTGACGATTATATTTATCTTTTGATTGCTGAGTATCATCAATACCGAATACAGTTGTATAACGTGGTGTTATTATTTGAACTAATCGATCTGTTTGTTTAGAATATTCTACACGATACCATGGTAAAGTATTAAGAAGAAATGTATATAAAGACATATCACACGGTGATGGAATAAATGATGTTATATAAATCAGATCTAAATCAAGTTTATCATTGATTAGTCGACGTTCTTTTATATTTGTTTGAAGAATAAATGGTGCTGATGGATAAGGATCAATGAATGGATATATAAATAATGATTGATCATGTTGTTGTTTCTGTTTTTTTACTTTACTTGGCCCAAAGAATAAATGAAGATTAGATTTTGTTGGAGGATATGATTTACGTTTATTTGAACACATCTAAAAGATAAAAGAATCATATTCTCGATATTGATCTAATACAAAAAGAATTGTTATTGAATAATATTGTGCACAATCGTGAAATGATAATTATGAATAAGAAATACTTCTTGAACTATTGCATATGCAATCCATTCTATATTTAATATGTACTGATCAGTATTAATAGAAACGAATAGGACGAATATAGAGAATAGAAAGAATGTGTTATATAACATAATAGTATAAGTTCACAAAAAAAAAGTGTGTGAATATTTTGATGCATAGCAGATGTTTTTATATTCTTCCTTTGACATTAAGTCAATGAGATCATTATTAATCAATCGTATTTTTCTGTTCATCAAATGAAAACCTCAATAGACAAAATTTTTCTCATGATTTAGACTTGCTACAAATATAATATACGTCATAGATAAAATTTTCCTTGAAAAAGTATCATTTACATATATACTTCAATTTTAGAATTCATTAATTATAATTTTTCTTTTCATACATATAAAATAATTTCTAAATGACTGACGGATCGAGCTGATGTTTTTATTTCGTCTTTTATCATTATATTCTTATTATCTTTTCTTTTTCATGTACGCTCATTTGAAAAAAAATAACAATAAGCGAACAACAAAAACAAGTCCATAAATATGTTTAACGATATGATTTTTGGTATTTGGAACGAGCACCTGGACCACCGAATTTCTTTGGTTCACATCGTCGTGGATCGGCAACAAGTAATGTTCGATCATATTGTACGAGTATGTCACGTATTTGTTTTTTTGTTGCTTCATCAACAAATTTTTGATTGTAAGCAACAACTGATTTAGCTAATGCTTGTCGAATGGCATAAATTTGTGCAATACGACCACCACCTTTAACTCGTATACGAATATCAACATTTGTAAATTTATCTCGACCGAGAAGATAGATTGGTTCTTCAAGTTTGAAACGAAGTGCTTGAGGTTCAACAAGATGTAAAGGTCGACCATTAACACGAATTGAGCCATGACCTTTAATTCAAAAAATTTATTTTTTATAAGTAAATTAAAGTAAATTAGGTTTTCTTTTTCTACCTTGCTGACAGACAGCTACAGCTGTTGCTGTTTTCTTTCTACCAAAGGTTTGTACGCGTTGTTTTTGTACTTTCGACATTGCTCGAATAATCTTAAATGATAGATCGTCAATCTTAAAATAGGAAAAATATAAGCGATTAGAAAAAGAACTTCTTTCGATGTTTGTGAAAAGTGAAATAAACAATTTAAGTTTTTGATGAATCATTGTATAACATCGGATTGGCTGGTTAATCGAATATATCTCATATTTTTACGTATCCCCCATTTATTTTATACAAAAGATAATTAACGACATCTATTATTCATATTCAAATGATATAGTTGCATTTTTGTGTGGGAAATAGAATA